CGAGAGGAAGGTCTCGATCCAGTTGAAGGCAGATCCCCGGAGGAAGGACGAAGCCCAAAGGACTTTGTCAGTCTCCGTGGCGAACTGGTGACCGTTGAAGCCCGTATAGAGCTTAACCTGCGTGAGGTATGCTCTGAGCTTGGATCGGTCTCCGTTGTAGAGATCCGGGGCGGCGATCTTGGGTATGTTCTTTGGGTCGAAGACCTTGGCGGGAGCCGAGTGGTCGTTCGACGATCCTTTGACGGAGGACATGTTGTCTTCGTGAGTCGGTACCTCTGACGAGAAGGTGCTCAAAGTGTAACTGTCCGGTATTTACTCGCTGTAAATACAGAAGGCTGCAGTTGATCTCTGATGATCGAGAGGTAGGTGTATCACGTAGACGGGAAGACAGTTACTAAGTATCAGAATACTATTTGAAGTTGAGCACGAAGCTCCTATCTAATGGCAGACGTGCCAGTCTTATATAGAACCTTCGTTCTCCTTGGATCCCACAGGTCCCTTGGGATCCTTCACGACATAGTCGTACTGGATCCCTTGGGATCCCCTGGGATCCGTCACGTGACCCGACCGCGGAAGGCCGCTGCCAGATCACCGTGACCTGCAATACTACTATAATGTAATGCTATGTGATACATGTTCCTTAGACCTTATTGGTTCCTGTGAGCTTTACTCCTAGGAGCCGTCCGACTCCCAGGAGTACGCCTGCTCTGAGGATATTTCCTCCTGGGACCCAGCGGGCTCCCAGGAGCGTCCGTAACACCCTAAAAGCGATCCTTATCAGCTCCTTCAAGCCGTCTATGCTTCTACCCTGCCAATTAGGCGTTAGCACCCCAGGTGGTGTAGAGCCTATAATCTTCCTCCTTGACGACGCTATTACCGGCCCAAATACCCTAAAAACTCAGCAAATCGCCTCCTTAGACCTTATCAACGCTTATAACCGAATCGGACGAACCTCAATAGCAGCTGCAGTCGCTAAATACGCCCCTACTCTCTATCGGACCGCTAAATGGGCCTATAACCAGCCTTCAGTGCTAGTAACAAACGAAGGCCACACGCTAGCAAGCGCTGAAGGAGTACGCCAAGGAGACCCTATTGCCCCCCTCTTATTCTCTCTAGCGATCCGCCCCCTGCTAGAGCACCTCCAAAAGACCCTACCGAAGGCTACAATTATAGCTTATTTGGACGATATCTATATCCTTAGCCCTGAAACTACAGCACTACTCCCTGTAGTTATAGAAGCCTTCAGGGACTCTCCAGTAGCTCTTAACCGCTAAAAGAGCACCGAAAGCCCTATTTCCCAGTTACAAACCACTGGACTTAAGGCCTTAGGGACCTTTATAGGCCCTGTAGCACACCGCCGAACGTTTCTCCAGGGGAAAATCGACACTCTCGCTACAGCGCTATATACCCTACGAGACCTCCCTAAACAACACGCTACCCTACTCTTACGGGGTAGTATACACCTACTCCTACGACACTTACAGCGCTAATTGTACTCGGAAGACCTACTAGACCTCTGGAGGTTAGCGGACTTACGAATCAAGTACGCTGTACAAGCCCTAATCGCTAGGGAGCCAGGGGAGAAGACTACCCTAATTCGCCAGGCTTTACTCTCTCTTCCAGTGAGAGAGGGAGGCTTAGGGCTTCCTATACACGCCTTATTAGCCCCAGGGCTCTATAGGGCAGCTAAGGAAGCCTCTCGATCGATTCTAGTGGCTATATGCCCTAATCTCTACCCGGAACCCCCTGGACGCCCTGTACCGACAGCCCAAGAGGTCTTCTCTAGCGTTAACCAAGACCTAGAAGAGAAGATTCTACCTACCCTATTAAAACAAGCGCTAAAATCGAAGCTTGAGAACGCTAGCTACCTCGGACGATACTGGCTTAGAACCCTGCCCATGCAAAAACACCACCTTTTAGCGGATTCTACAGTTACCGAAGCACTACGGACTAGGCTCTTACTCCCTGTAAAGCCCCCTATTTCGCCCTGTACCGCCTGTGGAGCCTACCCTCAAATAGGCCACGAAGACACCTGTAGAGGTGCTGAACGACGCTGGATTATACGCTATAACCAGGTTACCCGTGCATTTATTACTACCCTTTCTAGCCGGGAAGACCTTAAAGTGGAATCGGAGCCTACGCCAGCTAGAACGCCTATAGCCCTAGAAAACAGCCAACGACCGGATTTTTCAGTGCTTATAGGTACTTCTAGGCACTATTACGACGTTCAAATAGTAGCAATTAACAAGGATTCAGCACGCGAAGAAGCCTATGCTACGCTATCAGAGGCAGCAAACGCTAAACGGCTTAAATACAGCGACTTAGGCCCTGTATTTCACCCCCTGATCTTCTCGGCAGGAGGCCTAATGGAAGCCGAAACAGCGAAGACCTATAAGGCCCTACAGGGCCTATTAGGGCACTCTAGGGCTAAGTGGTTAGACGGGTATATCGCTAGCACCCTAACTCAGGCTCGAGGAATCGCTGCAACCTCGATTCTAGCACGTAGGTAGCTTATAACACACGCTATACCTACCCTACAGCACACACTACACCTACCCTATAACACACACTACACCTACCCTACGGCACACACGACACCTACCCTACGGCACACACTTCACCTACCCTAAGTAACTCACACTTCACCTACCCTGTGATACATACTCTATCTACCCTATAGTACACACTCTACCGACCCTGCGACTCACACTCTACCTACCCTTTGGTACACACCTTACCTACCTTGCAATACACACTTCACCTACCCTGCGACTTACACTTTACCTACCCTTTGGTACATACTCTGCCTACCCTATGGTACACACTCTACCTACCCTGCGACTCACACTACACCTACCCTTTGGTACACACTCTACCTACCCTGTGGTACATACTCTGCCTACCCTATGGTACACACTCTACCTACCCTGCGACTCACACTACACCTACCCTTTGGTACACACTTTACCTACCCTTTGGCACACACTCTACCTACCCTTTGGCAAAGGGTACACACTACGCCTACCCTCTGATACACACTTTACTTACCCTTTGGTACACACTCCACTTACCCTGCTCTTACCCTCTGTATTATTAGTATAGTCCTTCTGTATTTCAAGACTATTAGAGAGAGATAAAAACACTCGTCGCAAGCTAGCGTAGTTAGAAACAAATATAACCCAAACCTCAAACCCTAACTCACACTACACCTACCCTGTGGTACACACTCTACCTACCCTGTGGTACATACTCTGCCTACCCTATGGTACACACTCTACCTACCCTGCGACTCACACTACACCTACCCTTTGGTACACACTTTACCTACCCTTTAGCACACACTCTACCTACCCTATGGTACACACTACGCCTACCCTCTGATACACACTTTACTTACCCTTTGGTACACACTCCACGGGCAGGGGGGTGGAATCAGGGCGTGCCGAGGCTTGGCCCTCACGAAAAAAAATAAAATTTAAAACATAACGCTACCGTATTTTTAATAATACTATATTATAGAGAATCGTCTTACGAATCAAACGCTGTAAAGATCACTAAAATCAGGGGCGGTTTACCTAAGATAAGTTAATCATGAAGATTTTTTCTCCTTTAGAGTGATTTTTCTAGGCACTAAGTAGAATCAGGGCGCGTTTTAGTATCCTCTTATAAAATTAAGTTTTTTTTATTATAATAGGCTTATTAGACTTAAATAACTTAGACTATAGCTTACTAGCCTTAAATCCCTTTATAAATACTCTATTTCTCTTAAGTGTTGATTTTCCCTTAGTATTAGGTGGAAAAAGGGCGCGTTTTTGTACTCTCTTATAAAATAAAGTTTTTTTTATTATAATAAGCTTATTAGACCTAAATAACTTGGAATATAGTTTACTAGCCTTAAATCCCTTTATAAATACTTTATTTCTCTTAAGTGTCGATTTTCCCTTAGTATTAGGTAGAAAAAGAGCGCGTTTTTATACTCTTTTATAAAATAGAGTTTTTTTTATTATAATAGGCTTATTAGACCTAAACAACTTAGATTATAGCTTACTAGCCTTAAATCCCTTTATAAACTCTTTTTTTAAAAAAGTATTAGGGTTTGAGGTTTGGGTTATATTTGTTTCTAACTACGCTAGCTTACGACGAGTGTTTTTATCTCTCTCTAATAGTCTTGAAATACAGAAGGACTATACTAATAATACAGAGGGTAAGAGCCTGAAGGTGTCAGGGGTACAGAAGGTAGAGTACTAAGACAGAAGGAGATAATACAGGGCACTTCCCGCGTCAACTTCGCGCGCGTGCATCGTAGCACGTCTCTTATAGAAACTTATAAAAATTAGCGCGTTTAAAAGCCTGAAGCGCGCTGATTTAACTAGTTAAAAAATTATCAAAATCGGCCTAGGAACGCGCGCGCAATCGCCGATCCGCGCCCTGATTCCGCCGCGCGGCGCGCGCGCCCTGATTCCACCGCGTGCCCCTTTAGGGAAGACACCTACTGTTAAGACAGGGTAGCCTGCACAACGCGGGTTGAGATGTTAAGGCGACTACCCCTCTGCACCGGATCTCCCGGGTGGCTATCGCCATTTGAGTCTGCTGTTATCAGAAACCACCTCTAGTGGCTGTACTTAGGGTGGCTATTCATTCGGTGGCACACTTTGTAAACTCGGGCCTTTCAGGGTTCCCCGCTCCAGATCCACTAATATCCACTTACTAAGAACACCCTTCTAAAGGCCAGGTCAGGCTGACTGTCCCTTCAATTGCCGAAAACACACTTTTCCAGAGTACCGCGATTAAGCGAGGCGCTACAGCTGCCTGAACGAAAGTACAACAATACAGCATTCGAATTTCGGTGTTCTTCGTTGAATTACAGGGTCTCGCTACGAGCTAAGTACTTCCGGTAAGATGTGTTTTTGACGCGGCATTTGAAAGGATAGCGAGCTCTAATAGGTGCTCGCTCCAGGGCACGATCGCCTGAATCCTCATCAGTTCCGGTTCAGCAGCACATGCAGGGAGGCCCATCTGTACTCCCCGTTTGCCGGTGGCGTACCAAGCCACCGGTCGGAAGAGATTCCCTTACACTTACAGAGCGAAGAGAAAGAAAGGAGGTGCTTGTTTATTTAAGAGCAGCGACGCATATCTCACTCGCTAGATTTATATTCACGATTCTCTTCTGCTCAATACTCTTGCGCGTCAAGATGGCTTTCAGTATTTTTGCTGTCCTTGTGGTCACAATCTTGGCCCTTATTGCTTTCCAAGTTGTCTACAACCTTTTTCTACACCCTCTTCGGAGCATTCCAGGCCCGAGAATGGCGGCAGCTACTTGGCTTTGGCTGTTCAAGTACGAACTCAGCGGCCACTGCCACGAGGCTTTTATGAAGTTGCATGAAAGTTATGGTTTGTCAGCCATTATCAGGTGCGAAACAATTGCTAATATCTCTAGGTCCCCTCATAAGAGTCTCTCCTGGCGAAGTATCGATCAACGACATTGAGGTGTACAACAATGTTATTTACGCACAAAATACCAAATTCATGAAGGCGCAATATTTCTACCAGGCTTTTGATACTCCAGGAGGCAGTGTCTTTTCCCAAAGGGACAAGCAAGAACACGCCGCAGAAAAGAGGTTGATGTCCCACGCATTCTCGCGTTCCAATATTCTTGGACTACAAAACTTGCTCTATGACCATACCAGACTTTGGATCAGTCAGCTCAAACAATTTGCAGAAGCAAACAAGCCAATTCCACTTTGGCACGCAACTCAATGTTTGACCCTCGATACTGTGGCGAGATTTAGCTACGGGTCTGGCTGTGATGCGCTTCACTCAAAAGACCTATACTCTCCTTTATTCGACTTTATGGAAAGAGTTACTCCTGCAGCTGCACTATTTATGCACGTTCCAATAATGCGCCATGTTGCTCATTGGGCTGAACGATTTGTTTCAAGTGGCTTTGATGGAGTGGGCAAGGTAAATCTTGAGGTACTTTCGAAAAGGTAACTGTACTGACAACGGCAAAGAGGGCCTTGGAAGGGCTCAATAGGCTAAAAGACCAAAAAGTGTTTGAGGACAAGGTAGGGACGATTATGTTCGAGAGTATGATCAGACAAGCTGCTCAACGAGAAGTGACACTTGACAATGACAGAATGATCACAAATGGAAATCTCATGCTCTCCGCAGGTACACCTGTCACTATCATGGAATATTCACGCGCTGACTCTGCATATGCACCGGAACTACCGCTATAAGTTTGACCACCGCTATATATCATCTTGTAGCTCGGCCAGTTCTATATAAAGAGCTCCAAAATTTGCTATTGAGCCGATTTCCTGAGCCCAGCACACAACCCGATCTGAACATGTTGGAGACGATTCCCTTGCTAGAAGCATGTGTTAAGGAGGCACTGCGAGTTGCCGCACCGGCAAGAGGGAGACATCCTCGGGTTGTGCCCCCAGGGGGGTGGACTTACAAAGGTCGATATCTCCCGGAAGGTGTAAGTCACTGTACCATAGCCATTGTTTCGACTGCACTGACAGGTCCTGCATCTAAAGACAATCATCAGTGGATCTACCATGTTCCATTGCCTTGACCCAGCTGTTTATCTTGAACCTTTAGAATTCAGGCCAGAACGTTGGCTCGTTCAAGATTCCAAGTCAATGCAACAAAGTCTCGTACCATTCTCTCATGGCTCAAGATCATGCATTGGGCAAAAGTAAATGATTGACCCATCCTTTGTTAGGCGGATCACTAACTTGATGTTAGCCTCGCGAAAGCTGAGCTTTTCATCGGTATAAGCCAAGTTGTCATGAATCTGGACCCTGGAGAGTGCCTCGACTCAAGTTTAGACTATAGCGAGTACTCAGGAATAACCTTCCCAACGACACTTGTAAAAGTTACTCTGAGGCCGCGAAAAAAGGACCCTGATGAATTGCAATGAAAGGGACTGCCCCGGTGTAAGATTGCAGATGTCAGGTGCAGACGGGACAAGAAGCTAGCAAGGTACAGTTCAGCCAGCATAGGTTAGACCTGACAATGACATTGCATTCTGCTTTCCAAGTGGTCTAATAACGCTTCTGGAAGTTCCGTGTCGTCGAAATCGCGAGATGAGTAATGCAGAAGCCAAATTATGCTCCTGTGAGGCTCCTTGAGGACACCTGGTGGATCCCAAACGCAGCCGGAGTGAGCTCGATCCTGACCCAAAGGTGTAGCACAATTGCTCCCACCGAAGAATTCTGCTGAGATGGTTTGATACGGTTTGCTAGATATGGACTCTGATCGCCACTGATATTTAGGATTCTATGTGATTCTCGGTCACGTGAATATCAAGGGCTCTTCTATCCCCCCCCCCTAAACAAACGTTAAACAAGGAGTTTTACAGGCTTCTAAGCCAGTGAGCTACGTAGGGGCCTGTAGCCAATCAAATCGTTGTAGAACCCTTTAGATTAGCCCCCACGTTCTACTCATATAACCTTTTACTAGCAGAAAAAGCAAAGCTCTTACCTTTACACTTTAACTTAACTTTATCTTTATAATATAACTACTATTGTAATACTTTTTACAGATAATATTATAGATATTTAAAGCTTCCTTTGCACTTTAAAGACTTTATAAGTCAAATATATCTATAAAGTACCTAATTTACAGGCCTTTAATAGTAATTCCCTCTTACCTTTGCTTATTTTATTCTCTTAAGCCTTAACACAGTCCTAAGACTTTTAAAATAACTCTTGCCCTTTATAGACGCTTATTTAAAAAGTGTATACTCTTTTTACCTTTTAAACAAACTAAATCTATATTAAAACAACTCTTGAATTTAGCTATAACCTTTAAGAGATACAATTAAAACTAGGTTATACTCTTTAGTAAATCTAATAGGCTAAAGAACACAGAATTACTGTAATAGCACGGTTTAGCGTTAGCTAGCACGTGAGCGAAATAACCACGGATCAGGTGATAACCTCTCTATTAGCGCGAATATCAAGCTAAGGAGCTCTCGATTCCGTGGAGGGCGCTCGAGCCTATATAGACAAATTCACCGGGCTATTCCCGATTAGGCCTAATTACATTTGACGTAAAGCTTAATGTAGACTCTTATAGTAGCGTAGAGCTATTTCCGCTTGCGTATAACTAAGTGAGTAACTGTCGGTAAACCCCTTCCAAGTTAACCGAGCTCTACCGAGTCTTACCGAGCTCTAGACTTTTCCTAATCGGGTATAGTAAAGAAGTGGTTACTACTACCTTTACAATTACCCCTTAAAAGCACTAAACTAGACGTTTTTAAAAGCTAGGGATAAATACACTTACTTAAACAAGGCTCTATGATTAGCTCCTTTAGTCTCCTTTTTACTAATATATTATATTAAAGCATATTCTGTCTTTTGTTTTTAAGTTTAATATATATAAAGAACAGGCTATTTAGACTAGTTTTAAGCTTATAGGTTATAAAAGATAAGTCTCTATAAAGAAAGGCTTTTCAGATAATCTTAAGGTTTGTAAAAAACGTCTTAAGTTTATAAAAAAAAAAAGGCAAATACTAGTCTTTTAAATAAGTTCTTTAATAAATATTCTCAGATAAAGTATAGGCTTTTAAAGAAGTATATTCACAGTCTTATATTACCTACAAAGAGGATAGTTTTAATTAATACTAGCTTAAGTGTTTATAGTATAAATTTAAAAAAAGACCTACTTAAATATTTTATAATACAATTACACTTAAAAATAAGAGACTAGTTGTTTTTAAGAGAAAAAAATAGAGTTTAATAAATTCTACTAAGTATAATATAATTATACTAAATAACATATATATATTTATCTAAATAGAGAAGAATTAAAGAAATTACCTTATTTAGATATAAGATAACACCTCTTGCTACTAATTAAAAGCTATATATATAAACTTTAAGAGATATTATATATAATATCTTAAGTTTTTATACTACTCTCTAGACTTTAATTTAATTAAGCACATATAAAATTAGATAAAAAATTAAATCTAACGTTATTATTATATGACGTATTATAACACGGTAAGAATACCTCTTTAAAAGCTTTGTTAAATTATATAAGAGGCGTCAAAGGCTGTTTTAGAGGATTTTATCAGGGGGCTTTATAATTCTTAATAGAAGAGATGTCAAACTGTAATTGATACATAAGGCAGCCTTATAAAATACTAGGAAATCAATGATATTTACATTATCCTGTATTTAGAAGCGGTGAGCCGAAATTAGGAGCAGTAAGCTGATTTTCTAGAGGGTTCCACACCCCCTGTTTAACGTTGGTTTAAAGGAGGGATAGTAGGATAGAGCTTGATTTGTAAAGCATAGAGAGCTCTAGAAGTTCTTCCCTATGTATGTAAACCTACTCTTAACCTACCTTTAGAGGGATGAGGAGTGCGAAATACAAGAATTCAATACTTTCGTCCTTCGATAATCGATTACAATGCAGCTTATACCTCAATTTTCAAGCCTAAAAAAGTCCGGGCGACAATCCCAACAAATATGATCTGGCATGCTTTAGGAGTTGCTCTCGTTTTGGCCCTCGGCCAGTTACTGCTCAGTGCCTTTTCCCCGGGAGCATCAAATTTTCCAGGACCATGACTAGCAAAGCTCACAGGGCTTTGGCGCATTGACGTCTCCTATCAAATCCGCGAGCCCGGTATTGTCAGAATGCTGCATGGAAAATATGGATCTTTTGTTCAAATGAGTCCCGAATTTATCCTTCTCTGTGACCCTTCCCTGATCGAACCAATCTACGCAGCTAGAATCAACTTCTTCCAGGGCGCGTGGTATAGAGGCCCGCCCCTGCGTTTCTATGATTTGGTAATGTTCAGAACGCAATCCCTTGCGCAGGTGCGTTGTGGTCAAAATGTGAATTGGAGGAGCCTACCTACCTAAGTAGAGGGCGTTGCTTGAGTACTGTAGACCTTACCTCGTGCTTCAGCGTGTTTACTTAGACTGACATAAGTGATCTTAATCCCAGTGCAGCACAAAAGTGATTGACACTCCAACTTTTTTCATCGAGAACATTGAAGAATGTATTGCGATCCTCAAAGGTAAGGGAGGACGTCTGGAAAGGAATTGGGAATACGGCATACCGAAGAAGCCACCGGCAAAGACGAAAACATCTTCGAAGACATCACATCAGACGGGACAAGAGAACACGAGATGATAATAGCATAGATCGGCCTCAAGACCAAATAATAGAGCTGATTACAGAAATTCCGCACTTCTTCTCGATATCGTACTTCGTCTGCTTTCTCATCCATTAAGCTCCACTACTAACACCAATGGGCTCCCCAGTCTTATCTGCATCCTGGTCAAAATCCCGAGTATACTGATCCCACATTTTGTCAATAACCTTGAAGTGTAGTTCGAGATCGACCTTATCCTCATCCTTATGCATTGGCTGCTTAAGTGGTCGGCATGAGGCTCCCTCTCTACCGCCCTTTTTATTATGGCAAGTCCAGTTGCCATCCTTGGTTTCAGGAGACTTTTTCGGCACTGGCCCTGGATGAGCGATCAGTTCCCCCTTGAACGAATCCCATTTCGCACGCTGTTTAGTTAAGAAATCGACCAGTCCGGCGAGCCTAGCGACAGTATTTTCATTGGCTGACATGATTTTGGATATGCTGAGTGTCTTGTCAAGGTAGGTCTGCTTGTTTGAAAGTGCCTTCTCCGGTTTTGTGCTATGCAGTGGGATGCGATAATTCGAATCAAACCAGCTGCGAACGGGAGAAAAATGCATAGCGAAGTTATTCCTTGTCCACCAGGCTCTTGTCCAGAACCACTGCTCCTCCAGATGCACTACCTGTGCGCTCTCAACTTTCAGTAGCGCCTCTCGAAGGTCGTCGAGGCGGTTATTGATAAATTTAATAGAAAGTATAAGGCTCTCGATATGCTTGATCAAAATCGTGATTGCGCTGATCATTGCTTCGCATTGATGCGCATAGTCCTCGATGAGTTTTCGGGCGGCCTTTCCGCGACCCTGGCCTGAAATGAACCGGAAAAATCTGGACGGAAACCAAGTTTCCTTCGCCTCGGCAGCTTGTAGGATGAGCTTCGAACGAAAGTAACCGAGTGTTACTGTGACTTTGGATTTGGCACTGACAAACTGGCTTTCCATGAGAAATAGCTGGCTTGCCGCTATGTCGATGGCTTCAATAACACCTGCGAGTGGTTTGATAGCTGGTGACTGTCTGTCTCTTTGAACGGGGTCGAGATTGTATTTCCACCTGCCGTGTAACCGCTGGTAGGGGACACGGAGCTCCGTGAATGAACTACCAAGCTCAGCGTATTCATTGGAGATTCGAAAACATTCAGTCCAGAAGGCCGAATCAGATAGGCTAGTAAATGTATGAAGTACTTCGGTAGTGTTTCGTTTAGGCTTCGGGATGTTGTATGCCTTGTAGATTGGGGGACAGAGTTTAAATCCCAGTGGATCAACGTGTCGAACGCCAGGAACATGACAGGTAATTGTTGCGAATGGAATGCTTGCTACATGTGCAACTAATCCAACCCCAGGAAATGTCTGCAAGAAGATGCGATATGTGCCGATGCAACCGTAGAAAACCGCAACGCAAACATAGAAGTAAAACCCGTAGCGAATGATAGTCTTACAGATGCGTTGAAAAAACCAAATAGACCAGGACGAGGTGAAAAGAGCGACGAAACGTGCGTCAGCAGCGTTAAAAGAGCGGCAAATTGCGGAAATGAGCTCCCGACACAGTGACCGTACACCAGAAGAGATGCTAATCATTATAGCGTGTAGTCTGCGACCTGTGTTGGTCACCAACAACTCGAATCCGGCGTCCCACGCTGTCTCGCGCAAATATCCTGGCCCCAGTGGGCTGAGCCAACTTGAGGCAGATGTACCCCCATACCTCATCATTTCTTCTAAATTATGTAGACTCAAGTTGACATTCGGGTTGAGAACTGGGTGACGACTCGGGACTGGGGATGAAGATATGGCTCGCAAGCGGGATGGACTGTTTCCCGGGGTGTCACTGTCGGATGATGTTTGCGAAACACGCTTGGAGCGCTCCATTCTTTAAACGTTGATTAAGTCTTGTTGAGATAGAACGAAAGTCTGCTTTTTGAGAATCCACGAGTCAGCAGAAGGCAATAAAACTGACATATCAATACCAGACACCCGGGCAGGGGAGGATATCACTCCACAATAGAGCAGATGTAGGAAAAAGAGAAGAATAACAGACGCCTACATTAGTGATTATAACAGCAAAAGTAGGAGATATCTTACAAAAGTGGCGTTACGCTGTCCCTCACCATTCGTGTTCGATTTCATGGCACGCGCCTGATCTCGGTCTGCTAATTCTTCTCACCTGCCTGCCGGTGCTGTTCCAGCTGATACTGAACTTCCTTGAGCTTTGCTTTGACATTTAATGTACTTGCTATCGCAGGCACAGGCATACGGTTCAGTATATTGACTGAGGTCTAGATGTTCGACGCTGAACGAGCACTCCCAGGTGTCTTGGAGGACAATCCCGGGTCGACTGCGGACGAGGAATGTCAGCAATAGTGGCGTGTCCACAGGGAGGACGGGGATACCGAAGAGAACAGAGAATGTAATCGAGTCATTTCCGGAGAGATGTGAAGAAAACGGATGTGGACTAACAAATTGGTCATCTCCGTTGTTTGTTTGTTTGTTTCATCGACTGGTTGCAGGAGACCCAACCCAAGTGGGCTCGCTTGTGCTTGGCCTCAGGACCTTAGGCATGTTACCCAGTGTATGATGTGCGAGGACCGGTTTGGAATCCGGTGAAAACTGTAGGAATGTAAGAAGAGAGGTGAATAGGAGTACGCAGAGAGGGAGGACAGCATTTGTGCGGCAGAATTTGAAGAAGTGGGGAGGGAAGGTATGCCATGTGCTGGGGCTGATTATGCATACTTTTCTGGATTTCTGATGCCACGATAGCTTGCGGCTCATACTCTTGTGTTTGCTTGCCATGTCTTGCGTTTTGCGCCTCTGCCGCTTTTTTTCTGCCAGCTCTCTGCTCGTTGTCCAGAGCTCCAAGCATCTGTCCCTCCTCCGTGTTTACCATGAATCATATTCAATGTCCCAAAACGAACAGCGTACATTTTCTCCTTCCCTAATATACGTCAGTAATAATAGGCCTTTCTAATCACGGTAGGAGCAAGGCAGACGTGTTTTTCGTCGTCCTCTCTCTCCCCCTGCGGGAGCAGCCCCCGGAGGGCCAGCGGAGCGTCACCACACTCTGGAATAAAAATATTATATAGGAGTCACACGCATAAGCAGAAGGATAAGTAGGAAAGTACTTTTCCCATTAACGCTTAGCCAACGAACGTTTTAATACAGATTGAGAGGTAGATGGAGAGATACAACAAAGTCAAATGTATGTGGGTGGGAGAGTCGCTACGTCCTTCCTTCCCGATGTGGAAAGAAGTCAACAAATCACATGACTGTCCACCTTCCTTAAGAGTGCAAGATTCTTTCTGTTTCTCTGTTTCTTTCTTTACCAACAACAACACTCCTCTCCTCCCTCAATTCAACGTCAACTGTCTGTCTTACTCTTCGCATCTGCCGTCTTCCCAATCGACGCAGCCGATTCCTGTCAGAGGGCGTCTGAAGCTGCCTTTCGCAAGCAGCGTCGCCGCAGCGCACTCCTTCATTATGGAGGCTCTCGCAGCTCAACGCCTCTACATTCCCGATGGCTACAACTCTGACGATGAGCTCCCAGAACCAGAGCCTCAGCCTGCCTATCAACATGTGTGTATGCACTAGCATTTCTGGCCTTGTACCTGCTAACTACTGCTTAGGGCCTTCGCACAATTGAAGATATCTTCAAGAATGCGATTGAGAACCGTGCTCGATCGAAGCAGGCTCTCAGAGACCATCGTAAGGTTGCTGCCGCTCCAGGCACGCAAGTCAAGCATCAGAGGTGGGAAAACATCTTTGTGGCGTTCATGTACACCTTGGGATTTTCGTAAGTTACATCAACACATTAAAGTTCCTCATTGTTACGGAGCTCTAATCGACGCTGCCGATTTAGTGCCCTCGACACACCCAACGGCGACCACATCTACCGCTTCGTCGAAACTATTTCCAGGACGATCAAGTCGAGCTTCGGAGACAAGGCTGTACCGTCTTTGGTTACTGTCAAGTCAGCTTTAGCCTGTCTTGGTGCAGTATTCGTTGAAAAGTACAAAGACTTCAAGATGACCACCCACGAAGCTTCCAAGATTGAGTCTCTCCTCGCTCGCCTTGTACACGATGGTGTGCTATACAAAGGAAAATGGAAGAAGTATAACCGCGTCGGCTTCCGCACTGTGCTGGTTCTAGCTGATGCATGGTTGGTGGCTGGTCTGACCGATGGGGTTCGTTCGTGGGACACTCACATCTCGAAACTGCTTAGTATTGTTCTGGTCTCTGCGTTTGCGTCTCGCTGTGGAGATGTCGCTCGGTCAGAGCTGTATAAGGGTATGGAAGCTCTTACTTTTGCGGACCTTACCATCAAGTATCACGGAGGTACAGAGATGCGACACCTCACAATGCAGGCCTGTCTACGCTTCGTCAAAGGTTTTAAGTACGTCAATCCGACGCCGTCCGAGTTTGGAGAGAGAAGAGATGTCGTCGCTAACGTCTTGTAGGGATCTGAAAAACGAGGACCGATACGTCACCGTCGACGTTCTGGAAAATGATAACCACAACAGCGTGTGCGCTGTAAAGTTGCTCGTCATACACGCCCTACGCATCGGCGCCGTGTCTGCCAATTCCTGGACAGCTCTACGAGCACAAATCCTCAGTCGTGCTGACCAGACATTGCAATGGGTCACTCCGAACAAACCCGTTGTCGCAGCCATTGTCCCTGGACATTGCTCGTTCCTGGACGTCAACAAACCTGCAACCACTTCTCAAATGCGATCGACTATCCACGCAATGAGCTTGAAAGCCAGGGTCGCCGTTTCGATGACTCCACACGATCTCCGGCGAGGTGCTGTGGCCGATCTAGCCCACCTTCCAGCCGGCTCTCTCAATGGCAACGCTACTGCTGATGTTGCGATGCACGTCGGACATAAGATGACGACGTTTAAGAGAGACGTGACTACCGCATATGCTGGCCCGTCTGATATTTCGACATGGAATTTGCGAGCGCAGAGTACGTGGGTAGATAGGTGCGCGCCGCGAGTTGCTGCTACTCCTTTCATTCCCACGCCGATGACAAAGGAGGATGTTTCTGCTTATGCTGAAGCTCGGGGACTCGATGCTTCTGATCGACTGGTGATCAACAACGCTCGCAAACACGTCAGGAAGCAACAAGAAGCAGCTTGGAGAGAAATGGCGAGGAACGAGCCTGCAAACACCGTCTCCTCTACCGAAATACCAAGTAAGTCTCTTCAGACGGCGTCTGAACTGCAGCTGCTAATATAAAGCTTGATCCAGACATTCGTCGAGTTCTTGGGCCTGCCGCCTCTGCTAAAGTCAACGCCGCATTGGGTCCAAAAGCAGTCGATATTCCGATCGATCCGCAGGTGCTCGGAACGTCGAAGACGACCGTCGCCAGCGTCTCAGCCGACGAATCGGTAGCGTCGATTCCCACAGAATCAAGCTCCGATGACATCTCTATGGAGTTGACCGATGAGCAGTCCGAGAACGCTCAATTCATTTTGCAGGTCTTGACAGGCACGCAGGTAGAGTCCGAGGCGGTGCCTGATGAGTCTGACGAAGCGCAACAAGAACAGTTACTTGAGGCGCTGGAAGACCTTAACCTCGGCGCCAATGACCCCCCTCATCCGATCTTTTGCTCGCCGGAGAAATTTATCGAAAATTTCTCCAAGATCAACATCATTCGGAACACCGCCGCCGGCAATCTCGGCAAAGAGAAGTTTGCGAAGCAGATGGGAACCTTTGTCGCTCAAGGTTGCAGCAGAGATGCACCCACGCAATATATCTACTACTGCGCAAACGACACCTGGGGCTGCAGCTTTCAGACCACATACAAGGAGAGCTTCGATTACCACGCTCTATCGTGCAAGATCTCTCAAGACAATCCAGTTGAGCCGGAGATCTACAAATGTCGCAAAGCGAATTGCGACGCCAGGTTCAAGACCAACGGCGTTCGGATTATGCACGAGTTAAACCATGACTTCAAAGCCAGGGAGTGTCATCTTGGATGCACGGATAAGAAGTTGTTCACGACCAATCAGCAATGGGCAGTGCATAAGAGTCGTTACCATGATACCGAATGGGACACTTCTATGACCTGCCAGGTTCCACAGTGCTCTCGTACAAGCTTCCCGAACAGAGATGCCTACAGCAAACACTTAGCAGCAACTCACAAGCTTCGCGGTGCAGATCTGAAGCAGTATGTCCCCCAGAGAACGCACAGGGATCCTGTCTTTGGTAAACGTTCTTGTCCATTCCCAGACTGCGCACGAGCAGCTCCAGGGAAAGAGTTTGAGGCGAAGAAGAAGTTGGAAGGACATCTACGAAGTAAGATAGGAGGCCACGAGTGTACGGACGATGAGATTGAAAAACTCATCAGTGACATGTTGGCATCGGGCAGACAGCTTTAAATCGTCGACAGTATTGTCGTCGAACCACAGAGTCTGCTCAGTATTGTTACGAAGCAGCGGCGCCGAATATTGCAGAGACATGTACTAGGGATGAAGAGATTAGACGCTGTCGGAACAATAATGACACCAACAGCAATTGCAGAAGTATGTTTTAGATCTCAAGGTATGGAAAGTTCTGATATTTGCTAGGTTGGAGGTGCTTTACATAGCTATTGAAGAGAATTAGATGAGCAGATAAGATTAGCATAGCATAGTATAGAATAGCACAAGTGGAATAAAGCAGCAATTCGGCACTGCCGATATATCTTTCTATTAGTTGACGTTGAGACTTCGCTCTATGTCGTAGCTGACGGACGAGTTTCCACACTTCATTCATATCCAGAAGCGCGATCCTTCAACCCATCTCACTCAAGCTGATGACTCGACGATGTTCTGGGACAATCTCTCCCAAAACCCAGAGTCCGTCCACCAAGTCATGGTCCTCATGGGTGATCGTGGTATTCCTCATGGATACAGACACATGCACGGTTATCTGGGTCACACCGTCAAGCTTATCAATAAGAAGGGCGAATAGGTGTACTGCCGATTCCACATGCAGTCCCAACAAGGCATCAAATTCATTACCCAGGAAGATTCCGCGACTTATCCTCTCGATTATTCCCAAGATGACCTTGACGAATCCATTGCTAGAGGCGATTTCCCCAAGTGGAGCCTTGAAGTTCAGACCATGACACCTAGGCAAGCCGAGGAGTTTGTGGGAGACCGACAAGATCAACGTATTCGACCTCACGCATATCTGGCCACACGCCAACTTCCCTCTACGCAAGGTTGGAGAGTTTGGATTGAACGAGAATGCAACAAACTATTTTGACGAAATCGAACAGGTCTGCTTCAACCGGGCTCATATGATCCTTGGCATTGAGCCGTCCGCGGATCCAGTCTTGCAGAGCAGATTGTACTCGTACCCTGACACGCACCGCCACTGCGTGGGCGTGAATTATCAGCAGTTGCCTGTCAATGCCCCCCGAGTGAACTACCGTATGGGTAATCCAGCGGGATTGTGCTATGGCATTTATGAACGATCGAATTACATTTCCAGCATTGAGCCAATTGAGTTTAAGGAAAGACAGGTAGAACTCGATAGAATGCATGCGCATTTCGCGAGTAATGCCGTAACATTCCTCTCTGAGATTCGCCATGAGGATTTCAGTGCCCCGAGGAAGCTGTGGGAGAAGGTATTTGATGATAAGGCCAAGGAGAGGGTCACCTCGAATATGTCCGGACATATGGAGAATTGTAAGGAGAAGGAGATTATCAAGCGACAGATTAGCATTTTCCGCGAGATGAGTAAGAATGTCGTGAGTAGATTGGAAAAGGCCACGGGCGTGAAGGATTATGATGGGATTAAGGATTTGAAGCTTACTGGGACGCATAATGGGATGGCAAGGAAGAGGAAGGAGGAGGATAAGGTTGCGAATGGAATGGGTGATAAGAATGTCCAGTTGAGTAGAGTGGAGGCCAGTGGTGCCTGCCGGGACTGCTCCCGCAGGGGGAGGTGGGGCTCTTACGCTGCCAAGGCCATCTCCAAAAATACTAATCGCGCAAGAAGAAAACAGGAGTGCTGTTAGCTACAAGGTCCCAGTTCCCTTCATCTGTTCTGAATTTGACAGAGAACCCTCTTGGGTCGCGGGCGCAGTCGTGAGATCCAGACTCGCCACCGACAGTTGAGAAGCGCACCGTGACGGGACATTCTTTGCCTGCCTGGAACATATCTGCGAGACAGAGATCCTCAAGCGTATCCGTTGTGCGATAGACACCATGAGCACCGCTGCCTTTGGCGTGAACGACTCGCTCGGGGATCCTCTCTCTGTCAAAGTGAGAGAGGAGGTCGATCAAGTGGAAGTCTTGGAGTAGGAGAGGTCCATTCTCTCCTGCTCTTTGAGCCTCATATGGATGAGGAACGGGAGCGCCATTGGATGCTGTGTAGATTGTATCTTGAGCTTTGGCAGATCTGTCGTCTTGGTAATTGCGAAATGATCGCCGGAAGTGTGAATTGAACCCATTTTGATTGTAGATGTTGAAAATGCGTGATGAAGGAAGAGAAGAGAGAGGGACGATTGATATACTGCTGCCACCACCCTTGCCACGGGATGACTTCATGACTGCATGATGAAATGCCTCGTGTCTCATTCGTCGGACCAGATGGAGAACCACATTTCGGAGGTCAGGCTCCTACTTCCAGCCTTGACAGCGGCAGTTTGAGAAGTGAAGTGCCTTTCGAAAACTAACTAGCTTGCGACTAGTTCGACATATCTGTAGGCATATTCAGTGGCTGATTGAGGATGCTTCAACGTCTATCAAATGTTACATCGACTTCTGATTTGCTGCTTCAAAGTCGAGGCTCTTCCGATGCATATCCAACCTCGTTCCGGTCCAATGATATGGGGTAACACAAGCATGGGAAAATTGAAATCTCGATCCCCCTTGAGAAGAAATATCGATATCGTCATAGGGTTCATGGATGGTGGGGAATTGTGGGGTTCATCCCTAGGCTTAAGCTTCGATCGAGATCTAATACGGCATCGGGATTTAGAGCCGCGAGTTTGGTATCGATTATTCGTGTCTCATCTGCCGTTTCTTTTCTCCTCACGTGAAAGACTGAGGAAATCTGAGCTCATACCGATCTTGCAGCTGAAAGTTGTACACAGAGAAGAATGGAAGACGTCAGCGAAGCTGCGGCTGTAAGCGAGGTGGCGAGATCCCGTTCTGATCATAATTCCCACGTGGTTATCAGGTACAAGTAGAAAGGGGCAGATGTCAATATTGGCTTTGTATATTCTCCGGTCACTTGATTGGCTATTAGGATGGTTTATTCTTGCATTTACGAGCAGATACATATTTGGAGAGGTCTTGTAATATCACGTGACTATGTACTAAGCATGACTTTGTGCTCTCCAGCAAACCTCCTGAATCGAATGAAGTCCTCGCTGGTACCGATGCCCAATACATTGCAGAGTGGATGTTGCAGCTTTTTCCCCATAGCATTTTTCTCTGATGATCCTCCATGTCCAAGGCTTCTCCTTGATGTTAGGCTTCTTCGCCAAACATATATATTTTGGTTGCACGTCATTAACAGCCACTTTGTGAAAATAGTGCAGTTCATATGAGATATGTAGAATTGGAAAATAGAGTCTGACTACAGAATAAAAATCGCTTATTAGGAACCCTCAGTAAATAAAGGTCCGGTTCAGCCTCCTCGGCTGATGATGTAGCGTGGCCTGAACAGGAACATAGCCGGGATGATAGAGAATAAATGATTGGCTGGGCCTGGCGACGGGAGCTTGACTTTGTGGACTTTGACTTCATACTTCTTTATGAAGTCGAAATAATTTTTGAATTACTAGCATGGCATCAGACATATAGTACTTGTTGTCTTTCTCTCCTACGTGTAATTGTAGTACATTTTGGTGTTCTGTAGTATTCTTGGAAGCATGATTGAATTGTTTGACCAATCCCTGACGTAAAGTAAACAAGGCGCTGCTGCGCTGCCTGATCAATGCCACCTATGCTGAATAATAGCCGTTGGTATACCAGTCGGAAAGCTTGACTGACTAGAATCTGAGGATCACGACACCCTGAGATAATAATTGAATAGGACAAATTGACAGGAACTATTGCTGACATGAAATTCTGGAGCTCGCTTTGAGGTGGTCAGAAGGTGACATCGGCAGTTAGTGACTGAATTTCCGGTATTGGCATTTTTGCATAGAACTTCATGACCCTAAGGAAACGATAAATTGACAAGTTCGAGCTATCGTTTCTGCTCGTGAATTTCAACGATATAGATATCAGAAATGATGTACCCCGAACTGCGGCAAACCCTCGTCATTTGGCAAGTCAACACTCGGCCAGGGTCGGCAATTAACGAAATCAGATAAGCGTCGATTCTGCCCAATTTCTTCACCGCCCGCCGCCAGCCAAACCAAGCCAGCACCCAGCTCAATCACCCGTACACTCTCCTCCTCTCCTCACTCTTCCACCATTCAATACACGCTTCCACGAGTTCGCAGTGGCTTCCTCTACTCCAAATCAATTCTCAATGTTCTTCACGAGCTAACAAACCACTGTCATCGCCTTTAGCCACTCTTTTTGCGTGTCGCACACTCCCACACACCTCCTCCACTTCATCATACCTCCCTGATATACGAAAACCCTCCACCAACCATGAAGACTGCCAAACAACCTCCAGTCGATCTGGCATCGAGTCGCAGAGCCCAGCCTCTTCGACAGACACGAAACAATCCTCCTAGATCCTCAATCTCTGGCACTCGCAACTTTGGTTCCAGAAGCTCACTTGGTGGAGGCATGGAAGAAGCGCCCATGGACATCTTCCCCGCGATCACACATTTCGCCGACGCCATAACTGCACTACCCAAGGAGCTTGTTCGACACTTCACACTCCTCAAAGAAGTCGATGCGAAGATCTTTGCGCCAGAGGAGGAACTTGGAAAGCTCGTCGAAGCTGCGTTGAGCGCCCCTCCCCCTCGACCCCAACAAGCCGAACGACATCTTGCTCTCGGTCCAACATCTGCTCCTATGAGCGCACACGGAAGTCTCAATGGCTCTGTCATAAACGGAAATGCTGGGTCAGTAAACTCTCCTGCTGAGGCCGAGGCTATGAATGTGTGGGATCCGGAAAATATTCCCCGACGACAACTCTTCCAGCATTGCGCGTACACGATGCAAAATATGCTGGTATCGCTGGATGAGAAGAACCATGTCATATCCACGGCTAGCGAAGCTTTGAATAAACAACTCGCGCGCATTGACGAATGTTTCCCTTATATTGAGCTCGAGATTAGTGAGGAGGCACGGTATGGCAGCGCTACACATTGGGCATATCCTGAGAATCGACAACCGAAAGCGCCTGCTGGTGTATCAAGAAGAGAAATCGCTGCGGCGAATAGCTTGTCTGCGGCTGCTCAGCAGATCGCAGAGGAAGCCGCCGCGAGGAGCGACGCGCGAAAGCAAGCTATCCTCGAGAGAAGGAAGGGTAAGAACCAACAAGCCGAATCCGACTTTGATGAGGAGAGGTATAAGGAGAAGAAGGTCCACGGAAATACCAAGGGCCGGAAAGTTACTGACTCGGTTGGGCTGGGAATTGCAAATGGGGCCAGCAATCCTCCTAAGCGTCGCAAAGTCGAGAAAGGACCAGCTGGCGGTGTAGTCATGGAGAAATCACTCAGTGCAGTGTTTGGTAATGGCACAGCGAAAGGAAAGGCAGCAAGTCCTAGAGAGACGCCGGTACCTGAAGCCAAAAAGAGATCGAGAGCTACAGCTACGAATGGACAGTCAAGAAAGAGGTATGCTTCCGTAGCGGGGAGCAAATCAATTGCTAACAATCCTAGAAATAATACCGTTACCTCTGCGATGTCTCCCTCTTTGGCCTCTTCTCCGATACGAAGCACGTTCCCAGAACTCAAGACGAAGGGTTCTCCACCACCTCCAAATGGCAGGCCTGCGGCGAGAGGAAGACAGAACTCTGCACAGTCAACGATAGAGAAGAGACCACAATCATCTGCGTCTAACAAACCGAATGGAACGAATACGCCAGATCTGGTGACAGCCGCTGCGATTACAGGGCGAACTGTTCCCGAAGTGAAGGCTACAATGAAAGAAACGGCAAACAACTCCAAGGAACATCTCCTCGAAGACATCGAACGAGAGGAGCCCGGTTTAATAGGTGGGGTCGTCGTGGGAAATCGCAAAGACAGCGTTGCTAAAGAAGAGAATCCGGAGCCCATGCAAGGCATACAATTAACAACCATCACGACGAAGAGCGGCAGAGCCAGCAAGCCCTCCACACCAGCTATACCACAATTTCCCGAGCCAGTCCAAAGATCTCGTTCCTCTCGCGCAGTCGAAACTTCGAGTTCGAAACGCAGCCACAAGAAAGGCGCCGGTCAAGCAGCTCAACTCGCGGCGCAGCAAACGCAGAACGGAGACGACGAGCGGACGCCGGATGTTGTGGACGAGGATGAGGAGATGGAGGTTGGAGAAGATGAACCCACATATTGTTATTGTAATAATGTAAGCTACGGTGAGATGGTTGGCTGTGACTCGGATACTTGCGAGCGTGAATGGTTTCATCTCGAGTGTGTTGGTTTGAAGGTTGCGCCTGTTGGGAAGGGTAAGTTCTTTCTCCCCTTTCTCATGCAGAGAAAAGCAGCTAAAATGAAGCAGCGAAATGGTATTGCGACGACTGCAAAGAGAAAATGAAGCAGAAGCGTTTCAGTACTCGTTAGAGATTGCATGTTGCAGGTACATGCCTAACGAAACGGGATAAACATTGCTCAGCATGGCGTACAGTACATACAGGAAGGCGAACGGAATGGCCAGGACACAAACGGATCGGATATCTGACATACACATGGAATGGGACTTGGATGATAGGAGTTTTTGGTCCGGGAAGCCTGGCCGGTGGAGTAATGAAAATGGCATGCATACATCTACCTATCTTTGTACCAGTCGGCGACATGTCAAGTCAAGTCACGCATACTTGCATTTGTACGAAGTTCAATGGACGGACGGGATTTCTCTTGGAGCTTGGCTGGACTGAACTAGGTTGGGCCGGTAGTCCTGGAGTTCCAGGCAGGCGAGCATGGATGGTTATGGATTTGCATTCTGTTTCTGTCGAGATCTTCGTTTTTCATCTGGAGTAGCGTTCTGGAGGAGCTCTCTCTTCCTTGTTTTGCGTGGTGTTTCTTCCTTCTCCATCTGAGGTCACAGATCCGGATCTTGATTGATAGGAAGAGGTCTAGATATCTAGACAATGAAATGCAATGGATCTGTCTAATCATCGCCTACCTGGACCCACACTTGTGGCGATCCGAATCAATTTGATGACGGGAAATGTTAGGGAAGATATGAGGTGAGAAGTCGATAGAATACCACCTGTGCATGTGGCTGGATAGCCATAGCCTGACTCAGCACAACAAGATTGCCTACCTAGGTAGTCGAGGGGAGACACATGTGATAGAGATCACCTCCGTAGGTACCTTAGGTAGCTTCCATATCTTGGTTCTCATATCAATACGATCTCGAGCTGATGTACAAATACCTGGTCACCACACACGGAACAAAAGTCAAAATGCGCCTGCTCTCGCCTTTCCCAGCACCACCGTCGAGTACAAGTGCCACGTCCACATGTCCGCCCAATCCCAGCACACCCCCGTCGCCCGACTGATGAGGCTGCTGGGACCGAGTATGACACGACCAATCTATCCATCAATCAGCCTACTTCCAGTGCTGAAGACTTGCCTTCAGTTCCACACTGAATAATTTTATCTTTGCCCATATTTGAACCATTATATTCGCCCTGTGAGCGGAGAATTAGCTCCTGCTTTTGGATTAAGAATTCTGGTACATGCCTACGAGCTTACAAGCTACTCACAAATCGCCTAGTTAACTAAGGGCACGAGGCTACTCGAAACGTGTCATCCACGTTTTGCTTCCGTTCTATAAGACATCATTCTTGTTGCTACATGCATCTTCTGCATTGGGAAGTCCTGGATGGACACGAGGATAAGCTCAAAATCCGGCTCGAACGAGACGCCAATGTCATCGACTACGCTATTCTCTCGCATCGATGGGGCACCCTGAAGACGAGGTGTCTTTTGAGGACATGTTGAACGGACGGCAGGAGGGCAAAAGGGGTTATACGAAGCTTGTAGGCTGTTGCAAGCAAGCCCGGAAAGATGGACTGCACTATGTTTGGATAGACACCTGGTGCATTAACAAGGCTAGCAGCGCAGAGCTTTCCGAAGCGATTACCTCCATGTTGAAATAATTGTCCGTGAAGTTTTACGGTGGCTATCCGACTTTGACCAGTATGGAAACATCCTAAGCGGCAGCAACGCCCCTTCAGCCAAATGGTTACTGGTTTTTGATGACGTCGAAGATACCTCCTTGCTTCGCCACTTCTTACCGTCAAGTGGGCCTGGCTGCGTGCTCGTTACCAGCAAAGATCTCAATGCGTGGTTTAACTTGGGTTTCGAGAACATTGCTCTGGATGAGCTCACAATCTAAGAATCATCAGAGCTATTCAGGCACCTGACAAGAACAGAATAGGATTTTGCAGCATTGAGTGAACAGCTTGGCGGACTCCCATTAGCAATCGTGCAGGCTGCTCGCTATATGGTAAAGACGCATACGTCGGTGAACGAATATGTCGGTCTGTTTGATGAGAGTCATGCATATGTACAAAGCAGGGAATATCGCAGCCGGTACTACAAAGAGAGTCTAGACACCGTCTGGTCCTTGACTTTGAACCAATTATCTCCTCCAAGCGGCGGAACTTTACAAGTCCTATCATTCCTAGACCCCGACTATATCCAGGATTCAATTTTAAATTCATCCCGAACAGTGGCATTAGAGGACCATCCATGGAATGAATCTGACCTGTTAGAGAGTCAGGCGGAGCTCCTGCAAGCCGCATTGATTGCGAGATCTTCTGGAGGCGATGGACTGCAAGTTCACAGACTCGTCCAAGCTGTCGTAAGGGAAAGAATGGATCCTGATGAGTTTCGGAAAGCATTGTCAAGTGCGGTAACTTTGGTATCCTCTGCTTGGATTGATGCAGATTCCAGTGAGCAGGGCAGACTACCGAACCCGAAGATCCGCGATGACCTTCTACCTCATGTGAATCACCTCAAGGAATTCGAGGCGAATATGACGGACTCAGAAAGCGGTATCTGCACGAAAACTGACTTTGATAAGCTTTTGAGCTACGTTGAAGAGTAAGTCTTCCTGAATTATGTCCTCTTCACTTATACCTAACGAGAGAATCCCAGTCACGTCAGTGGGAAGGGAAACTCTGGTGGTATAGTGGATCCTCTGAAGGCATCCTAGCAACAGCCTGACAAGTCACACATGTTGTGCTCAGCAAGTAGGGCCAGTTCGCTAAGAGGAGTGTTGTTGACGTTGGGGCTCGCTGCGAATTCAGAAAATCTTAGTACCCGGGCACATGCCTAATCTGAAGAGCTTTCTGTGTGAACTTTTCTCCTAATCTGTGTTTGAATTTATGCAAGGTTCACAGAGTTCAGCTGTAAATATTTCTGGCTGAATGCGATGAAGTGATGAGCAGTCCTGGCAAAATGCGACTCAAACACCCATTAATTGGTGGTCATGGGATTTTTCCTTCACTTTTTGCTGAAAGACGACAGTTCAAATATCGATATCGAATAATGTTCTAGATTTAGGGTTCGAACGATATCTAACTCGTTCTTCGTCAAAATGGCTTGAGGCCCTGCAAGCGCTGAAAGTTCACGAATCCAAGGCAAATTTCCCAATCATCCTGTGTCGCTTCTCCAAGGGCGTGGTATTGACCTCTTTCTACCTTATGACAGAAGACGAATTCGTACTGCTCCTCATTTGTACAACTCACGTACACCTTTCAATTTTTCCATCTCGCCATGTCGTACCCGAAGTTATTCTCGTATTCATCTACCGTGGACTGGCCGGCGATACACCTGTTGGATCTCAGCGGGTGCAAAGGCTTCATCGATTGATGGCTCGCGCAATTTTTGGCCCTGACGCTTTTCGCCCTCATCCACGCCAAGATTTCCCAAATACTCGCAATATCCTTATGTGCAGAGCGAAGGGCTACGTCATTCGGTAGTGAGTACCCAAGCTGCATATCGTGGGCCAAACATGTATCACGACCCAAATCAAGTTGAAGTCGTGGAATTTCTGGCACTCGAGGTCCACGAGCTCCATGGCGTGTGCAGCCTTCTACCAGTATACATGGTGGCCAATATATCTTAGCTTGAGCCCGTCTTGGTAACAACGATGAAAGCATCGGCATGTGTAGAGTTGGAACATCGCATATGACATCTCATGCAGCTGTTAAATATGACAAAGGTCATGTGCAAGCTGAGACTAGCTTCTGCACTTATGTATATATAGAGGGCTTCCCCCCGACTTCATTCTGCAAGGCAATCAATCATTTACTTACCCCTTTTCAAGGTCTACTCCCGTGTACCGTTCAACAGCAGCAAAGTCTCGAGATTTTCCTTGAGCAGTTCCTTTCTGTCGGTCCCGCAAATCTCCCATTCTTCGTGCCTGTTTATGGTGATCAATTACCATGGGTTTTCAATTCTAAATCGAGGATCTCGTTCGGTACCTGGAACGGTCGTGAAGCAACATCCTGCACTGGGTCCACGGAGACGTCACTGCATGATGAATTGCGAGACGATCTCAACTTTACATATCTCAGTGAGCAGTCCGTTGAAGAAAACGTCGTTAAAGATATTGAAAAACTTATTGAGATCTTCTAGCTGCTCGTCGGGATCCTCACTCAAAACACCTCGATGCCATGAATCTCGATTGCGAAAACGCTGAATGGCCTTGTCTCGTCTCGATCAAGTGGAACCTTGGTGTGCTGTTCTGAGGAGAGCAAGTACTCTTGGGGGCTGAACGATACAGAGGTGTGAGGAACTCGACGATCGCATCTGAGATGGCCTGGATATTGTATGAAGCGGCTTGAGACCACTGATCTGGAATTCATCTTTAGCGACAGGACCAGGTGTATGGATTTTGGAAGTGTCCATGATTGTGGAAGTGCGATATGGGTGTAGATGTCGAACTTAGTACTCGACATGGTCCAGGGGAGTTATATGCAAAGACTTGAGGTCTATCCAAGCCAGTCAACTAGGACGCTGTGAATCAACACCAATAATCCAAGAAGATTCTTGAATCACCACTCAAGACGACGCTATACCACACTGGTATTCACTAAGGGCTGACTTCTCCAAACCCATCAGAAAGTGAGAGTATGGTTCCTAAACGGAATCAAAGCCATCACAACAGCAGGAACATAAGCCGTCTCCCTAGATACAGCATTTCCAGTCAACAACCCCACATTCCCATCCCCCTGCTTCGAATTCGTCTGCCCAAAAACCAAATCATCCGCAGGTCCTAACTCCATCCCACCTCTCACCAACCTCGCTATCTCCTCAGGCAAATAATACGATCCCGTTCTCGCCTTTCCAATCTTTCCTCCCTTCCCAATGACCGCGATCCAGGCAAACAGCTCCAGCGATCCCGCTGTCTTCTCAGGCGTGTCTTCGACTCCACCCTCGAGTCCAATCCAGTAATCGGCCTCTGGTTCTTGTTCCCGCGCGTTTTGAGCACGATTGAGTGCGCCTTGGAGGGTTTCTTGGCTGGTGAAGGGTTGGTCGGCGACGCCTGAGGGGACACTGATGCCTTTGGCGGTGTAGGTGTTGGTTGGGAACATGGCTTGGAAACCTTTGAGAGTTGCTGAGATCTTGATGGGATTTTTGGATGCTACGATTATTTGCTCGACTTTCGAGCTTATGAGATTAGGTTCTTCCATGATTGACAGTGTGGATGTGGTAGAGATAAGAAGTGTTGTTGTTGAAGGTGCGGCTGGAGTGATTAGTCAGGGTTTAGTAATCCCACATTCTCTCCACTCCAAACCGCGGATTAGGACTTCCTTAACCTTGCAATGCCTTTGGCATCTCAAGGTCTGCACATAAGAAGCTCATATCTCGTCTCACAGATTAAACAAACGTTTAAAATTTTCCATTCTCTAAACTCTCTACTCAAATATACATACAGTCTTCCCCTGAATACATGACCGATGGGCGTAATTAGGAACCTAAAGATCCAATGCTTGTCTCCCAATTCAACACGACAAAGACAGACCAGAGACAATTACATATTGTGAGTTGCAAATCCTTTGCTGGCCAGCAGCCCAACTCCAGACTCTTGACCTCATTCTCGGCTACGAATTGCCACTTCACTGAGTAGCGGCTGCGCCTCCAGTGGAGCCAACTGTGAGTGGGAACGTGACTGCAGTCATTGATGTGACACCGGCATTGTCCAAAGCAGCCTGGGAAAGCTGGGTGATGCTAGGAAGAATGTTGGGGTTTCTGTGTCAGGTCAGCAAATGTCTGGTTGCAGGGAACAAGAAACATACCTGGCTTGCTCAATGGCTGGAAGTGCCGCGGCGGCAGTCTCTGGAGTAGGGTCGTTTTGGATCTTCATGAGACCATCAAGGACAGCTGGGGTGTTCTTAACGATCAAGGCGTTGCTCTTGGCTCCAGCGCTTCCTGCGGCTGTGGCAAGGACATTACGTCTTTGGTCCTCATCGGACTCGGCCTGGAAGGCAGTGGTGGCGATCTGTCTGATCTTCTCGGGGTCGGTCTGGCAAAGTCAGTAAGAAAGCAGGAAGTGGATATGAGTGCCATTTACCTCCGTTCCGAGAGTGTTCAAAGATGCGGAAACAGTCATGGCATCGTTGGCAAAGGCACCGGCGGCATACATGACCATGGCGGCGTTGGAGTTGCCCTGGATAGTTGCTGGAGCATCGGTCGCGGGTGGATTGTTTGCAGCAGTAGCAGGTGCAGAGGCTTTGGCAGCAGGAGCTGAAGTCTTAGCAGCGGCGCCAGGGGTTGTGGTTGATGGTTTCTTTGGTGCTGTACTAGCCCGAGGGTTCAATGGCATGGCGACGGAAGTGCCAATCAAGGCGAGGAGGGCGACTGAGAGGAACTTCATTTTGCTGGTTAATTTGGACTTGAGAGTGACGAAAGAAAGATGAAGTGCTATTAGTGAATTATAAAGACGAATTCGACCGGCGAATGAGATTAGAGAAGTAGACTGTTGGATTGAGCTGGAATGTTGTACTGAAGAATATTAGATGGGTTGGAACCTACACAGAAGTTATATATTGAAGGGGGACAAAGTTTGTGCTCGTATCGCAAGATTGGTCTCTCTTTAGATCACTTGGCAGTTTTGTTACACCTCCATCAAAACGAGGTGTCTAGAATTTGTTTGACAGGTGTTTAAACGTGTACCGTTGTTCGCAACCTGATGTTCTAGGTTTGGAAACTTAGCTTGACAGCCACTGACGTAAAGCACGCGAGATCTCGAGTCGTCAAAAGATGGAAAATACCGATCTCAGGGTCAGGAGTGCAACAAGGATATGAATACGGAATTTTGCGAAGCGAAACTTTCTGATGCGATTGGCCAGGTTCGTCTCGCTTATGAAGTTGAATCAAAATACCGTCAGCCTCAAACAAAATGCGCACAGATGGGGGTAAGAATAGGCACTAAAGTCCGTGGTTCATCGGGTGGCGATCTTTCGATTTGTTCTAAACTTTCCGTCCCGACATCCTTGGCAATGCTTGAAACGCCATCGGTGTTGTAGTTTGCCCTTCATGCGATGGAAACGCCAAGGCCTTAATGACCCTGCCTCCCGTTGCTTGTGTTGCTTGTTCCTGGATTGCAATCATGCGAAGGCCCCGAAATCCCGACGTTGATCTTCGTAATCAATGGGCTTGGCTGGGAGCCGTCGCTGTTCTCGGAAAGCTTGTCTCCCGGGTGCACTCAGCTCTTGTGGTGTACTTTGTCTTTCTGATACTCTATCAACACCTTCCGCTCTTCAACTTGCTGGTCTAGGTCATCCAATTCACTATCTTTGTGTTCTTGTTGATCTTACTGCTTTTGTTCTGTTGTTGAATTGTTTGGATACCTCAAGGGTCAAGCTGGTCTTGAAAATAATACCTTCTCACCAAAATCGAGGCTCCTAATACCCACGATGCCGTCGAGTTCTGTCTTTGTCGTTGCTGCTTTGAGCTTTGGATCCCTGGTGGCCGCTCTACCAACTACTAGCTCATCGAGATACCAAGAAGCCGATATTTACAAGAGACAGAATGCAACAGCACCAGCGTCCGGCCTAACAGATGTTGATATTCTTCAATTGTAGGCCGCACATATTTCTTTCGAAGCTCATCTCCTAACTTGATGTAGTGCCCTGACTTTGGAGAATCTGGAGGGTGCATTCTATGCTCAAGGATTCAGCAAATTTCCCGATTCGGACTTCATGGCTTTAGGTCTCTCAGCGCCCGACGTCACCAATCTCAAATCTATCGCAACAACAGAACAAACGCATGTTACAACATTGACTGGAGCTATCGCTGTAGCTGGATTCAAGCCCGTGCAGCCGTGTACATACAACTTTGGCTTCACGACGGCAGCTGCCATGGTAGCCACGGCGGGGAATTTAGAAAACATTGGTGTTTCTGCGTAGGTTGCCACATGATGGAGATTGAATCACAGCTAACATAGTCAGGTATCTTGGAGCAGCACCTTTAGTTAAAATGCCTGCGATTCTTACCGTCGCAGCTGAGATCTTGACGGTCGAATCCAGACATCAGACATTGATTCGGACGCTCGCGAAGACAGCCGCAATTCCTTCAGCATTCGACACCCCACTCGGAGTACGATCTGTCTTCTCTCTCGCTGCTCCTCTGATCTCGTCCTGCCCCGATGGGTCCAATCTCAAGATTGCGCCATTCCCAGCACTTGCCTTGATGCCAATGCCTGCGATGGCAAATTCGACTTCAATGCCTGTGGGAACAAGATTGACGGTGATGGGAACACCCGCAGGGGCCACAAATTGTGCATTTTCGAACGGAGGCGCCCCAGGAGGGACAATCTATGTCACGTTCGAAAACAGCGGGTGTGCGGTTCCTCAGGGAGTGTCGGGCATCACATACATGCACTTGACGTCTTCTGTGCCACAAGGAAACATTTTGACGGATGACGTTGTTGTTGCTGGAGTGCAGGTTTTGAATGTTTCCTAAAAGCAAGGAGCTGGAAGATTGAGGAGATGGAATTTTACAGACTGGGTTAGAATCATGGGACAGGACATCAATCATAATAGCAAATGTATATTTCTACTCGTTTGATTTCTGTTCATAAATTGCATATAGGAAAATACCATCGAGAATACCAAGATCGTCAAAATTGCGATATTTGAATTTCTCAGTTGCCACTGTGTTCTCGATGAAAGGTGAAAGAGTCTCCAGTCTCGCATCCGTTGCCCAAAGCGGCTAGCCTCGTTTCGAGATCTTCGTCCGATCTTTGGATAACCTCATTCAGCAGGGATGTTTTCTGCGGATATTCGCCTACGATCTTGTTTGACGTTTCAAAACACCCTCCTTGTAACAATCTTGGCATGGGCATTGAAAATGTGTTGTGGCGTCTGTTTCAGTGTACTGCGTTGCTGACACACCGGATAGAGGAACTTCCCTCTCGACTGCATGTCGGACGCAGCGAAACTAGCTGGGGACCATGGACGGTTTTTCGTACCACGGTCTGGAGCTGAAGTCTCTTCCATTTCTTCCTCATCCTATACACATTGTTTGCCCTCTCGATCATACTTTCTCAAGCATCAACAGAAACTATCAAGATGAAGGCATCCACTTTTGCATTCCTGTTGGAATTATTTGCCGCAGCACAGGTGAGATCAAGAAACACTCTCACTGATCATCTGCTAACAATCAATCCAGGCTCAAACTGCGATCATTAGCGAGTCACCTCTGATGACGGCACCAATAATCGCACCTCCAGCTGCGCCAGGAGGAGCAAATCCAGCGCCTCCACAGGGCCCAGCGATGCCAGCACCGGTGGTGCCTCTAGCAACAGGATCTCCACAAGTACCCGGCGGTGATCCCATAATCGACCTGCGGCCTCTGATGACAGCTGGAATCATTGCTGGTTCAATGAATCTGAATGGAGCGGCCGGAATCCCACAACCACCAAATGCGCCAGCGCCATCGATCAATTCAGGTTCACTCGCGCAGGCTGGAATTGTTGGTGGACCAGCAGCAGGCCCTCAAGCTACTTCACCACCAGCAGCTATGAATCCAGGAGCGCCCGGGCCTGCAGCTCCTCCACTACCACCAGGAATCAACTCTGCGACCTTGATGACAGCGGGTATCGTGGCAAATTCTCAACCGACATCAGGAGTGACGGCCGGAATCCCTCAACCCGCTGCAGCAAATCCAAGTGCGATTCAGTCAGCAACACTTACACCAGCGGGGATTGTTCAAGGAGGAAACACAACGACGACGAATCCGACGGGAGGTCTTCAAGGGTTACAACCTGCTGCAGGGAACTCAAGTATATCTGTCCCTGCCCCAGCAACCAACTCTGGACGTTTAAGCATTGGAACTTCGTATCTAGCGAGTTGGATGGGATGTATTATGACAAGTGTATACCTTTTGATTTAGTTGAGATCAGTTTCGGTTTTGAGTTTATCAGCTTAAGTTTGTTTATCACACTGCACTGAAAGACTGCGTCTTGAGAGCAATAATCTGTACATAAGACCAGAAAGTAGTAATATTACGAGATATCAGATCAAAGTTCCCTTTACCCTGTGATGTGTTTGTGGGGCGATTCGACCCAGAACCTTGGATACACCAAAGAGATCTCCCCGGCCGTTTAGGCTCTGCCGCCTGAAGCGAAGGGGCTACGCGGAGGATCGTCACAGGGGGCAGGACGCTGCAGCCACACTAATGCAAGCCTTGCTCTAGACCAAGCCACAGCGGATTCAGGCTGTTCTGAGCTTGAGGGGATACAGAATTACCTTCCTCGAAAATGATGTCGCAAAAGCCTCCGGAATATCCATATATTTTTCCGTACGCTGGAGGCTATGGGCAAGAATTGAAAGATCTCGCAACAATACAGAAAGTGATACAATTCCGATGAGAAAAATTGGCAATCACAATCATGAAATATGGCTCGTCGTCACTGATCTCGCTTGCACACGGTCCCAGTTGATGAACAAACAACTTCGCAAGATTCATCTCCCACAGACAGGATCGTGTTGTTCCGGCTTCAATGCTGCCCGGTGACGGTATTTGACGGGGCCTGAGCCTGGTACGTGATCTACGAACGCATGCCCCTACTCACTCCATGCTCCTCAAGTTTCAAACGCGAATCACTCTGAGGGACTGCCAAGAACTGAAGGGAAAGCCCAGAAAGCCCGTAGTTCCCAAGTGACAAGGCCATCCATGCCCAGCAGTATGCCGGAGATAATCTCGAAGTTTGTCGTCCGTCCAAAGCTTATTTCGAAGCTTAAAACAAAGTTGCGAGGATATGTATATTTATCTTTTCTCCTGCAGGCGTGAAAAGCTGTCTATCATGTGAAACAGTTCAGCCTCCATATCTTGGTAGACCATGTTCATACGGATGCGCTTCGCAAACATGAGCAGTACAGTGAACTTCGGACGCTTAGTTATCCGTCGAAATCATGCGGCTGTTTGCTCAGCTTTCCATAGAAAGCCGTCATCTTGCCAGATCCCCGGGTCCATCGTCCTTTTCTACTTTAGTCGGCTGGTCTCGGCCAAGTTTAACATTTCTACGATACTTTTCTCGTTCATTCATTCTGCTTCCTTCCCAAGAGTGTCATTTAGTACAGCCCCGGTGGCCCTTTAATAATGCTTCATTTTAATGCTCGTTTTCCTGTTCTGCTGGTCAGCTCGATTTTCCTGGGCTCAGTCGCCTGCCAGGATCAAAATGTTGGGTGGAATCAAGTGGTAAATTTGAACGGAAATGTAGGAGCAACGCACAACTCTGGATGAACATTACTAATCCTATTAGATGCAACTCACTCGAGTGATTTTGCCAGATAATTCCGTTGTTGAGACTTTCTCCCAGACCCAGCGCCAGCTTATCGTCAATCAAAATCCGGCACCACTCTCTGCGAATCATGTTGTCGGCTCGACAGGACAACCATTCGTCCAGCTACAGCAAAACTCGATGACAATTGCCACGAATGGAGCAATCGATCTCGTCGGTGCGCAAATCGAACTTCCTATGGACCCAACTATGCTTCAACAGGCAGGCAACATCACACCCGACAACACATTCGTGGCGAAACTTTCACCCGATAAACAAGCATGGATGGTCATGGAGGGTATCAAGAGTGTCAACACGTAAGTTTCTCGGGAAGGTTAAAGCACTGTTCTCACCAATTTCAGAACCGACAACACAGTCCGCATCGTCAAGATGACAAACATCGATGGAGAATACATGGCAATTGGACGTATGACAGTCGAGACAAGCAACGTGTTGAGTCCGTTCGGCCAAAATGTGAACGTTACTGGATCTGGAATTCAAGAGATAGAGTTCAATGATGGGTTCCGCATGTCGATCAAGGCGACTCAGCAGATGTCTGTCAGCACAAACGTGATCAACGGTGTCAGTACATCGATGACTTCTCAAGTTGGCACACCTATCAGTGAGTACTGAATCTTTTATTGAACGAATGCCAGCTAATTCTTGTAGATAACTATCGCTACCTCGTCACCACAAATCTGGGCGGAGTTCAGCCAAACCTCAACCAGGTGCAAGCCGTCGTGCAACTTCCTCGTGAGTATAGCTTCACACAATTTTTCTGATTTGACTAATGCAAGCAGTCAACACCGACCGCGTGATGCAAATGGCCACCGCCATGGGTGTAGAAGCAAACGGTGCAATCACTCTCGGAGTCGCCCAACGATCCATTCTCCTAAACCCAGGCGGAGCAACCAACCTCCAACCCAACAAAGTGAAGAGACAAGATCAAACTCCCACGCAAAACAACCCCGTTGCAACTCAATTACTCCTCTCACCAACATTCACACCCATCGCCGCAAGAGCCGCCATCGACCAAGTCAACGGCCGCATCGCCATCCCGATAAACAACATCAACGGCGAATTCATTGTGACTATGACAAAGGCGACTGGACAAACAGCCCCACAACCAGCTGTAGCAGCCGAGCCTGGAATCAACGGTACCACGACAACTGGAGAAGTTGGAGGAGCTGGAGTTGCTGAGCCTGCTGGAAGTGTCACGATGAGCATGAGTGAGCTGAGATCGATGATGGAGAGACAGGCGAATGGAGGGGTTTTCTTGGCTGAAGCCATGTTTTCGGGAGGCAGTTCGCAAGGAACTGCTGCTGCTGCGTCCGGGATAAAGATTTCCACGAGACGGAATAAAGTTCAGGGTCCTACCAAGCCGCTTCCGTTTGTTGGTTGATTAGGAGGGAGAAGTTATGTGGACTTGCGGACTTGTTGACTTCGGGTTTTTCGAATGGTGGTAATGTGGAGATTGAGAAATGCAGGACATCAAATTGTATAAATATGGGTACATCTCTCACTAGAATAAAATACCAACTATGATTACCTTCGTTTAAAACCCATCGACTTGACCTGGAGAATTCACCTTCTGTTTGTTGACATGCAGCTCAACCACGGCTGTTGAACATACCTAGCCGACACTTGGCAAGAACTTCGCGCGACACTGCACTTAGAGAAAACTGGTTGAGAATGATACCAACGAATAAACTGCCACAAACGAATGCTATCCATCTCCGGACTACCTTGCGAATTTCCCGCTGTAACCAGCAGCCCTCATGTGATCTCTGTCTCACCAGGGCACGCTCTCGGCCTCTCTCGCTTCCCGAGTCAAGTGGCAAGGGAAAAGCACAACAGGAAACACTGAAACATGCCAGGCCAACATGAAGCAGCATGTTTGGCAGCTGTTTACAAAGTCTGTTTCCACCTTGGGACGGGTAAGGATCACGGAGCGGAGATTAGAGGCGGTTTCCGAGATGTGCTGCGGATCTGGCCTAGATATGGAAGATCTTGAAGTTTATCTTGAAGAAGATTGCTTGGCTTGGGGGATCATAATACATTTTGATATTGGATTTTATTATTGAGGCTCTGGCGGCAAGCAATGACGGACAATCTTGCGAGGAGACTGACGGCTGAATTTGTCCTCCTTCCCTTACGCCGCTGAAAGGTTGCAGCCAACACTTCGCGACTATTCGACATCTGTCGAATCTGTTGCTCCCTGCTTGTCTCCAGGAAACATTAAGAGTGTTAAGTCTTACAAAAATTTACTTTGACAAGAATGGTAAGAAAAACAAGATCTCGTGACGATTTTGGAATGACCCCACGAAGCAGAAGAAGCAAAAGCTACAGCGTGCTACGGAGTGATCGATAGCCTAGAGTTTAGCGAGTGTGCCCTGTAATCTCAAAGAGCACACCCCCAGACCCGCCCGACACAACGTAGCGAAGGGCCCGACATCGAATCTCGCTTGGATAATGGTTGAACAGCCCCGCATTAAGCCCCCCACCTTTCACCTTCGAGCCTTCAAGCCTTCAAGCCTTCAAGCCTTTCTTGAGTACCAGCTTCCCCAATCTCAAAATGACCTCCCTATTCTCAAACGATCTCATCTCCCCAAAGGTCCTGGAGTCACTACCCGAAGGATATATCTGTCGGCCCCTGCAACGCGGCGATTTCAAGCTCGGTCATCTAGATGTTCTTCGCGGCCTTACCCACGTTGGCGAGATCACCGAAGAGGAATGGACCGAGCGATTTGATGCGCTGAAGGAATCAAATGGCACTTACTACATCGTAGTGCTTGTTCAGAAGGAAGGAGATGTCGAGAAGAGGATTGTGGGGACGGGAACTCTAGTCGTAGAGAAGAAATTGTGAGTTGATGCTGAAGTCATGAGATGTTTTGCTGACAGGCTAGTCTGTATAAACTGGGAATTCAGGGACATATTGAGGACATCGCCATTGTTGAAGATCAGCAGGGGAAGAGGTTGGGTTTGATGCTTCTGCAGTTTTTAAGCTATGTTGCTGAGAAGACTGGATGCTATAAGGTATGATTTGTAACCGAGAGGAGAATGCTCATGCTGACTTGGAGCAGACAATCCTGGACTGCAGTCCAGAAAAGGAGGGGTTCTATGTCAAGTGCGGATATGAGAAAGCTGGATTGGAAATGCACTGCTACTACGATGCCGATGCTCAGAAGCACAGAGTATAGACTTGCTTGATGGATTCTCCACTACCACACTACACCTATTTCTCATCATTGGAAGAAACACATAGAAGCATTTGCTGGGACCTCCCACAATCGAAGAATCTTCGCTTCGTGTGGCATCACTTCCACAGTGTACGGCACATCGTACATTCCTTCCTTGTGTTTCCACAGATCTCGCACACGATATGTATCCCATTCCATGGTCAAGTCTCGACGTGGACTCACACTCATCTCAGCTGTGAAGCTCCCACGATTCAACAGAGCAACAGCATAACTTCCATCTGACATCTCCTTCGCGTATACTTGCAAGTTTTCATCTTTACCAATCCCAACAGTCTCGGCTGAAATCCCAAGTGAATCCTGATTGATTGCGATTACTTCATTGTTTGAAAGCGTTTCCAGATCGTACGCATCAAGAGTTCGAACATCGGATCCAATAAGAAGTGGTGAAGCCACCATCGCCCACATACTGAAATGCGTTCTGTACTCAATATTCGACGCTCCTGTCCCCACAAGCTGAGAACTATTCCCATTCAACCCCACAATCAACATGTCGTAATCATTCCAATGCCCAGGCCCAGAGTACTGCACAAGATTGTTCCCACGATCCAGCATATCTAGCACATCGAAATAGTACTTCTCGCGATTTCCAGGATAGTTGAAGTCGTCTGAGATATCCTGGCCAATGCGCCATTGATTCGCTCCTTCGCTTGCAGCCCATTCCCAGACGTCTGCCCATCCACAATGGCAGAAATGGTAGACGGTGGGATGTGACTGCGCGAGGAGTGATTTCGACATCTTTGAAGCAATCTCCTCCATTTCAGACCTGGGTGCATCTTCCCCGCTCGAGCAACAGCTGTCGTATTTCAAGTGATCGATTCCCCACGATGCGAACATCGCTGCATCCTCGTCTTCATGTCCTTCGCTTCCAGTATACCCCGCACAAGTCATCTGGCCAGGACCAGAATATATACCCAGCTTGAACCCATTCGCGTGAGCATAATCAGCGAGGGATTTCATGCCACCGGGAAACTTGACGGGGTCCACTTCCAGGGGATGATCGGATCTGTTTCCTTTGTAGCGTTGCCAACCATCATCGAGGTTGATGAAGACATATCCGGCATCTCTTAATCCATTTGAGGCCATTGCGTTCATGGTGTTCTTGATGAGCTCTTCGTCGATCTGATCGCCGAATTGGTTCCAGCTGCTCCATCCCATAGGGGGTGTCAAGGCGAGACCATTGCTCATTCCGGGGTTCTCTGATGGAGTGGGCTCTGGGATAGATGAGGTAGTACATGGCGATATTGAAGGAGAAATGGTAGTCTTGCACATTCCGCAGTGGAAGAGGGTGGCTACCACAACGACCAGATTTCGTGAGAAATACATTGAGATTGAAGTTTTGGCAGTGATACTTCCAACTTCTGAAGTCCTGAAAACTATACAGACCTCGTCCCGGGCGAGATTTACTCTCATAAAAACTCTTGGAACTCGAACCATGCAATTGATCAATCGAATACAAGAATTCCTTTCAGCTTCAAAAGCCACCTCTCCTATTCCTCCAATGAAACATAGAAATTTCAAATACCCCTGAGGAGGATAAACTCAAAGTCACGCCCATATCTGCTGTGTAACCCTAGATGTTGTCAGCAATGTGCAATTATCCTTTCCATCATGCCGAGCTACAGCACTGCTGCAAGTGCCGCACGCAAGCGATATTCAGCTCATCTTGGCAAGAGAATGTATTGCATATTATCATGCACTTACAGGGTTATCTTGCTGTGACGTTACTTTTTGGAATCAGAGATGGGAATACGAAGAGCGGGGTAATGGGGTAGAACGTGAAGATGTTCACCTGTGGGTGTCCCAGACGGGAAATCAGGAGATCTTGATGCTCATTGGAAATTCTTGCTCAATGATGGATAATATCCATATCCCATGCATCCACTCGGAACATTGAAGATAAAGTTTCTGAGACTTCTCTTCGACACTTGCAAATGTTTGAAAAGATCAGATCAATACAGACACCTCACAAGAGGAGGAACTGTGCAGAATGGAGGCTCCCGAATCTCATACGCCACCAAAAACAGCAGACGAGAAAACTTCCATCAACAATGTCTCCCACAAAGAAATAGGCTCTGAAGCCCGCCGCGCCACTGAAATCGAGCACGAAATGACCTTTCTAGACGGAGTAAAACTCTACCCCTCCGCCATCCTCTGGTCAGCCTTTTTCTCACTCGGAGTAATCATGACAGCGTTCGATCCACAGCTTCTCGGCAGTCTGTATGCCACCCCAGCATTCCAGATAGACTTCGGCTATCTCTACAACGGATCATATATCATCAGTGCTCCATGGCAGACCGCTTTAGGGATGGGGAATCCGATCGGGCAGTTTGTTGGTGCGTTGGCGGCTAGTTATCCGATGGAAAGGTTTGGGAGGAAATGGGTAGATCTCACCTTTGATGTCCTGAGTCACAGCTGATACATTGCAGACTTTTGCTTTATGTGTTGTTGGTACAGCAGGGTTCATATTTATGCAGTTCTTTGCTCGTTCGATCGAAGTCCTTCTCGTGGGAGAGCTGATCGGTGGTCTTATCCTGGGGATGTACACCACCATTGCTCCAACTTATGCGTCAGAAGTTTGTCCAATTGCTCTTCGAGGACATCTTACGGCTTATATCAATTTGTGTTTTGTTACGGGTCAGCTACTTGCAAATGGAGTCATTGCAGGTTCCTCGCAGTTGGACAACCACTGGGCTTACAGTACTCCATTCGCCATTCAATGGTTGTGGCCTATTATTATTCTCTGTGGAATTCCATTTGCGCCGGAATCCCCATGGTGGTTGATCAGACAGAATCGGATCGAGGAGGCTGAGCACTCCTTGAATCGCTTGTCGTCCTCGGCGGTCAATAACAAACTCGTGCTAGCGATGATGATAGAAACAGACATGCTGGAGTTTGAAATGCAAACGGGTGTAACTTACTGGGATGTTTTCAACAAAGTCAATATTCGTCGGACCGAGATCTCCATTGCAGTCTTTACTACTCAGGTATTTAGCGGGATCTACATGGTGGGGTATGCGGCGCTGTTCTTCCAGCGTGAGTGCCTTTTGGTTGACTGGAATATGTACTTACTTCAACAGTCGCGGGCCTTGATGGTCAGAAATCATTCAACATGAGCGTTGGATATCTCGCTCTAGGATGGATTTGCACGTGTATCTCTTGGATCTTCATTTCGAAGTGGGGGCGTAGGCGAATCTACAACATCGGACTCGCCTTCCTCACACTGATCATGTTCATCATAGGGATTTTAGATTGCGCTCCAAATTACGAGAATAGACCCGGCGTAATCTGGGCGCAATCGACCCTCATGGTGAGCCGGCATGTCTAATCCAACGCATCGAGCTGACCAAATCAGATCATCTGGAATGGGGTCTTCGATCTCAGCATCGGGCCAGTCTGCTATACCATCTTCTGCGAAGTATCCGCCACCAAAGTGCGGACAAAAACCATCGCTGTAGCGACTGCAGCACAAGCACTCGTGGGAATAGTCATGACTGTCGCGATTCCTTATATGATCAATCCTGATCAAGCCAACATGCGAGGGAAGATGGGATTTTTCTTTGGTGAGTCGTGAGATTCCTCCTGGAATTAAGCGAGCTCGCTAACCGAGAAACAAAGGGGGTCTTTCCATTTTGTGCTTGATTTGGTGTTGGCTCAGGGTTCCGGAAACGAAGGGACGCACCTTCGAGGAGCTGGATTTAATGTTTGCGAGAGGTGTGAAGACAAGGGAGTTTAAGGATTATAAGATTGATTGAAGCTTTGGTAGGGTATATGGTGAAGTACGCTAACTTCTCAACCTCATCGTAGCAAACACTCGGTAGCTGTGACAAAATCAACACAAAACTGAGCAGATGAAAAGAAGGAAAGAAATGCATTGGACTATTTACAATTAAGGGTATTTGTTCCGTGCACTACAATAGCTCCTGGCGCTACATACACGGATGGGCGAGAAGATACATTCCGCAGAAGATCCATCTCGAATTGAATAAGCGAAAAGTTACTTCTTTGCGCAGCATGGTGTTCAAAAGTAAACACTACCTTAGTGAGTATTTGCAGGGGCGTGCTCCCTACGGTAGCTACCTATCTTCGGGCAAACACGCATCAAGTTCACCAATCCTCGGCCTTCACAGTCAGTTTCGGCAGCTTTGAGAGTCGCTAAAACTGCACAGGATTACGAGACCCAATTCCCACCACGCGTTCCGGTCCCGCTCCAGCTCAACGACGTCACGAATCTGCGTTCTCTATCGAGCAGACGCGCTCACGCATAAAAATCTTTCATATCGCCTGCGAGACCGCTACAATCGATATGCAGTCTTCGATTTCACACTACATTGTGTTATGTATAAGTTCGCCCTCAACCTCGCTTCCGTTTCCTCCAACTTCCTATATACAAGTTCATGATCGCATCCCTCACTTCTTCTCCGTCAAACCTATGTACAAGCTCCCTTCCATCCCTTCATCATTCATTTACAAGCACTGCGAGTAGTAGTCGTTCTGGTACTTACAAACAGTACCGGCGACACAAGTTGTCGAACCAGTGTAAGTCAACCCACCACACTGTCCCCACTTCCCAACAGCCGCTACAGTCGCCGAGCTGGTGGGTGCAGTAGATGTGGTCGTTCCCGTCGTTGTCGTCGCGCTCGAAGTCGTTATAGCTCTCGAAGTAGAAGTCAAAGTCGAAGACGCTTTCGAAGTCGACGTCGACGTCGCAGTCACAGTACTTGTAGACAAACCCACACTCCCACCCAAAACATTCACCACGGCCGTATACGCCGGCTTCTTCACCAGATTCGCATTCCACAGCAGCGCATCTCCCTGTCCCGAGAACGTCGACGGGATCCACGAGTACTTGTCCGTAAAGTCCCAGATAGTGATACCGACACAATTCGGCGTCGCAACACATGCGGAGACGGTGTTGGCGTAGTCGGTGGATTGTTGGGCGACTCCGCTGGCAGTTGATGGGAGGGAAGTGAAGCGGATATCGAGCTCGGTATAGGCGACTTCGACGCCTTGTGCGGTGAAAGATCCCAGATTGGCGGTTTGGGCAGAGAGACTGGGTGTGGAGCCGACGATGAAATGGGCTTGCATTCCGACGCCGTCAATTTTGATTCCGCGGGATTTGAGACTCTTCACAAGGTTCAGGGCGGCAGTGGCTTTGTTGCCTGCGGATTCGATGTTGTAGTCGTTGTAGTAGAGCTTCACGTCTGGATCATATTCTGCAGCGGTGGCGAATGCGATGGGGATGTATTCAGCGCCAATCTGCCAAGTTAGGATTTTGACGATCCTGGAAGTGGGAAACTCACGGTGTTGTAGAAAATGCTGGTTCGATATGTACCGTCTTCATTGAACGCCTCGTTAACAACATCCCATGCGTAGCACTGTCCTTTGAAGTGTGTGACCTCATTCGCGATGTGATTCTTCAAGGCAGCAATGAGCGTCTCATTCGTCCATGTCCCAGAAGTGACTATCCTGTCAGCAGATCCCTCAACATCTAAAGGGAGACCCACGCCAGTTTGGAAGCTGTTGGTGCCAGACAAGAGTATGGCATCTCAAAAGCTGGCCATTCGTCCTCGAAAGGTTGGCAATCGTATCCGCCTGCGTCCAGCTGAATGTTCCCTGAGTTGGTTCCGTGTACTGCCACTTCTGCGCATTCCCAGGCGTTATCTGTCCGAATTCCTTCACATCAGATAGGATCGCCAGATACGGCGCATCCGAAAGTTCAGGATTGTCTGTCGCAGAGCCGAAATATTTGAGTCCTTTCGCCGTGGCCAGCTGGTTAAGTTGGCCTAATGCTGCGGGCAGCGCCACGAGAGGGAGGAGAGCTGAGAAATGCATGCTGCCTGGTTCTTGGCCACGTAGAGTACCAAAACATGGGAATGGAATCTTTATATCATTTGTATCTGGCGCCTGTGGACGGAATATCTTCCAGGCCGAAATTTGGTCCGGAGGCTATCCGAACGATTAAGCTTCCCTCTTCCCCTCCTCATTGAAATGCTGTTTTGGCTGAAATGGATAAATGGAAGATGGTTTCTTGTTTGATCCTGGGTATAAAAGTCGCGAATATATTCGGAGCGCTCATTGATGCAGTAGCGGATGTCGTGAACCGCATTTGTTTTGGATCGAATGCCGACGATAGTACCTGCAAGTGTGGGGATTCCACCAATAGGAGTTTTGACCCGAACAGACCCCTCGGTCCGGTCCGCCTGAATTCTACCTCGCCTGTCAATTATCGGGACGACGGGCGAGGCTTGAAGGGTCGTTTCGGATATCTAGGGTTCGGACCCGAAGTGGAGAATTTAGAGTTGTGGGTTGGGTTGGTAAGTAAGGGGGAATAAAAAGTCAGATTGGAAACTTTCTGATATCATCTGACAGATCTTAGCCTCTGTAGCTCAATGTAAGTTCTCCCAATTTCCGTTTGGGAAGGATCTATATCTAACAATTAACAGGGTAGAGCGCGTCACTAGTACTCAGAAATGATATGACGAGGCTGCCGGTTCGATTCCGTCCAGAGGCACATATCAACAATCCAAATCTTTTGTTGTTTTTCGACCCAGACTCAGTGTTTCATACTTTTTGCTGTCTGCGAAAATTTTTGGTGGGAGATCCACCTGTATCATGGCCCACTCCCGAAACGATTGGCTCGTGAACATGGTGATAGTGGTGGATCTGTGGAGCGGATCTTTCGAAAACACCTCTGAGGTCTTAAAAAGGAAGAGAAGACGATATCATAGATAGGGTTAAAATTGAGGAACCAGGGCTAAGAGACAGCAGCATGGCAAAATTGAGTTTGATAACATGGACATGGTCGTGTAGACCTAGTCATCCTTGGCGGCAAATTATTTTATGCACCAGCTTTGATCTGAACGGATTCTGCAGTTACTTCGATCACAGATAATTTTGGCATGGCAGCCAATAAATTACCAGATTGATTATTTTGAAGGGGCCTGCAATCCAAAAGATTGAATGGGGAGACCCTCAATGGAATGCAAAACTTGTAAAGTTCCTACTTTGCTGCTGCTGCTGCTGCCACAAAGCGCAAACATTTCCGCAAACAGGGTACACGAAATATTTGTGGAGCACTGTCGTTGAATTGTTCGGCGACTTGGAACCGCTCAGTAGGTATGGGCAGCGACGTACAATACATATCTTGGCATCTGATAACAGCATCGTTCCTTGGCTTATTCTTGCGTCGATTCAAATGGTGCAATGCGAAATCATAGGACACCAAACATTTATTTAACTCCGGTTAAGCTCGCTGCGTGTTTCTCTTTACATGACATCTGGACCTAGTCCCTGAAGTCTCCACGAGAAAGCCGCTTCCTTCTGTCTTCAGACCTCAGCGAGATCGAGCCGAGCATGTCCTTCATAGCATCGGTTGTCTTGAAGCATGCGCAGGCATTTTGCAATAAACGCCAGCTGGCCGCATCCTGGAGAGCCTTTCCTTGCCCCTCTGCCTTTCTTCTAAATCTTTATTTTATTTAATTTTCTCCTGTCCGACAGACATCCAGGGCTCTTGCAGGCGGTTTTGGTGCCAAGAAGCACGAGATGTAGGTCTCAGCACTACACGAACCGCGGCCTCGAAGAGTTGGACATCATTCCTATCCTCGGCAGATGCTTCTATGTCTGGAAAGCTATGTCAAAGCTCGATGGAGTCTTTCATTTCAAAAGGTTACAATATGACACGGATTGGACCAAGGCATCATTTCTTGATGGCCTTGTCGAATTGCATTACGCCAGCTACAGCGAAATGAGGCCTTTTGGAACTATGGGTAGTACCCATCGAACAGCAAATACAAGACCCGCTCCCCAAAACAGGACTGTGGTCAAGAACACTAAGAAGAACACCAACTCAACAAGCCTGAACAACTTCCTTATCCCCCCAATCTCGCCAAGATCCACCTCCTTCCCGAACTTGGTGTTGAGCTGGGGAACAAATTTGAAGTCAAAAGGACCCTTGCCTCCCGAGAGGTACGCATGGTCCGTGACCGCGTTGTACAATGTTTTCCGGAAGAACTACTGGGGTCAGTTCTGCACAATCTGTGTGTGGGAGGCGACATACATTGATGACCAACCGATCGAAGGAAGGGATGAGTCTCTGCGAGTATGCCAAGAAAGATACGAGGATATTGTGTCCCGCAAACACAGCATAGTAGTATGGTCCCGGTCGTCCCAAGCCGAGTGCATCACACATCTCAGGACCATTCATCCACCTGCATCCAGCTTCGAGGAACCCTCGCGAGAGATATGGAGGAGGTTGATCCTCAATCCACTTGACGAAGTTGTGAGCTAGGATCTTCGAAGTCCCATTCGGAGCAAGCTCGTACAGCAGCATTGTCTCCATGACTGCTTTGGCCTTTTCTGGGGTCTCCCAGTATGATGTCGGAGTTCCGGTGAGGTAAGCAATGTATCGGAAGAGAGCGATGAAATCAACGATCTCTTGTTGGGTGGGGTAAATTCCCATTTTGGGAAAGCTATCCCACATGGGACTGCAGCAGAAGAGAGAGATAGCATTCATGGAATCGAGGTCGTTGACTGGGGCACCAAACTTCTCGACTGAGAAGTACTCAGGCCTAGAACTCGCCAGCTTCAAGATCCTCTGTCTGACAGCAGCATGCAAAAGCCGGACACGGATCGTTGAAGTGTGTCCTTCTCCACCTGGCTGAATGGATTCCAGGGAATTGGTAACGTGGATGAGCCAAGTGAAGGTTTCGATGACTCGAGAGAGCAGATTTTTGATCGCGAAACCTCCCGTCCTGGCGAAGACTTCAGCAATACCCGGAGATGCCTAAGAATATAAGCGAAAGCGTCACAACACAGGCATAGATCTTACTGAGTTCTCGCGGATGAAACCTTGCAGAGCAAAGGCAGTACTATTTGCGAGCGCATGTCTTGCAAAGAACCTCTGAGCACGTTCAATCTGGGTCCAATCTACCCAGTCGGGTACCGAATGAAGTTCTTGCCAAAATGCTTCAAGTGTCTCGTCTTCTTGATGGTGGTCTCGAAGGACAGCGTATAGTTCTGGTCTGATAGGGCATTTTTTGTCTCCTCCACCAGCAAGAGCCTGAAGCTTTTCGAACGCAGCAGATCCGAGCTCATCAACATGAGACCGGAGTGCTGCGATTTCCTCTGCCGGGAGGTGATTGTCAGTCCACTCGAACGAGTAGCCCCATCGTTCACGATGATTGTCGCTTGTTGTATCCATGATGGTAATGCTTGGGTACATTTACTCAGTCGGCGCGAGATCGCCGGTCAGTTAAATAGCTCGATACCCCAGATCCAGTGATTCGAATCACAACCAGATAAGGCAACCCATATTCCCAAAGTGGGCTTTGGATATGCCCTCAATTGGAGTCTGGGCGATGCACAATTTAGCCGATGGTTGCACAAACCTGCCACGGAATGCAAGATGGTGGAGTCCAATATGCGTCGTCCCCAAGTTTCCAGCCACAGTTCCCCAATCTCAGGACAGGAATGCAAGTATTTCCGATGTATGCGTTGTCCAATCGATGTATAATCAAGGCGCAGTGCATCGTAATCGAAGATCTCCATGCATATCGCGAACTTCTTCAACAGTGAGCCAACCATGTGTAACATATACAATTTATTTCCTGCAGCCAATATAGATTCCTGGGAGCACATGGCAAAAATGGAAAATGATTGATGATGTATGCGCTGTTCAATCTGTGGAGACAGACACGGGGGATTCGAACAGATGATACCAACAGAAGCTTGTAGGAACTGAGAGGAGCCCGCGAGAAGTCGAGGACCAATGGGACTTGGGGTGATTGCTTTCTTGTGGGGAGATATATAAACGTTTGCCCGGTTCCTGGAATTACAGGGTTGGTGTCGAGATCGGCTTTCATACTCTGGCTGCATCTTCAAGTTCTGAGTTCCAGGGAAAATATCACATCCAGACTGACTTCAAGATATCAACATGGCCGCTCAAGTCCTCTTATCGACCGTGTTCCCAGCCTTGAAGCTTAGAAGTCTGCAAGAAGTACCATGTGGAGCCTCCCCGCACCTCAAGGCTCCACCAGGGAAGATGGTCATCAAGATACCCGATATGTTCAAGTCCTTCATGTCAGCTACACCGAAGGTCAATCCATTCTATGAGGAGGTGAAACTCGAAGCAGATACCTGGATTACAGAGTAAGTTCTATGAAAGCAAAGACACCGGGCATGGAAGCTGACGATGAAGGAAACTCGACGCAAATGAAAAGATGAAAAAGACAATCACCAAGACAGACTTTGCTTGATTCTGTGCTGTTGCAGTTCCGGATGCAGGAAAGGATGAGTTAAGGACTTTGTGCGATTGGGGTAACTGGGTAAGCTTCAAGCAAGTTCAAGCTGAAGGGAGAAATTTGACTAACTTCTCAGGTCTTTCCGTTCGATGACAGTGGGGTTCTTCATGATTCAAGACACAATTGAAATGTGACTGACAAATATAGTATTCGACAATGGGAACTTGAAAGATGATCCCGCTGCAGCCAAGAAAGTTTTGGATGATCTACTTCTGGTCATGAGAGGAGGAACTCGTGTGGGGGAAGTTTCGGCTTTTATTGAAATCCATGACACAGTCTGGGATCGTGTCAGAAAGGTTGGCTTGCTATCCTTTTCTAGGAATTTACTAACGGCTCAAGACATCTGCCACAGGTACAACTGAGACTTTCTGGTTATGAACAAGCTGACCGATCTCTTCAGCCGTCCAGAGCCAGTTCTTAGATGCGATGACCGAATACTGTCTTGGTGCGCTCGAACACGTCGGCCACCACTCAGAATCCAGAAGTCCCTGCTTATCAGAGTATATGGAAGTGCGGCGGCGAGGTGTCGGTGTGACGCCCGTGATTGCTTTGATGGAGTGAGCCTTCACTGTCCATATAGAATGTTTGTGGTGGTGCTGATAGGTCAGATACGCGCTTCAACTCGAGATTCCAGATCATGTATACCAGCAGGAGTGTTTCGGGAAACTCAAACAAGTTGTGATTGATGTGATCTTGATGTAGTTAGCCTCGTCTGAAACTCTCAAAAATTCTCTGACTGAAATCTGAACAGCCAGAACGATATCATATCCTACAAGAAAGAACAGGTACGTGAGCGGAGCAGACCCAGCCCCCTGTCAACAATTCTGACACATTTTTCAGGCTGACGGCGTCCCTCACAATCTGATCACAGTCCTTCGAAACGGTGGGATGACCACCCAAGAAGCATTCAACCACGCTGGAGAGATGCTGAATAAATGCTACCAAGAGTGGTTGGATGTGAAAGCAGAATTCCCAGCAGGCGAAGATTTAGCGAAGTTCGTTGAAGGCACGAGAACGATCATGCTAGCGAGCCTGCATTGGCAGTAAGTCATAAATCCAACACAACACCGAGTGCTTGGTTCATAAGAATTAGTTTTCGTTCTGATAGGTATTTTGGTGAGATGAAGGATATTGTACGGCAACACAAGATCGTCTGTTTGGAACAGGAGTCTAGAATGGTGGTACCAAGTGGATTGAAGCTAGTTGTGTCGGCTTTTCAGGACTGGATGAACACGTTCAAGAAGCATGTTGAGGTACTTACTTCTTATATGCAAAGTGGGCAGGTGCCGAAGAGTTAGAAAGCCATGTCAAATGGATCATTTACTATCTAGATAAATTCCTAAACTGCTCACGTCGCCTTTCCTCGTCACCACCCATCCACACCATCAGTGGCCAGCGAGTCGCAACTCCCTCAAATTCATGCCCCCGCTACCACTGGTCAGCACTGTGAGAGGCCTGATTCCCAGTCCTCGGCCTCGATCACTATCTCCTCTCCTCCTTCCACCTCCACCCTCACTCCTCGGCCCCCCGCCTATGCCAAAACCAACACCAATGCCTCCCATCCCATCCCCTCCAACCCCACCTTGTCCGCGGATCTTCAACCCCATCGGCACACCAACATTCTCAATCAGCGTGGGTCGACGAGTCCTCAGCCCAACAGGGCGAGAGTGGTCGCTCTCCGCACTCCCTCGAGAACTTGCTCTTGATCGGGACCTGGTCTCATCGACACTGGAATGTGGGACTCGTCGAAGATCCGCAGGAGAGAATTCCCTTCTCTGCGTATCACGAGGAGAATGGATATTACTTGGTGTGAGACTCAGATTAACATCCGAAGGACGTTGACGACGATGATGGAGAGTAGTATTCTTAGGTAGCGGCGATGCGTTCTGTACTGTCTTGATATCTTTCGGTAGAGGAGGTAGAGGAGGGAGTGGACTATCTCTCCCTGTTTTCGCGCCTCCGTAGGTATTCAAAATGGCTTGGTAACTAACGCCTTCAAGTCCAGGCATCTGTGACAGGCGTTTGATATTCTGTGTATTCTTGTCCATGAACACGCTGATTCTGTTCAGTGCACTGCGCCGCTCGTGAACTTCGAAACTGGAAGGAGATTTGAGGTTCGGCTGAGCACGTAGAGTATGCTCCGCTGCTAGTCCGCGTCGCTCTATGGATTGCTCCTGTCTACCAGAATCAGCATCCCCTGCACGCCCAAAGCTTTGTGGTGGAAGATCATCATTATCAGACAGAGCAGCGCGGACTTGTTTGACCACGGCATCGAAATCGACATCTTGCTGTTCGTGACGTGTTGCTCGATATGGGTTTTGGTAGTCTCTTGACTGGGCATCGAAGTCGGAATCATGTACGAGTATGAAGAACGACCCGTCAAATATCTTGCGCCGGAGGGTATTCCAGCGTGTTCGTGCTGGGTTGGCTTCGAGAGAGGGGGTATAGATTGTGTGAGTTGACAAGCGGGAATAGAATATTTCAAGTCGCTGAGCAATACGCTCGAGGATTGTGAGGAGATAGGCGGATATTTTCAGAGTTGCCTATCAATGAAATGTCAGTCTCTGCAGGACACGATCCCATAGCTGGAAGAGAGTAAAGATCCACAAACCTGTTTTCCACGACCATCTTGAAGTCGCTTGATCCCTTCGAAAGACTCCATCCCCTTGCACACCTCCCCAAGAATATCCTCTAGGAACTCCACATCCAATGCCGTCACTGTCTGAGCATATTTCAAGATACCATTTTCCTGGAACTGCGCCCCTTGACTGTTGCACACAAATTGTCCAATCTGAGCAATTTCATTGCTGGCTTGCGCACTTGCAGGGCTCGATTGCGCCCTCGTGACGATACCGATGATGTCTGGAAATCTAGAGGTGGACGAACCTGACTTGAGTGAAGCCAATGCATAGCTTAACTTGAGATGCAACTCCTGCATCTTGACGCCGAAAATCATAGAGAAGCCGTTCTGCATCAGGCGAGATTGGAATTGGTAGAATTTCCTGACACCACCCATGTTGAAAAGACCGTTCTGGAACCAGACTTTGGAATCTTTCATGATGTGGTCAACCTCGAGATGGAGGGTGGTCAATGACTCAACGCAGGTGCGAAGGTAAACGTGCCATGTGTCGTAGAGTTCTGACAACTCGGGAGAGTGGAAACTCGGCTTGGGTGCAAGGTGACCAATGAAGTATTTGGACAAGAGGGAGCTGACTTCGGGATTGGAGGTGTGGGCAAGCTCATCGAATGTCTTTGTGGCATCAAGCCCAGCTGAGGCGCGGACAATTAGTGTTCCTCCTGGGTGCATTGGAAGAAAGTCGGTAACATCATAAACACCGCCATGAACAGCGAGCCACATACGAGAGTTAGGCTTATGACCTGTGTGTTGTGCCAAGTGCGCCAGGGTAATGATGGGGCTGTTGTACGAGATCGGCTGGGGAGTCATGAAAATGTCCAGCATGAATCTTCGTTCAGCAAAGGCGACAGCTAGGAGGTTCTCCGCAGATTCTTTGGTTGATGCCCAATTGTTGTAAATTGCCTGTCTAATTCCAGAGATGATTGTTTCGTAGACAGAGATCGACCCACAGATATAGATGTATCCACCAAGGCCACCTTGGCTCTTAGAGATGACCAGATTACAGACCGTCTGGCCTTGCTCGATGATCGTGGTATCAATATACCGAGACTCCATTTCCTTCTCCACGAGGTCCTTGGATATCGGATCGTATACCAGGCCATTCTTGTCCCGAGAAAACGCTGTATGAACCTCTAACATGTCATGACGAACGTAGCTCCGAATCTCGTCTTCGTACAAGAACTTATCCCGCGATTGAGTTCCAAGAAAGAGGATGTTTCGACCAAAGCCTGATTGTGTTCTGCTCTGCCAAAAACCACGGAACGGTGCAATTCCACTGCCTCCAGCGAACATGGCAATTGGAACGGTGACGGACACAGGAAGCTGGAAGTTGAGTGGTCTTGAAACTCCGATGAGGAGAGGCTCCTCGTCCTCCGTGCAGTTACTTTCAGAGAGGTCGAAGTTTAGGTAGCCACTGCTGACACCATGTCTTAGCGTGGGCTGCCCTGGAATCTGCAGGACTGGTGAAATGTGGTAGTTGCTTCGAGAAACCGTCAAGTCTACGCTGTCGGGCAAAAGTCCATTCGAGTAATTTGATATGCTGTAAGTTCTTGGAACTTCGATTGGGATCAGTTTTGGCAGCCACGACAAATCTTGCAGATCGAATGCTTGATCCCAGGTGGAAGATGGGACTTCCTCGACAGCGAATTGTAGAAGATCACCCACTGTTCCTGGGACAGGCCATTCTTCACAAGCAAGGAGCTTCAAAGTGGTACTTGAAGCAGCACGGAGAAGTGTGTGAAATGCCATGACGAGATCTTTTGTCAAAGGAGCCAGGTGACCTCTTCGTAAGATATCTCGGACTGTCAAGTCTGGAATCGCAGTATTTCTGGTTACCGAAGCAATATGCTTGGCGAATCTTCCCCATTCAGGCGCTTGAGCTGTTGAGACGGGTTGATCAAGCATTTCCTCGAGACCGAGAGCTGCTGCGACTTTAGCGACTTCGTTCCAGGTATTTAGAGGCATGACGGCCAATCTGTCACCTGGCATGAAGGTGATGCCAGTATTATGTAGATCGAAGGTAACCATTGCAGTAGACCGTGAAGGATCGGAATCGATGAATTGGCGATTGATAATTGGAGCTCTGAATCGACACTCTTCAAATGACCCACGCATTTCATGGGGTTGTTGAGAGATCGCACCGCGGTAGGGATCTAATCGCTCTTTCATAGACTCTGACAGTGATTTATGTACCATCTCCCAGGGTCGTCCAGCATTGTCGCCAGCTCCAGCATTTCCATTCGTTTCGCTTCGGCCAGTCTTTGCGACGACTTCGAGAAAACCATATACCTTGTCTAGCGTATTGTTTAGTAGTGATTGCACAGAGAGAAGATAACCTACATCTGTGAGTTCCCATCCAACCTCGCTCGCCCATATACGATTCGACGAGGCCCTCCAGGACGCCTTTCAATCGAGGGTTATTGCTAGCGTTCACAAACTCTGGCACCTTGTAATTATACTCCACCGCAGCAATGAATGCACGGATGTTCAATGGGAGCCACGCCTTGAGGTGCAAGGCTTCCAATCCGAGGAAACTATCGTACTTGGTCCGGCCCAAGAAAGCATCCATCAGCAAGAATAGTGGTAGTGCGAGTCCTGATAGTGCTGGAACTCGTCGAGAAAGTGGTGCAGAGAATTTGGCATATCGTTGGCCCCACTAAACTTTGTCAAATACCTCAATGCGAAAGATCAGGTCGGAAGAACATACCTCAACGGGATTTGCAAAGTTCTCACCCGAGTTTGGATTTACACTGATCTTGTGGAACACGTGAGGAAGTTGGTCAACAACCTGCTTCAGCTTCACCAACTCGAGTAAAAGACCTTCTTCATCTTTCAACATTACACATTCCTGGCATCGAGTAACAAGCTCAACGCCTGGGATAAAGCATCCGTGGCTTTCGGCCATGCAAAGAAGGAACATAGCCTCGCCACGATCATTAAATACCTGTCGAACGTTAACAGGGAATTCAAGTGCAAGATCCCGTCACTTACCGGCCACCTCAAGTCCATGTTTTCGCAACGAGGGAGATATGGATGAATACTGGTGTGGTCCCTGATCTTGTAGTTGTAAATACTGACATCGAATTGTGTGAGATGCGGTAAGACTCTTCCCATTCGTGTGCATATCTGACGAAGGGGAATCGCGACGTTTCTGGGAATTCCCTTGGTTTCTTCTTCCTCGTCATCGGCGTCTCCGGTCAAGTTGCGGAAAGCTCCAGGCGGGGCAGCAACACTGATACCTTCACTTCCATCGTTTGCTTCTTCATATCGATATATGCTTGCCAGAATACCTGGGAGTCGTTAGGTCTTATTCAGAAAGAAGCAGATGGAGACAGACCTAGACAAACGGTCGCAGCCCATAATGCCTCATCAGGGATAGTATCTGGTGTCCCGAAAACTAGTGGAAGCGCGAGAATTGACTCCCTTACTTTTCCTCTAGCAACGATGCCAGGCATACGCTCGCACAAATCAGACCATACTCGACCCGGAGATAAGCTGAGAGCCACAGGAGCCGCCGATGGATCTGGAGGACAAAAGCCCCATTGTGAAGAGAGGTATCCATCTTTCCATCCTGTTCTTGGTCCAAGTTCCATTGCCCTTGTAAGAACACGCCGAGCAGGAGCACCCAAAGCCATTGCCAGTACATCGGTATCAACTGGGTTGAGAGCATCGGCATTCTTTAATCCCTTGGTGACTTCTTTTGGTGGTGCTTCGGGCAATAATAACTCGTTCATTGTCTTGCGTTCTTGGGATCGTAGAAACTGCTCTGACTGGGCATCTTGAGGAGTCTATCACAAGTTAGCCACTGAGATACAATGAGAGGGTAATAGCTTACCCCATAGGGAGTATACGATGACGGAGCTGTCATCTGGTATGCAGAAAAGGCACACCCACGAGGGCCAACTCTTCCAACTGGGCAGGAAGAGCTACTACGTGATCCGCGGTCGGAACCACCCATTGGACATGAGGCTACTGACATGTTTCTGGTGTGTTTATACTCTGTCGGTGGTCTCAGCAGAGCATGATCTGATCATAAATTATCGAAAGCAAACAATTTAGCAAAACTCTAATCAAACGAAGTGGTACAAATGAGCGCCAGCGCAAGAAGGAAAGTATTGAGCTCTGCAAAAGAAACAAAACCGAGCCGCAAACAGATGGAAAGAGTTTTGCTGAACAGGAAAGGAAATGACAGTGAAGATGTCGGTCGATCTTCACTGCCAGGAAACTGATGGAACGTGGCGTGCTCCACACTGAAGAGAAACAACTTCATTCCTACTCGGAGGAGCCTCCTTACATACCTTAATCCCTATGATGCCACGCTCACCAAGCTTTTTCTGTGCCTCGTCGGGTCCTTGACCTGGTTGAGGCATATCGGACATTTCCGCTTCCCCGTCTTGATGGACTGTTTGTCCACCCAGAGCATCCCAGATGGCCTAATCGTCCAGCCGCAAGCGACCTGGGGATTGCTGGGACTGCCGATAGAAGGGATGAGCATTGCCAGGTCAAGCACTTCAGAGCAGTGAAGATGTTGTCGCTGGGGCCAAGTCCCAGCTGAGGCCGAACTAGAAGCTTGGCTTCAGTCTGAGGTTTGGCAGCGCTTTGTACGCGTCACCTAAAGACTTGGCTTAAAGCTTCTCATTTGGCAGCCGTCCTTGAAGTTCAAGGTCTCTAAAGCACGTGTTGCACCATGATGCGGAAACTTCCATGTTAGGCTCTGGGCATCTGCCATTGTGAGAGTGGAAGGTGTTGAGCCTCATCTCAGAGTGTAGTTGAGTTCTGACCTGCTTCTGCGTTAGGTAGATCAACGGATGTTCCATGTCGGATTACCTAAGGTTGCAGCACTTGTAATAAGCTTAAAATTAGGCATGATTAACCGAGCTGCCCTAGACTATCCTGAGCATGCTGTTATGGGGGAACAGTTCTTTTTCCATTCCTGAGCCTGACTGACTTCAAATTGTAGTAAAATCCACAACGATGCAAGTTTAAAAAGAGGCGAGGATTTGTTCTTCCAGCCAAGAAACCCCCCTTGGTATTCTGGTTTCAAAACAGAACTTTAATAAGCCGCGCGAAACACTTCGGATGAGAATGAAACGAGTTGGCTTGACTTCAGACGATAATTTGATAATAGAAACTGAGAGCATGGCCGTCAGTCTGATGAAGGATGCCGACTCTTCTTGTATTTTATGGTAAGGAGAACCAAAACTCCTTACCATAAAATACGACAATTCCTGGGGAACGAATGACCCAGTGCTCGAAACGACTCTGGTCCGGGCATTACTTCAATCAGAAGGCAGCGGGATAAGGTACCAAAGCATGCAGGTGGATATGGACGAGAGGATGACGCATCAGTCCGATGAGATAGGGGCGTGGTAAGCGAACCTATCAAGAGCCTTCCCTACTAGTAAACATAGGGCTATCTCCTGTCTCGGACAGACTTCGGAGGTGAAAAAATTCAACCCGAACGCAGTATCCACAAGGTCTGCGCAACCAACTCCAATTGTTTGTTAATCACGCAGAATTAGATAGAGGCATTGGCTCTTAATTGTGGTGCAAAAGCAGGCCAGCAGTATTCGGTTGTATGCCCACTATACTAGCTAGGCATAGTGGAGACACCCACAATTTGCTTCTTATTTTTCGATACCAAAGATAGGATTCTCGTGTGTGCACTTCTTGAATAACAGTATTTACATGCCTACTTTCCCGGAGTATCCCCGAGCACAAATGCCCACCTGGGCAATTGTTTCTGCCGGCCAATCGCTGAAAAGCGGAGCGGGGCGGGGTGGAGCGAGGGGTTCTGGCCTGTGCTGGCGTCGTGCGACCTTCACCTGCACGATAGCATCAACAAAGTCACCCCACCCCGCCTTGCTCAACACTCAACACTCCCTTCTATAGTGCTCCCCTCTACCTACTCAATCATTTGTTCGCCTTCTTCCACCACCAATCTAAAGTCTACCATAAGAACATCTCTAGTATATCCTCATTTGACCACCCACATCCAATTGTCAAGAGACGACGGCACCATCCACAATCCAAACCCCCAACAACACTTCTGCGGTCCCATCCATCCACCCATACAAACTCAAGCTACACGAGTCGAGTGACCCCGAGTCGCAGCTTCGATTCCAGCTATTCGGACGACTTGTGCCAGTCTGCTTCTGAACAACCTTCGGCCAACAGTGCAAGGGGGTGGTCATCACCAAAGACTTCATTCGACAAATCACATCTGCGACTCCACCCACGAATAAGCAAGCTTAACGTAGTCCTGGGAGGCTTCTTCGGATTATCCCAGGATTTGCTCTCTGCGACCACGAGGCAAAAGGGTTGGGCAATTAGGTGGGATAGCATTTGACATCAGAATACCTGCTGCTGAAGAAGCACACGACAAGTTCCGCCAGGATCATACAGTCAACTTTTACATTGGTATAAAGCTGCCAGGAGTACGAGACGCTCGGACCTGGTCAAACGCATATCTTGGTATAATCCGATTTACAAAATTGGAAGCGTCAGTCTGCGATTGGAGGAGGAACTGACCGGGCCCTGACCGGACCCCCCTCTGCCCGCCCAATATGGCGCCCACCCCCAGCGTCGTTCATCTACCCAATGGGCAGAATCTAACCGTGACAGCTGTCTTTGGTGGCTACTTCTTCAAGTCCAATGAGCTCAATCTTCACACAAACGTCTTCCCAGCAGGCTGGACTGTCATCATCCAATCCGAAGACTACGCAGATGATCACAATGTGGAGGAATCGGCACAGGTCGAGCTCGCTGGCATGCCAAAGGAGAAGAAACGGCATATACATCCCTTCAAGCGACCTACTTTGAAGAACGACAACCTTTTCATATCGTCAATATCGAATCCTTCTAGCAATGACTTTAAGGCTCCTACGAGTCCTACCCGACAAATTGCCATGATGCTCTGGGCTTCATTATACTGGTACTTTCACTTGCAACAACCATCTCCCTACATCGTAACCGAGGCTTCTAAGAACACACCAGACTCAGGAAAGCCGAGAGGGGAATGGCGCATCAACATTAAGAGGGAAGGGGTTTTCCGAGGCCGAAATTTGATACAGAAGCTGGAAAGGATGGGATTGATCACATCGGAAGATTCGAGTGTCGGTGTTCACCCAGACGAGAATACTGCGGAAGGTTGGTCAGAGATGTTCATTTCGCAAAGGACTTTCTGGCAGCTGTCAGCAAAATTATTCCTGTTCACTCTGACACCAACGACTGGATCGACACTCATGGGCTCTCCATACACCAGCCGACCAAGTTCTCCAGTGCGGGGTGGTGATAGAAATTCCTCTCCAGGTCAAAAGGAAGTTGGAAATTCGGATTCTGGATTGTGGTCACCATCAACGTCGGGGCCATTTTCGTCTGGAAGTCATCTGCCGACTTATTTCCCACCTCCGCCACTTCAGTATGCCATTACCAATGGAATTCGCCATCCAATGCGTCCAAAGCCAGCTAGACAAGGCGAAATTTTCTACACCAGATATATTCCTAGCGTTGGGCAATATCTGGCTTTTCGAACTGCTTCTCTGTCTGCGCGACCTGTTGCCTATAATGGACCAACAACATTGCTATCTATTCCAAAACACCAGACAGCCACATCTATCTCTTCACTTCCTACCCATCTCTCCATTTCATCTGTTGCAGATCTAACAACACCACCTTCGGAGACGAATGATACTACTCTGATGACGGATCTCCAGCTGCTGAACAAGTGGATGAATGTTCCTCGAGTTTCGAAGTTTTGGGGGTGTTCAGGTCCGCAAGAGACTCAAGAGGCGTTCCTCAGAGGCAACTTGAAGTCCAATCACTCTTTTCCGGTAATTGGTCTATGGGATGGAAAGCCGTTTGGATATTTTGAATTATATTGGGTCAAGGAGGATATTCTAGGAAAGCATCTGGGTGATCGTGCTGATGATTATGACCGTGGTGTCCACGTGCTGGTTGGAGAAGAGGAATTCAGAGGGAAGCATCGGGTGAATGCTTGGATCACATCCCTTGCGCACTGGGCATTTATTCAGGATTACAGAACCAATGCTGTCGTTCTGGAGCCAAGAGTAGATAACGAAAGGTATGCCTTCATTTCAAGCATTGGAACGTTGACTTACAGACGCAGGTTCATTTCTCATCTCAACGATTCGGGTTTCCTGAAAGAAGGGGAGGTCACATTCCCTCACAAACAGAGTGCTTTCGTGAAGTTACGAAGAGAAAACTTCGAAGCTCCAGCAATATGATCTCAGATAAGCTTGGAATTATCTAGATCATTTCCACAATTGCCTCCCGCCAGAGAGCCCACATCATGCAGGAGCATTCGCCATACAAATCGCAAGCCAAGTCTATCAGAAATTCTGTCTGCAAATTCGCGAGTCGCGACTGGTGGGGAAATGTTACCCAAGATAAAAATCGATAGACATGCTCTTGTCCCTTGCATCAATTTCCCAAACTCCGGATTAGGGATCCGAATCGCAAGGATGAGGCTGAAATGGCGATAACGGGCGTGTTAAGCCTACTTCTACCCCAGTATTCAACAGGGCTCGTGCGGCACAGGTGGACGCGACCCTTCCAGAAGACGCCCCCTGATTTCGGCTTGAGCGGATAGACGGTTCGCTAATCCTTGTTTCTCCTGAATTCCAACGAGTGGCAATCTAGATTTGGATATATGCGATTGCAGGCGAGTATTGATAATGAATGACAACGTGGGGGACTTACCAAACTTTGAAAGGTACAAATAAATTCTATGGAACCCGAAATCGTTTGACTTAGGGGCCGACTTTTCGTTCCTTCAGAGTCACCCCATATTGTTCCCATCATGCTTTTGCTCACTACTTTGATATTGGCCATCACGGCAAATGCAGCTGTGATCAGACGTGATAATTCGACCGTGACGGTAGCATCTCTTCCTCAATTTTCGAACAGCACAGCTCGATTAGAAGCCATCAATACCAAACGGGAAGGATGGCTTTACGGCCCCTCACTCCTAGGGAATGCATCTTTCTTTCCCACTGGAAGCCTGGGAACAGCAAGGATGCAAACAGATATGGCATTATTCGCCGCTGAGTCCGCCTACATCAGTCCAAAAGCACAAGCGGATCTAGCAGCCGTGCAATCAGCAGTTCTTGCCGTAAGTCACTCTTGAAGTGTCAGAATATGATCTGACAGCCTCAGAATAGCGGTCTCAAAAGTCTAGACGACTACGCACGTGTCTTATATGATGGCCAATGGCTGAATTCCGTGCCAGGCGGAATCGGTAAAGGCATCTTACAGAATTATACGCAAGATCTCCTCTTTTCCATGGAACGTCTCTCCCTAAACTGCTACCCTCTTCGTCGTCTCAAGCCTACCGATTCCCTCCCATTCACCCTCGACCTCAACACCTCCATTGCAATCACCACACTTTCTCTCCCCGCTCTCCTCACTTCCGGTCGCCTCTTCATCGCAGACCACAGCTACCAACTCAATTACCCAAAAGGAGCAGGGAAATACGGCGCCGCAACCACAGCGCTATTCTTCATCCATCCTATCTCAGGCGACTTTCTACCACTAGCTATCAAGACGAATGTCGGATCTGATCTGATCTACACGTCACTTGACGAGCCGAATGATTGGCTACTGGCCAAGATCCTGTTCAACGAGAATGATATCTTCCATGGCCAGATGTACCATCTTGTTGCTTCGCATGACGTAGCCGAGATTGTGCATCAGGCTGCAATGAGGACTTTGAGTGATGACCATCCGGTGATGATACTTCTGGACAGATGTGAGCTTACTACCATATTTACTCGAAAACCATACTGACGAGGACTTCGCAGTGATGTACCAAGCCTACGCCGTTCGACCGTACGTCTTCCCCATGCTGACACGACTCGACACCAGCTAACATCAAAGCAGAGTAGGCAACGCAGTACTTTTCAACGATGGCGGGTACCTCGATCGAGCATTCTACGTCAACCACCTCGGAGCCGCTGAGTTCGTCGCTGATTTCTACCCAATTGCTGGATCTTTCCAAGCCAATTACTTGTCTACCGATCTCAAGAACAGGGGATTGATCAATTCGACTTTTGGGCCGGAGTTGAAACACTTTCCGTTCTACGAGGATGCTAAGCTTATCCGAGATGGGATATTTGAATTGTAGGTCTATTTTCTCTCTCTCTTCAGCCTGTTTCACCTCTCAAAGCCAATGAGATGTATCATCAGAAGAAACTCAGCTAACACCTCCCCTCCCAGCATATCAACCTTCGTCAACACCTACTACCCCACCCCCAATCTCTTCACCACTGACACAGAACTAACCTCCTTCTTCCACGAAGCCAGCACCCTCGCCCAAGTAATCGACTTCCCCTGCTCCTCCTCTTCCTCCTCCCAATCCACACCCTGCAATCCCACCACCCTAATCTCCATCCTAACCCACATGGCCTACCTAACCGGCGTCCAACACCACGCCCTCAACACAGGCGACCCAGTCTACTCCTCCGGAACGCTCCCCTTCCACCCCACAGCACTCTACTCCCCCCTCCCCACAGCTAAAAACATATCCTCGTCTCAACTCCTGGGACTGCTTCCCCCGGTGTCGGATGCGCTGTTTCAGATTTATCTGCTGGCGGTGTTCAATCGGCCGCATTATGAGGCGCAGAATAAGACGCTGGTGTGGGAGTTTTCGGATGAGGGGTTTCTTGGGAAGTTTGGAGGAGGTGGTGGAGGGGGTGAGGGGAGGGGGAGGGGGAGGGGGAATAAGATGGGGAAAGAGGTGGAAGGTGCGGCGGAGGTGTTTAAGAAGAGGATGGAGGGGATTAGTGCAGAGATTAGGGGGAGGGGGTTCGATGAGAGGGGATTGAGCCAGGGGATGCCGTTTGTGTATAGGAGTTTGGATCCTGGGACTATTCCGTTTTATTTGGCTGTTTAGCTGGATCGACAGGTGACGCGTCATTGGGATGGGACTTTTTGGCGTATCGTGCAGGGTGAGGCGAAGGTGTTGGGCGTCAGGAAGGCGAATAAAGGCACATGCATTGGGCTTGACGTGGCGTGACGTGTTGGGAGAGTACTGGGTTCGATTCTTGTTGATATTATTCTTCCTCCTACATTTTTATTTCTCGAGGTTGGAGTGGGAGTTTGGTTTGAAGTCGAGAGCGAGTTGAGTAGGCGATGTGGAAGCTCTTTTCACAGATAGATGATACATCTCACGAATAGACGATTGGATTGGATCTAGACTAAGCAAAGAGAAGGGTTGGGATAAAATACAACATACAAGAGGCGTTTTTCGTTTTTGTTTCTTAGCCCATGTACATATATTTTGAAACATATCCAAATACCTTTAGCTTCAACATTTTCCTTTATCGTGAGAGAAAGAGTTGAAGCAGGTGAGAGACGCCTACTTTTTTATCTTGATCTTAACCAAATAAATTCCATCAGGTCCTAATTTCGCTATTCCATTCGTATTTAGGGAGAGCTGGCCTTTGGTCTGATGCAGTCCGTTCGGATGTAATGAGGACCAGGGGAGATGTAAATTGCCTTTTCCCCTCACCTTTTTCCTTGACCAAGTATAAATGCGGCGGGTGCGTTATAGTATCCACACATTTTCCGTTCTCGACATCTACCTAAATTTCTTTTCGCCCCACCTAAGAGACTATCGAGGAAGCAAGTAAGCACAAAAGAAAAGAAGAAAGAAAGGGAGCGAAAGAGAGAATGTTTACAATGGAAACGAGGAAGCAGAAGCAGAAGCAGAAGCAGACCAGGAACTATCACCTCAACTCAACTCAACTCCACTCCAATCAACAGTCAAGAAACCCCCTCTGTTTATTTCACTTTCGATACTCCCATCCAATTCGGGCTGGGTTGCGCTGAGCCGTTCCGTTAATTCATATCACAAGTCGCTGCATCCAAAGTAGATTCAAACCAAGTCAAGGAAAAAGAAAAATGCATATTCTCCAAGGTCACTACAACTAGTCCTGCTCATTCATATCAAACAGAGCAGAACTGAAGTAATCCCAGCAATTCTGTACAATAATACAATCCAGCATGCACGCATCCATCCATGCATTCATCTAATGCACCTTCCCCATCTCATCCCGTACCGATATTACACTCCACTCTACTCACCCTTCAGCTTATCCTGCGTAACCGAGAACGCCGTCTCCAACAACTTCGCCTCCTCCTTCGTATGACTAGCCTTCAATCCCGTCGCCACACTAGCGCTGGGGTCACGTCCCGCATACATAACATGCTTACGATCATGGAACTCCGTCTGGTTAAGCAGGGTCTCGATTCTAGGCTGGGTGAAGCTCCACGCGCCGGCATTGAGAGGCTCCTCCTGGCACCAGACGATGGTTTTCGCGTTCTTGTAGCCGTCGAGGTTCTCCTTGAGTTGTTGCCATGGGAAGGGGTTGAGCTGCTCGATGCGGGTGATGGCGGTGTTCTTGAGGTTGTTGTCGGCGCGGTACTTGTAGAGGGCGGCGTAGACTTGGCCGGAGCAGAGGATGACGCGGTCGATGTCTTCAGGCTCGGCGATGGATTTGCCGTGTTCGGGGTCGGGGATGATCCATTTGAATTGGGAGTCGCCGGTGAATTCCTCAATTGGAGAGCGGGCGAGAGGGTGGCGGAGAAGAGACTTGGAGAAGAAGATAATGAGGGCTGTGAGATGTTAGCTGGGCACCATGATTAGAGGAGGAAGACTTACGCTTGCGGAATTGTCTATTCATCTGTCTTCTCAAGATGTGGAACAAGTTGGATGGTGTAGTCATGTATGCGATCTGCATGTTGCAGTCCTGGTGTTGACGCTCAAGCTTTTCTGGCGAAGGGAAAATACGAGGATCCTCATTACAGAGTTGAAGGTATCTCTCCATACGTCCCGAAGAATGCTCGGGTCCTTGTCCGTCATAACCGTGAGGTAACGACATAACGAGACCAGATCTCTGCATCCACTTGACTTCACCAGATGCCACGAATTGATCAATGATACATTGAGCGTTGTTGGCGAAATCACCGAACTGGGCTTCCCACATAACGAGGGCGTTCGGTGAGGAGAGAGAGTATCCGTACTCGAATCCAAGACAACCGAATTCACTCAACGAGGAGTTGGAGATGACGAATTTGCCCTGGTCCTTGCTGATGTGCTGGAGAGGAGTGTAAGTCTTCTCATTCTCTTGGTCATGGAAGACGGCGTGTCTCTGAGAGAAAGTACCACGCTCAACATCTTGACCGGAAACACGGACATGGTGACCTTCCTGAACAAGGGATCCGAAAGCAAGGGCCTCAGCAGTTGACCAATCGATGTTAGTTCCCTCAGTGACGGTCTTGACACGGTTGGCAAGAATACGCTTCAAGTTACGGTGGACATTGAAATCTTCTGGCGCCGTTCCAATGGTCGTGCCAATGTGCTCCAGAGTGCTGACAGGTACACCGGTAGGGTTGTGGGGCAGAACTTCAGAAGCCAATTCCTTAGGCGACTTGAATCCGTTCCAGGCCGAAGTGGTCCACTCCTTGGATGTTGGTTGGTAATCCTTGCTCTTAGCAAAGCTCTCCTCCAACATACCCCAAACCCACTTTCTGTGCTCATCAATATCTTCCTTGGTGAAGCTTCCATCTTTCAGGAGCTGGTCAATGTAGATATCAATTTGAGGCTCGTGTGCTTGGATACGCTTGTACATGAGTGGTTGAGTGAACGATGGCTGATCAGTCTCGTTGTGACCATGTTTACGGTAGCAAACAAGATCGATAACAACATCCTTGCGGAACTCAGCGCGCCAGTCAGCAGCCAATTGGCACACGTAGTTGACAGCCTCAACGTCGTCAGCATTCACGTGGAATACTGGGGCATCGATAGACTTGGCAATATCGGTACAGTAGGCAGTTGAACGAGCGAAACGAGGATCGGTAGTGAAACCAATCTGGTTGTTGACGACCAAATGGATGGTACCACCGGTTGAGTAGGCAGGCAGAGAGTGGAAACCAAGACATTCGTAGACAACACCCTGGGCAGCGAAAGCAGCGTCACCGTGGAGAAGAACCCCCATAGCAGTGTTGTGTGCCTTCTCATCGTTGTTGTAGTGTTGAATGGCTCTGGTTTTGCCCAACACAACTGGATCCTCGGCTTCCAAATGGGAAGGATTGGCGACAAGGGACAGCTGAACACGCTTTCCAGAAGGAGTGGGTCTCTCGAAGTTCATTCCCAAGTGGTATTTGACATCACCGGATCCCTCATCCTCAGCAGCAGCACTTCCTCCGAATTCACTGAAGATGGACTCATTCGGCTTTCGGACGACGTTGGAAAGGACGTTAAGACGTCCACGATGAGGCATACCAATGACAATATCCTTGACGCCATAGTCAACACTTCGGTCGATCAGGGCCTTCATTCCAGGTACCAATGTTTCGCAGCCCTCCAAACCGAAACGCTTGTCGTTGGGGTACTTTGTTGCCAAGAAGCTTTCGAAACTGGAACTCCAGATGAGACGGTCCAGGATTCGGCGCTTCTCATCGACAGAGTACTTGAATGGTTGTGGCACTTCGATACGCTCACGGAGCCAGTCGCACTGTTCTCTGTCTGGGATGTGGATGTATTCGACACCGTATGAGCCGCAGTAGATGCGTTCGCAGGCGGCAATGATCTCTCGCAGAGTCATCTTCTCACGGCCCTCTTTCTTGAATCGTGGCAGGATACCAGGGCCCAGAGTATATTCGGTATCGAGGTCCTTCTCGGTGAACTGGTAGTGCTCCAATCGTAGCTCCTTAGGGTTGCTGTATCCAAACTCCTGAGCCTCGCGGCGAATACCCAAGGGGTCGATGTTGGCCTTGTGATGGCCACGAGCTTGGTAGGCTCGCACAAGTAATTGTACCTTCAAGTGATTTGTGACATCTGAGCCCTCTCCAGCACTCATGCCCACGCCAGGCGAAAATGTCGCAACGCCTCCAGATGGCGTAGGGACGAGGTTGGGCGGAGGAGTAAATGCCTGGGACATTGGCATATCACCGCTCTCCATATTCCTGAAATATACCTGCCATGAGATATGGACGCTCTTGGGGTCTTCCTTCCACTGCATGTACATCTCATCGATATAGTTGGCGGTATTGCCGGAGAGGAAGCTATCGTTTGGGTCCGGGGCGTTCGCGACGGCAGCAGCATAGCGCTTTTGGGTGATGGGAGTATATCGTTTCGAGGTCGACTTCAGTGTGCTGGAAGCTTTTGAGGACATTCGAAGTGGTGTTTGGGAGGAGGTCGTACAGAGGGATCTGCTGCCAGCTTTCAGGAGCTGGCAGCTCTTTTGCCGCAGGGAGCTTCGAAGCATCGTGGCGGCCAATGCAGAGAACAGATATTAAGAACGAGAATAAGTAGATGTATCCAGTACAATCAACGCTAGCGGTGATTGTCTGAATTGACTTGAATGGGGGACAAGACAATTGAGGCAAAAGGGACAATGAGAGGCGGAGTAAGTCAAGTGCAGCAACAGAGCAGATGTAGTTTTTCGATGGTAACAGGAATTCGCTGGGTCGCTCGGCCGCTCCACTCTGGGCTGCTCCTTGACGGCTGGCCTTCCGGCTTCTGGCTACACAGCGGACCAATCCGCTAGCAGCAGCCGGGGACCGGCCAATCAGGCAGAGGCAAGGGATGAATCAAATTCCGTCACGTGTGTGTGGCTGAGTCATCACTTTTCGAGACAAGCATCACCATTTGAACTCAACTTACCTATGGCTTGCGCAGAGCACATTTACAGGCAAGACAAAGAAAGAACAATACACCTGCACGCGCCAATTTTCACTGCGTGATATTCAGCTGCTTTAACACTAGAACATAATCTTCAAGTCCTTGTGTTAACCTCCTTGCTCAAACATCCAGCAAAGAAACCAAAGTCTTCAAACTGTGAATCTACATTGTCTAGGCTGCAGTACGCCTTGATATCAACGTCCTTGGGGCGGCTTGGCCTAGATGCAGCGACAACATCATCAACGACCTTGACATGGCCCCCATCACCGGAGCTGCGGCTTACAAAAAGAAGGACGGCACTCTTACCATTTCAAAGGATCAAAAGTCTATTGTATGGCTGCCTCACGGCTCAGACAAGGGACTGACCATTCAGGTGGCAAATATCACAAGTACGTCTTCTTCTCAATCTCAACTTCAATATTTTGACCATATCTAGATCTTCAACAAACCCCCGAGACTGCAGCAAAGGTGATGCTGAAGATTTTCGACAAGTCACCTGATGCCCCTGAAGCCGTAACCCATACATTTCTTTTCAACTCGCCCTCGAATCCTCGTGCAGAGGCCAATGCCATCAAGGAAATTCTCACTACCTTGATTGCAGCTCTCAAAGCGGAAGATGCGAGTATCCCCAAACCAAATGGAGGGTCGGCGTCTGGATCTATGACTATGGCCCATACAATTGTTTCACAACCAGGCAGTGCATCGTCTGCATGGTACGATGATGCGCAATTAAAGGTTGATTACCAGCTGCAAGAATCGTTGTTGAAAAAAGACCTGAGTCTTAACCGAACCTACATGGAATCAAGGCGGACGAAACCGGAAACGATCACAGATTCTCAGTTTAACAGACAGTTCTGGTCCACCCGATTGAATCTACTAAGAGCTTTTGCGGTGGAGTCCAACCAGAAAAAAGGGTCTTACAATGTCTTGTCTGCTGTCAAACCGCGCCAGGTCGATGGAGAGCTGAAGTTGAACATCAGTGCTGAGCAAGTCCAGTTGATCTTCAGTCAGCACCCATTAGTCAGACGCGTTTACGATGAGAATGTACCGAAACTCAAGGAAGCGGATTTTTGGTCAAGATTCTTCGTCAGCCGACTGTTCAAGAAGCTCAAGGGGGAAAGGATCACAGAAGCAGATGCTACAGACCCGACATTCGACAGATACCTGGATATCTCTACTGATGATGGCTTGGATAAGAGATTGCTCTCAACTCATATCCCAAACATCATCGATTTGGAGGGAAACGAGGAAAATCAAGGTGGGAGCAGAAGCGGAAACCGGAAGGATATCACCATGTGGCCTGACGCGAGAACGAAAGTACCAATCATCAGAACGCTGAATAGTCTCAGTGAGAAGATTATGTCCCAAGTCGCACCTTCGGATATTGATCCAGCAGCCCCTATTGGTATGGACGAGGCGACTTACAACCAATTGGTACTGCGGGATTTGCAGGGTGATCCGGAGGAAAATCGCATCATGCTTAACATCAAAGAGCAGAGTCGATTCTTTTCAAGTGAGAAATCGGAACTTTCAGCTGAGGCTGCTATGTATGCCAAGCAGGTTCCTCCGGACATATTGTTTGACCTTCAGATGGATGTCGACCCTGAAATGATGGATCACGACGCTGCCGGAGGGTTGGACTTGCGGGCTGCAATAGGAGTGCAAGAAGACAGCGATAGTGAGGACGAAGACAAGACGAAGGGTCATGTCGGAAGCAAGGCCAGCATTGCAGACGCTCAGAGACACATACTGGAAGGTATTGTCGCTCGGCGGGCTGCACTTGAAGGCTCAGCCGCACAATCTCTGTCTGGATTATCGCAGCATATATTTGATAGATTGGTCCTGACTCATACAACGACCACCGAGTTTCTCCATCACTTCTGGCTAGTCTTCTTGTCTGGCGATGCCGATAAGGCGAATGAACTTGCGCAGCACGCCACCAGCTTGGAAAGAGCCATGGATCGGATTAATGCTGTGGCAGCTGATGCCGAGAAGGAAAGAGAGGATGTGATCCGGATCAAGAAGGAACATATCAAGACGGTGTACGAAAAGACGAATAAAAGGATTCATTGGAAAGCTGAGTCTGTAGGAGGTGGTCAAAAGGTCGTGATGGAGATGATGGACCCGACCATCAGAACGCTGCAAAAAGCAACAAAAGAATACAAAAGGGCTCTGGCAGCTGAGGGCATGGATATCTCATGAGGCGAACTCGGATGGATGGGTTCGCTGTCATATCCGAAGGCGTTATAGGAAGGAACGAGGGTATTGCCTGTACATCACCACCATCAAAATCAACAAACACTGAACCTCCCTTACCTTCCGCTTTTCCTTTTCCCCCCACCCCCACCTCAATCATTCCCACCCTCCCATATATTTGCGCATCTGCGCGCAGAGGCCCGACACCCTTTTTGTTATTGCCTCCAACTTTGGATATCAATCACGATGGCAGCTACAATAGGCATACTCCCTGCAGATCTAGGATCCTCCACGTCGAGAATCCCATTACGACCGAAAGCTGTTACTCCTACACCTACAAATACCATACGTCGGAAGGGCTCGTTTATCCGGCTTGCCGACTCGTCGGAAGAATTGCCAAGTTCACATGAATCCATATTCGAGGCCTTTTGTTTCTCTGCTAGTGAAGCAAGTAGTCACCATGTAGGTTTTGTAAAAGAAGTGTTTCCGTTGGATCTTGGCGGTGTTGTTCCTAGTCATAAGACCTTTCCAAGATCCGGGCATCTCCTACAATATTGACAAGTATTAACTAACACCATGGTCCTTCTAGGCCGAGCTCGTCGACATCCCCTCTCGCATTCCAAGACCAGTCAAGAAGAACGACGAGAATAGCAGAGATGTATCACCATCTAACTTCATCGATACGATTCATTTTCGCTACGGCAATGGTACAGTTCTGGATACGATTACTGAGCAAAAGAGCTATACAACCATCAGCAGCAAAGCGAGGACGAAGTCGGCGGATAATAGCCCAAGTATTCCTTTTCTGGGTCACCGAGATAGTTTTATCATTTCCAAGACCCCGAGACGACAGATATCGTTCAGTCTGGATGATATTGAGGAGATCAAGAGGTCGTATCATGATGCCTGTGTTGTGATCGAGGTGGGTTCCATTTACCTAATTCCTTTTGATGGCAATCCGAGTATCTTGTCGTCTGGTTTCGCACTCCCTTTGCTTCATGAGCCCTGTCAGGAAATTATGCTGATGTGCCTCAAGCAGGAATTATGTAAACCATTACTTGTCCAAGAAATATATGCTGAACCCAAAGTACCCATCCAAGCACCACCCGACAGACCTCCAACACCGGAAGGAATGCCCTCTTGGACCGAAGCACAAGTCCTCGCGATTCCACGTCGCCGTCAATCAAACCTACCCCAAGCATCACATCAAAGTCGAGTTCGCAGATTCTTCAATCTCTCCAGTGCCCCAACGTTAAGCTCCTGCCAGGTTTCGGACGAGAGAAACAGAACTGTTTCTGCACCAGTTCCGGGAAGAACAGCACCACGATTCCGGCCCCCCAAAAGTGTTTATGGAGCAATAGATCAACATCCATTCGCCAAAGCTCCGATTGTGAAAACCCAGTCAGTTGCTCCTTCGGCCATACCAAGACCTAAAGGTAAACGTCTACAAAAGCAACAGCGAGTACGATTCACACCATCCGCGACCGCACGAGATTCTGAAGCAAACATGCTTCAAGCTGCAATAGAATCAACGACAGCTACAGCACCTCATCCATTTCAACCATTTCCAACTACCGAAACCCCTCCACCGAAGAAAGTCTGCCCGCATCGAAAAACAAGCGGCTCCATAGCGGCTCAGGACAATCCCAGGACTACCACAGCCACTGAATACTCAACCATCCACTCCCCGGTACCATACCATCGAGACGAAGACACCACTTTGCCATCCCCAAATCCAGGAACAGCACTTCCAGACTCCCCCTTACCACAAACCCAAGCCGAGTTAGACTCCCTCTGCGTTCTCGAATCTCCACAAGAGCGCCCAGCCTCCGTATCCTCAACAACCTACCTCATGACAGGCGCTCTTCGAGCACCTACACCACCGCCTCCATCTGTAGCTCTTGAGCCAGAACTGGCCAAGGAAAACTGGTGCTGGAGATGTACGTTGCGATCTGCTGTTGGCAAGCTCGATGATTGGTGGATGAAGAGTGCGAGGTGTATTTGTTTTGTTTGTTGTGGGTTTGATATTGAGGATGACATGGATGGGGAAAGGGAGAGGGGCGATGGGAGGGGGAATGGAAGTGGAAGTGGGACTGGAAGTGGGAGAGGGAGTGGGTATAGGTCTCGGTATAGTGAGATGGAGGGACCGAGGAGAGTTGTTGTGGGGAAGACGCTGGCGGGGAGTTTGTGATGGATGTGAAGGGTGTGAGATGGCTTGACGAGACAAGACATGATGTGTGGAATGATGGATGATAAATGGTATGAGAAATGAGGAACGAGGAATGGTTTGAGCGAGGCGTTGGGCCGTGCCGGGCTGGGCTGCTTAGAGTGTACAGTACATTAGATTGGCATGGCGTTTGACTTGACTTGGTTGTATTGAATCGAATACCAATATTCTGTTTTGTTTTGTTTTGATTGCCTTCGCTTCGAGAGATTCGCTCTTGACAAATCGCGCTGGTAAAATGAAGCTGTTCTGAAAACTCGCATGCGTGAGTGATCGACTTTCGTGCTGAATGATGAAATTACTGTAAACCTAATCTCAGGATAGGTATCAATATCCATCTCTGGATAAGACATGACATGAGCCTGCTGCGCATATATATGGTCTTGACTGAAGGATAATAAGGCTTTTATTTACTCTCGTCTTATTTTATTTTGCTTTATTTTTTTTATTTCATTATAAGAGTGTTTTCTATCCATCTATTTATTTATCTCCTCGCCTCTGGCCTTAGCAGGTACTTACGTATCTTTTTGCTTGATTACACACGCTCGATCGCTCGCTAAAGACTCACATTTCAGACAAACAAGTAAAGGAGTAAACGAGTAAACAAGCGCTGTTCCGTTCTTTCATTCCATCCCGAGGTCTTTTTCATTCTCATTTTCATTTCCGTTCCCTATTCTCATTCTTATTTATACATTCTCTCTCTCCCCTAACCCGTCCGAATCCACATTCTTAATATTTTCCTCGCCCTCATTCTCACTCTGATTCTTCCTCGTAGCCTCGCTCTCCCTCAACGGACGAAAGCGAGACCAAGACCAAGATCGAAACTAAACAAAGATTCTTTGCCTCGGTGAAAAGTATAACATGATATAAAATCAACAGCAACAATCCCACCACCACCCAAACAGAATAGAATAGAACAATTTTGAACAAGAAAGAAAGAAAGAAAGAAAGAAAGAAACAAAAAATCTACCCAAAACAAGAAAATCGTATCATGTGCATCATCATAATCATACAAATATACAGCTTTGCCCCACTCCCCTGAATCTCGACTGCAAATTCTACAGTCTCTCCCACTTCTCCATTTTCCTTCCATATCTTCACATTCACATTCATCTCCATCTCCATCTCCACCACATCAATTCCAACCCAACTCCAACACATACCACTCAACCCCATGATCCCCTCAGAGGAAAGAAGTGAGAAGGAAGAGGGGCTGTAAGTAAATACAATGAGAAAACGGCGGTGATCAATCACTCAATCAACCAATCAATCACTCATTCAAGCGCCATAACTCTGACTAAGACTTGATTTCCCCGGCCCTTGAGCCTTCTTCAGAGCGCGGAGTTCGTCTTCGAGACGGCGGCGTTCGGCTTGTTCGGCCTGTGGGTGTAGAAGTCAGTATCTAAAGAGGATACAAGAATAGAAAATGGGTGAACAAGGACAAGAACGAGAGATTGATGAAAGAAAAAGGGAGACGTAGAAAAACCATACCCTCAAAGCCTTCGTGCTCTCAGCCCTAGTATCCCTCATCATCTTCTTAAACTCATTCTTCAACACCGTCGTGCTCGTTGACCCCGGCGGAAGTCCCCCACCCCCACTCCCACTCCCCCTCCCATCAAACGCCGGACTCGACATGCCCAACCACCTAACCTTCTCATCACTCAACTGCGCCTCGAGATTCTCCCTCTCATCCCTCAACTTATCGATCGTGCCCTCGAGGCTCTCCCGCTCCTTCTCCCACTCAATGCTCGCCTTGGTCATCTGCTCGTACTCCTCGATCGTCTCCTCTAGCTCCTTCTTCAGCGTCGCCATCTTGGCGTCCGCGTCCGGTGAGGAGGTCGAGGAGGAGGCCTTCTCCTTGAGAGCTGCGATCTCGGCGGCGAGGGAGGAGTTGCTCTTGGTGAGGGTGTCGATTTCCTTTTGGATGGCTGGGTTGGCTGCTACTTCTGCGGCGCGCTGGGCGCGGGAGCCGTAGGCGCCGTCGAGCTCGGCGCGAGCGATGGTGACTTCGGTTTGGAGGCGGGCGATCTCCATGTTCATGTCTTCCATCTCTTTGTCTTTGGCGGCGAGGGCTTGGTCTTTCTCCTGGGTGCCCTTTTCGAAGGTGGTCTTCGCGGCTGCTGCGGCGGCTAGCTCTTGTGTTAAGGTTGCGATCTTGGATTCGGAGTCGGCCATTTTGCCTTGTAGTTCTGCATTGCCGATGGATTGGTCGTCCTTCATATCCTGTAACTCTTCTTCAAGAGCAGCGATAGTCTGGTTGCGAGCATTAAGCTCATTCTCAACTTCCTGAATCGTCTGATCTCGTGACTTGAGCTCGCTCTCAATCTGCTGGAACTGCTTATTCCTTGAACTGAGTTCACTCTCGATCTGTTGAATCTTCTGAGCCCGACTACTGAGCTCCTCTTGAGCCTGCTGAACGGCAGCTGATTCATCTTTCGACCGCGATTGATCACGCATGAGTTCTCGCTGATTGGTCTCATCGAGCTTTTCCATCATATCACTCAGCTGCTGTCGAACATTATCGGCATCTGCTTCGGTCCGAGTGAGGAGGTCTTGCATCCTCTGCAACTCCTCGCCTTTCTGCACCATTTCAGCATCCTTGGCTGCATCCGACTTGTTGTTGAGCTCCCGCTGTTGCTTGATCTGTCGCTGCAAGACCTTCTTCTGATCCTTTAGACGAGTAGCCTGGGAGTACAGCCATTGAACCTTCGTAGAGAATGCCTGTATAGAGAAATTCTCATTCGGATCATCCCCTTCATCAGGAGAGTCTTCCTCATCTTGCGGAAGATTTTGAGCTGTTCGAGTCTGGCGACGTTCTGCTTTCCTCTGCCGCTGGTCTTCCTCGCCAGATTGTATGATATCCCATAATCCCATCATGACTGTCTGCATCTGCTCCAAATTCTCCGAATTACCCGTACTCTTGTTTGCGGTACTAGATGCTCGAGACAATTCCACTGCCACAGCGCCAATAATCTCCTGGAAATATCCAAGTTGCTCGTTCAATCCACTTCCAGTAAGCTTTGGTGGCTCTGGTCGGTTGGGATCATATGGTAAAAGAAGATTCCGGACCTCTCCATTCAGTTCCCCCAGCGTCTGTTCCATAGCGGCCTCAGACTGTACCTGAACTCTTGTTGACTGACCAGCACTCTCCTGATCAATAGCAATAATGCCCTTTTCCAAATATTCCAGATGACTTTGCAACGTTGTCCCAGCTTCCGCAGATTTCCCATCCCGGTCAGTCCTACTGAAAGGAGTTCCAAAACTCCCCTCCCGCTCCGGATTGACCTTGATGATAACTTCCCGTAGCCGATTATTCAGACTCTCCAACTGCTGTTCCGTATTGGCAATCATCTGCATCTGCTCCTTTGACGGCCCTGTAGAAGGGATCAAGCTCTCCCTCCCACCAATATTGAAACCATCCAGACGATCTGCATCCTTGTAGAAACTCCTCTCATCGAAGAACATCTCGTCGTGAATAGGCTCCATACTACTCCTCGCATTCGAATACGTGTACATGCTCTCTGGACTCCCAGGAATGCCTTGCTGCTGCGACGCTCCCTGGCCCTTGGGCATCTTCTTTGGTCCTTTATGTGTCATCTGAAGTATTCCCGCAGTATGCTTCAGCAGTCTTGTCTGAGGCTCCATAAGCCGTTTCTCCAAAGACCATAACTCCAGCGCCAGATCCTCGCATTTCTTCTCGCTGGCTATCCGCTCCTGATCTGCCTCTTTGACCGAATCACTGCTGTTGCGGTTATGTCCAAAGATACTCCTCCTCCTCCCGCCGTCCTGGCCTTCTCTCTTGTCCGAGGGCGAGTACAGCTTCGCCATGGAGATGGCAGCATCGCGGTATTTGGATTGGATGGCGAGGTTCTGCCGCGTTTGTTCGATCCGCTGGGTGAGGACTTGACATTGCTTCTTGAGGTCGTCCACCTCTTCCTGGGACAAGAGTTCGTACTCCTTGCTGTCGCCCAGCGCAGTCTCAACCAGCAGATGTATTTGGATCGGATCATTGACATTCAAGAGCGTCGAGCTCTGCGGCCTCGTGGGATTCATCTACCGTATGCGGTCAGTCCCGACATTCTCTCTTCCTTCTCCCCTCGCGCCGATTCTCATCCCAACAAGCAGCTCCCTACTCACCGGATTGTATCTGGGCTTCTCCTCGAAGCCATTCATCACGTCCTTCCTGTAACCCTCGAGGACCGTCCTGCCGTTTGGTTCTGGAGGCGCTGGTACTGGCACTGGCAAAGGCGCTGCTCCCCTCCTCCCAGTATTCTGCTGCGCTACCTGCATGTTGGTCCTGGGATCCACATTCTCCTTCCTGCTGTACCCATTCTTCGGCGCATTCGCTCCATAATTCCTGGCCCCTTGACCGCCGCCAAAGCTCCAATCCTGGTTCGGCCGGGCTGGAAGCGCCTTGCCTCTAGCCGCAGCCCCATTCATTGTTGATTGCTGTCCCCTCTTAACTCCCCATTCATAGATTTGGCCAACTGTCTCTTTTCTCAGGCTCGCTTTTCGTGGGTATAGGTAGTGGTTATCGCATGGCTGAAGCCCTCGCAGGTTTATTGAACAGAGGGAGGATACATCTGAGGGATGGTCAAGATCCCTTGCCTTTCTCCTTCGTCAGGAATGTGATCTTCGCAGCAAGCAGATTTCGATAGCTGGATCGCCGTCTCCTTTCCGCCGGGTTCCTGTATGATCGACGTCGGCACCTGCCTTTCCCTCTAAAGCTTTGTTCGGGTTCACTACTCGTACTCCAGCCTAGCCTTGTCCTTCTCTGGATCCTGGTATTTTCTCTTCTCCCTGCCACGGAATGAAGTGAAAGACAAAGAGCAAATTGACTGCACGCGTACAGGTACTGTGGAACTTTTCAGATGGACAATAGAGAAGGGAGAGAGACCTTCTTCGCGTCGTTGAAGGGACGAAACGAATATTTTGGTGCTGCCGTCAGTCGAAACCGTCCCGCTGGGCTTCCGTTCCGCACCAGCTTTACCTCCGTAGGCAAGCAGCCCAGCCAGCCATCCAGCCGCTGGTGGTCGCTTGATTGGTGAATTTCAGGGGCTTGGGGCTAAGCCAGCCGCCACAACAATACCACGTCCTTACGTGCCTTCTCAGCAGAGAGAGATATATATATATATATGGTTCATCTCAGCTCCTACAGAGTTCAATTAACTTGACTTTTGATCATCTTATAGCGTATCACAAAGTCTCACTTCCCCATCATCATCAAGTGGTATGAGGGGCGCATAGACGGTGGGAGGAGCCTTAGTGGTGCGAGGCTTGTTGTTTGCATAACGGACGAGAGTCTGGGGGCAAGCGCCTTGGGTTTCAGTCGTCGTGGTTGTGAAACCCGAGATAGGACGAAAGCTTGCTCCGTCTGCTTCATGCGGGATTTGAATATATTGATATTGTTTGAAAATATCTAGTTGATTACTAAAAAATCCTGCTACTACCACGTGGCCCTGGTTATACCCGTTCGATCGAGGTTCAAAAAGTTAGGACATGGCATCAAATCCTAGCCCAGCTTCTACTCCTTTCATAAAAACAATAACAAGGTCGCTCTCTAACGTGGAGGCAGTGCTCTCAATTGAAGTCTGCTTGCTGAGCGAACTACTTGTATAGTCGTCGGCTCGTTCTACAGTATTCAGTTTCAAATAGTAGATGTTGAAACAGAAGCGGATACATCACATGTTTCCATGATACGTATACCATTTTTCACTTACTCTCAAATGAAGGTGTGCCTTCGAGCTGGCATTTTGACACATGTAGCTCAGCCGATTTTGATGAATAGCACTGTTTTGCATTTCTATCGATGTATCCTGAGATATTGAAACCAGCAATTCCAAGCACCGTCTCAGCTGTCATCCATGCCATCTTGCAATGTCCTGACTGCATTTCACAACCTATGGACCAAAGGCCCATCACATTCTCTCTAAGTATCCTCCTTCGCTGGTTCCTTGTATATCTTGTATAATTCGTCAATACGATCTTGGTCGGTAAGTGGTTTACGGTATCTCGATCGGAGGTATCGCCACCGGACCTGCCCCTTCCTTGAACTCTTGAGGAGACACAGTGTATAACTTTTCCAAGGCACATCCCACATTATGATATCTCTCTGCTGCTGCTGCTGCGCCAACACCTTAGCCATCTGGTACATAGGAAAGTCTCGTATTGGCATAATTTCATTGTCTGGTAGGCCGGCACCTCGCATTCGTGCCTCCACATCTCGCTGATCCGCGTCTGCACTGAGAAATTCAGCCTGGAAAGCTTCCCTGTATCTTTGCAAATGTCCTGTACACCAGACATCCCGAAACCAACGGCTGGTATTTCTGAGCATTCTGAACCATGCCAGTGTTCGTGGCAGTAGAGAGCTGTTGCTGTAGGAATCCCACAGGTCGGACCTTAGTGTTTGCAACTGTTCTATGGCTTCGTCAACTCTCTCAGCAGCAATGTAAAACCCAGCGAGCTTGCATCGTGCACACAATAACACATTCGATCGCAATGGTTTAGAAGAATGCCACGTGCCGTCCGTTGTCTGTAGCTCCACCATCTGCTTCGCAATAAGAATTGCATTCTCTAAATTTCCCCACAAAGCGAACCTGTCCGCCAGAAAGGAAGCAAAAAGAAATAATCGTGTCCTGGTATAACTTCTCGACGTGACAAACTCATTGTCTTTTCACTTGACCCAGGTTTCATGTATATCGTCGAGTTTCTTCTCATTCGGTTTGATTTGGAGTGCCTCGGAGTCAAGTATTTCAAGCACTGTGCAAGTGGCTGCATATTCTTCTTGGTCGAAAAGCTCCCATATATTCATCCAACGCCTCACGATGCCTGTGGTACAGTTATGATGATGAGCCTGAAATATGTCAATCCGACGCAAATAACGAGTTGGTGGGACAGTTGGCATACAATCACTGCAACATCCCGCTCTGATCCCATTTTCTCCCAAAGCCTTCCAAGTGAATTGAAGGCTACATCCTGGAAGTGCAGCCGTTTGGGTACCGTACTCTTGTCTTCGTATCTCCTAAATGGGAGTTCGACGAGGGAAAGAAGCCTTATGTACGCCTCTTCAAGGTACAATTCTTCCAGTGTGGTCTTCGTAGAATCTGCAAAGAGTCTGGTCTTCTGTGGGGCTAGAATACGAGAGGGTATTGTTGACCATCCAAATTGATTCCATTCATTGTCATCGTTTTGGTACCGAGTATACAAAAATGAACCAATCAAACCCCAGACACCCTCATGGTAGTGATTGAGAAATCTATGATGGAAGGTACAGCCCCAGGTATGGTCTACAATTTGTGTGCTTATGAGTGGTTGGATTTCTCTGAACAGGTCCAGATATGACTGTGGAGGGTGAGTTGAATTCCAGTACCTCCCGGACAGTTTGTTGGGAATGCTACGCATGAGCTTTTCCATCTGTTATGGATCAGTTCAAGCAGACACTCCCAGCTTTTGCTATTTCTGCTTACAAGATTATAACAAGCCTGTAAGTGCTGACCACAAAGATATTCGTAAGCGTAGATACTAATGATTCGTTGCATATGGATACCATAGACAATCGGAGCGTCCAATCTGATGCGCCTGAGAAGATCCAACAGGGCTGCTGGCGATTGCATCCTCCTGGCATCTTCCAGCGCAAGGCGGGAGACTACCTCACGGCCCATAGGAAGGGTGAGTGTTTTGTATACGGCTTTGCTCAACTTCGCGAGGCTGTTGTACGATACGAAATCCGGCACATGCTCGACGATAATACATTTCACCTCGTCCGGAAGCTTGTCCCATTTGAACCGACCATTCCATAAAGATGCCATGATGGTGTTGTGCCGTAACTATGCTGAGAGTGTAGAGATGTTGGTGAAGGAGGAATCATTTGGCTGGGACAAGAAGTGAGGTTAAGATTAGAAAGGAGGGACGCGCTTGCCGTTTGTTGTCAGTCAGTCTCGCTTAATGGGGAGGAGTCATCAAACCAGCGAGAGCAACCGGTCCTTGAATGAGAGTCGGACTGTCAGTTTAATACCTACTCCACAAGAACAACGAGCGCATGAGTACCTTCGTCCCAGCTTCTAGGGGTGGTTTCTGGGCGACGGAGTAGAAAGCCAGCCCGCCAATCACACTGACTACTCTCTCTATCCTCTTCATTTTTGTCATGTATCTAATAGGCTCGCATCGGAATGATATTATACGTTGAGTGGTGAGTAGGCCAGGAGCGGCAATTGCACTGTATGTTGAAAACATATGCTCAGCAAGGAAGATGGCGGAAACAGGAATTCAAAGACCGAAGGTAAGAGGACAAGGTATTTATGCAAATACTCACAGGCCTGTAAATGCAAACCCTATCTCCTTCACCAACCGATGTTCTATATAACAATGCAAGCACCACAACGCCCACCCCAACACATCACAACCCAACCAAGCCCTCCTCAACCATCTTAATCTGCAACGCAAGCAACCTACTGAAATACCTGCTCACAAAAAAGCTCCCCGCCGCAACCCAAAACCCCTCTTGTCCACTCCTCTTCCAAACCCCTCGCACCTCTCCCTCCTCATCATATCCCCAAACAGGCTCAATCGCATCCGCAACCTCATCCCCAAAGATCTTCCTAGTCCTCACCCTCCCATTCGAATACCCCGTCGCGAAAACCACAACATCAGCTTCGACCTCCTCGCCGTCCGGAAATACTATCCCCGAAGGCGTAAAATGGCTGATTGAAGGTGAGGATTTGACGCGAATAGCGCCAGAGGAAATAAGTGGCGAGCAGCCGACATCGATGTAAAACCCCCCCGCGCGCTGGATAGTGAGTGAGAGCAGACTCGGCAGTTCCTCTTCCTGCGGCCTAGATATCGTCTTGAATCCAACCTTCTCCAACCCATCCCACAAGTCTTGATTCAGCGGAGCCAGGAGAGACGAGGCGTCGGATCCGACATGTTTGAACAGTGCAGTTGGGAGGGAGAAGAATTTCATGTCTGCGTCGTCGACGTCGGTGGTTTCGTTGTAGGATTTGCGAACCATCTTGTGGACGGAGGAGAGGGAGAGTACGAATGTGGGGGAGCGTTGGACGATTGTTATGGAGGCGCCGTGGCGGTGGAGGCCTTGGGCTATGTCGTGGCCGGAGGTGCCGGATCCAATGACGATTACTCTTTTGTGGGCGAAGGTGGAAGCGTTGTTGAACTGACTGGAGTGGAGGGTTGTGCCTGTGAAGGTTGACATGCCTGGGATGGAAGGAATTTGTGGTTCACCGTTAAGACCAGTTGCTTGGACTATGTGGTGGGGATAGAATGTTCCTAACTGTGGTAAGCATTTAGAGAAAATCTGGAGACCAAGCTAGTAGTACTTCTCGAAATCCTGCCATCTTTGTTTCGCTCTAATACTACAGTCCACTGCTTTTTCACCTGATCCCACCTCGACTCCGCAACTTGCGTGCTATTCCAAACATTCAAATCCAGTGCCGTCTCATAATACGCCATGAAATCCGCCATTTTATCTTTAGGCGTCAAAATCTACCCGTTGTCAGCTCAGTTCTCGGAATATCTTGCTGAAAACTGAAGAAGCGAAGATCGACCTAGAAGTGCAGGCACAAAAACAAACAAAACAAGCGAAGCGAGAAACCACAGTCGCACAGCGAAAAAAAAAGAGAACGCAACTCACCGGCCACGAAGGAGGATACTTCAAGTACGGCAGCGCATTCATCCAACACGGATCATGCATCACCAAATCATGATACCTCTTCCTCCAACAATCACCGGTCCTCTCCCCCTTATCAACCACCAAACTCCTTATACCCAGCATCTTCAGTCTCGCCGCGGTCATCAAGCCACTATGCCCCGCTCCAACAATCAACACTGTCGGTTGGTCATCCTCCCCGTCCAGAAACTCACGCTGTCGTTCTCGCCATTCGTACCAATTCAATTCTTCAGGTGCAGACTCTGGTTTTGCGTTTTCGGGGCGGGACAAGCCGGTGTGGAAGGGAGTTTGGGTGAGGTCTGTGAGGGTGGTGAAGAGTGTGTAGACGCGCCATTGGTTGTGGCTTTCGACGTCGATGATCCAGCGGGCGATACCTTTACCTATTCCGTGAGTAGTGGTGAAGGAGAGGGTTGAGAAGATACATTTTACTGTTCCTCTTGGATCGAGATTGGTGAGTTCAGGTGCACTGGTTAAGGAGATGGATGTGATGTTGGATTTGTTTCCGTTTGCTTTTCCTTCCGAGTTTATCAAAGAGATGACTTGGTCTGCACCGTATAGTGTTGAGAATCTTGTGGGTGAGAAGCCGAGATGGTCGCGCCAGTAAGAGGTTTTGGCCATGAGGTTGTGAAAGGCTGCATAGTCGCGAGATTGAAATGTAGAGTTAAGTGCTGTGATGGATTGCTCTACTATGCCTTGTATTTCTTCGGATGAAGTGGGTAGAGGTAAATTGCTGACTTTGGGGTATGGAGCCGTAGGTATGTCGAAAGATGTGTCTTTGAGGTGAAGTTCCTCAACGGAAGGGAGTGCGATGGAGCCCATGGTTTCTCGTCCGCTCAATTCCACTATTCTTTCCTTTCAAACCCCAACGCCTCTGATTTTGCTCCCTCGAGCACTTGAATTGAACACCTTCAACCGATCCAAAAACAAGCGGTAATAAAATGTAGCCTCTCAGAAAATCCACAGCGCAGCCAAAATTCCAAATCAACAAGCTCAACGGTACCGCCAAGAGAATCCAGAAACCTCAAAGCCAAGTCGAGAGAAGCCCCTCCATCACACCTTATATACCTCCCAGTCTGCAAACCTAATCCTCGCCCCTCCATCACCTCCAGGGTATCCAAAAACCCTCCTGTTCAATCCCCAAATCAAGCTACGAAAGCCCAGCGCAACTCCACAATAAGCTTACTCTACGTAGCTACCTTCCTGACGAAGTTACTCTCTTCACCTCGACCCCCCCCCCCCCCTCCCCCACTCTTCCTCACTCATGGTGGCACAGCACATGAAAAAAAAAGTACAGGAAAGTGAAAAGATTTATGAAAGATGCCTACACGCCTTCCTATTACGTAGAGCAGGGTTAGTTCACCATAGAGTTTTGCAGAGGTTTTGGGTCTTATCGGATAAAAGTCAGTGAGGCCGACAAGAGGTGGGTAGGAAATGAGCCGGCCAATTGTGCAGTAGGAGGATCACAAAGGGTCCCGAGGTCTCGTAGCGCTTACCACACTTAATATCCATCATGAAGGCGAACTCAACAACAATTTATATTCAAGTAGATCGTACCGCAGAGGCGCCAGCATTACACAGACTACGGGGGTTAGGTGACATCTTATCGTTAGAGCTTAAATGCGGGTAAGTTCAACCTCTTTCCCCCATTATTATTGTGTTTTCGTGTGGATACTTTTCTGCGGCACAAAACTCCCGATAGGCATTCGGACAATGACGAGATCCGAAACCTAACTCAATTCCACGATGGAGACGAAGACGAGGTTAGGCAGGTAGGTTTGTATGTGATTCAATTGTACATCATACTCCGTTTCAAATTTAGATTCCATCGAACAGGAGATTGAAGAGACCCAACATGTAAAGGATGATGGATGGCAAAAATGCAAGTCGTCGTTATTTCATCATCGAAGTGTGTATGTCTATGAAGTGCGAGCGAATCGTGCTACATATCTACCAGGGAAGGAAACCCCAAAGATCTCTATCATCCTCAAAGCAGCTATGTACGACTTCCCTGAAAGGAGAGTGGATATAGGAGAAAGGAACTTTTACAGATCTCGCGATTCGATTATCAGATGTTCAGTGATTTGACGTAGGAGAGTTAGTCGACAGAGTGAGATTGGTGAGAAGAGCTTATTCAGAGTCGGATTCTATTTTTGGAGTCAGTACCCAATGATCAGAAGCCGTTGTGAAGCTGGGCTGCCTAGGTCGATTTCAAGAGAAGGCAAACTCACCAACGGTAGCATATTTCTTAATCACCCTCTCAATACCATCCAAGCCCATCTTCAACGTCTCCATCTTCGGTCCATACGAGAAGCGCACAAAGTGATGGCAAGGACTATCAAACAGATCTCTTCTCTTACTTGGGTTCAAGTCGAAGAAAATACCCGGGACAACGATGACGCGCTCTTCCAGACATGCTTGGAAGAAGTTCAGTCCGTCGGAGATCTGGTCAGGGAGGCATTCGAGGTCGAGCCACAGGTAGAAGGTACTGTCGGGGACATTGGTGATCTTAAATCCCATAGAGTTGAGACGGCCGACGACATAGTCGCGCTTCTCCTGGGGGAGCCGTTAGTGTCATCAGAATACGAGTGGATTGAGAGGATGTACTCTGAAGTGAGTCTGCAGGGCTTTCATCTCGGTGCGGACCTTTTCGGGTTCAAGCATGGGAATAGCAGCTTCTTGGAAAGGAACATTGGCTCCTCCATCGAGGTAAGAACCACATGATCCAATGGCTTGGATGAATTCCTACAGTTGTCAACATTGTAAACCCAATTAGATTAAAAAGAAGATGTACCTTTGGTCCAACAATCCACGCAATTCTCCAGCCAGGAAGTCTGAATCGCTTGGTCAAGCCATCAATGATCAACACATCATCCTCATCAACATCCTCGATATTCTCAGCGGCACTGATAGTGGTCCCATCACAGTTACTGGTGTAATTGTATCCACCATAGAACTCATCCATCACCAGTGTAGCGCGATCACGGCAGATGTCCTGGATCTTGGCCAGCTCGGGATTCTTGACTACTTTGCCAGTAGGGTTGCGTGGGTTAGATGTCAGGATGACACTTGTGCCGCGAGCGATCTCGTCAGCGATCTTTTCTGGGTTGATGTGGTATCCATCCTCTTCTGAGAGGGGAGACGGGATGGCTGCGAACTGTAGCGATAGTAATCAAGATCAGCTTATGTTTCTGAAAATACCAATAAATGCAAGACAAGACCCTTGCCAAGAAAGGGGGACGAAGCGCAGCCAAGATGACCTGACTGATCAACCCCTCCTTCTACCCCGCCATCATTTTCCTCCCTTCCCTCCACACCACGAACAACCAACACTCGAGTAAGGGAGGAACTCACATTCTTGAACAGACTCAACATCTCGTTGTACGCTGTGTAATCCGGAATGAAGAACCCCAAATACGCATTATTCAAAACGGCCGCAATGCGAATCAAGCCGGCTCTTCCTCCAGGCACAATACACACATTCTCCCAGCTGTACTGGCTCTTCTTGCCCTCTCGATGATGCACATTATACAGGTTCGCAACCGCAGCTCTCAGGCTCTTGATGCCAGCTGTAGGACCGTATTCGCGGCCTGCCATGGTAATGTCGATGTTGTGGGGACGCTCGAAGGAGCCTTCGATCTCGTCATCAACTTCTGGAGCTCCTTGTCCTAGATTGGCCCAGAGTTCTGGCTCTTCGAGGAAGCCGTGTTCGTAGGCTCGTTCAGTACACCAGATTACACCGGTGGAGGCACGGGTAGGATCGAGGCCTGCGTGCGGGCGGTGACCTTCGTGAGCATTGCGGAATTGCTTGTGGATATTAGAGTTGGTTTCTGTGTGTGGACGAGGCATGTCAGTCTTTCTTCTTCCCTGTGACTTCTCCTCCTGCTCCGCGGTCTATCTGCAGACTCTTCTCCTACAAAAGTACGCTGACTTCATTCAAGCTCTTCCCTCACAACGAAGTATCCTCTCGAATTTCCCCTCTCTACCCCGCCATCCTCTCGCTGCTCCCAACCCACAGCCTCTTCTACACACATCGAAACACACGCAAGCAAGAAACACAAGACATACCATTCGCACTCGGATCATGCGTACTGAACCTCCTCTGCGCCTTGGTCGAGACTCTCGGTGTCCCCGTATTACGGTTCATCGAGAACTTGCGGTTGGCAAGCGACATATTCTTGAGGATTTCTCGTGCGGATTCTGCCATCTTGACTTATTTTCCCTCGGGTAGGTGGTCTATGGCTTTGAGGGTCGGTAGGTTGTAGATATCGCGTCAAATAGAATGGTGCTGCGTAATGTTGGACAAGCTTGTGTTTGCGTAACTGCTTTGTTTCGACCACAATACTCTTTGCTGTAGAGACGAAACTTGGTACAAGGTCTGTCTGCACTATTTGTTGGCTGAAGTCGATTTATAAAATTCCCTGAGAGCTCAACTTTAGAATACGAATGACAAAGAAGGAGGTGTGAATGAACTGCAAGAGTGAAGTTCCAACACGTAAAATCTGCAAAACAGGAATGGAAGCCACTCCAATCCTTCCAGTCGAAAAGAGGGGTGCGTGGGTGTGGGTGCAGACAGTGCTTCCATTGTGTTGCTTTTTTGCCCCGCCAAACGCCTGCCCGCGTCTCCTCTGCCGTGAATCTGCCAGCGGCGGTGAAGACAGGAGGGATGCATCTCACTCCAGTCTACCTACCCACCTACCAACCTATGATCCTGGGGAGCACAACAGCGAGTCACGGCCAACCCATCCCAACCAAACCAATCCAGCGGCCAAGTACCTTAAGTATAGAATATTAATGGAATACCTACATTCTCTACCTCGAAAAGTACATACATAAGAGGGAGGAGGCAGAATACGTTCCCGAGTATGTACCTACCTATGGCATGGCATACCTCAGCATGGCAAAATCCCGGTTCATTGGAGATATCCCTTCCCTCCATCCTGGGAAAGCTCCGGATATGAACGAATCAAGATCGGAGGAAGGAAGTCGTGCTCATTATACCTACCTAAGTTCTCATACCTATCTACTATCTGTTGCTTTAACCCCCACTTTCCAATGGAACCAATCTTCATGTCGAACCGGGCAAGTTCGCACGCGGTGCGGGAAGGAAAAAGAAAAGAAACGATAATCGCACATGGGAGGAGGGGATTAGAATCTCTCCACAAGACAGACCAGATGATGTCTGGTCAGACCAAGCTTTGAAGCTTTGGTGATACAGCTCAGAAGGGACGCACATCTACAGCTGTGATAATGCATAATTCTACAAGAAGTCTACCACAGACTACCTAACAACAACAGTTTTACAAACGAAACACCTGCCCATCCTCAAAGAGGGCGTCCCAGCATAGTACAGCACAGCACAGCACAATCTACGATATATCCGCCGCGCTCTCATCCTCCTCCAGCATCGTCTTGAAGCTAAACGGCTCAAACGGAATCCCATCACCCATGAAATGCTTACTCATTGCCTCGACCCAATGCAAACGCAGCGAGTGCAACATGGCGCTCGTGCCCTCCATGACGACGAGGACTGCCACGGATAGGAAGAACCACACGTAGAAGGTGGCGACGATCATGAATACGCCGAGGGGGCCGGTGACGGCAAGACCGTTGGCGAGGGTCATGGTCCAGAGAACGACGGAGAGCTGTTGATGGGCGAGGGAGAGGGCCCAGAGTCTGAGGTAGGATGCGGTGTGGGAGACGCAGTTGAGGCAGAATTCTATTTTGTGTTAGCTGGTGTGATACACTCAAACTCAATAATCTGTCTGGGTACATACCGATAGTGTGGATAACTTGATGGATCATAACCTCACTGAACTCAAACTCCTCGTGCTCCTCATCGCCACCAAGATCCTGAGTGATCATTGCAACACCCTCACCATCACTGTTCATGCTAGCCCTTCCATCCAGGGTATTGCTATCGTCATCGTCTCCATCGAGAGCACTGACACGAGATGTCTCACCAAGTCCTCTGTATCCTCTTCCACGAGCCTTGTTGTGCTCATAGCGAAGATAGAATGGCTTGAGAAAGAGCAGGATCGGGACTTGGACAATAGCGATGAGTACCAGGAATATCTGAACTGGGGCTTGGCCTCTGTATAGTTGTCCTTCGATCGTTCCGGGAGACAAGAACATGTAAATCAACATGTTCAGCAGTCCAGGGGGAGATTGTCCGATTCCGTTCCAGTCAACGCACCATTTGAAGATAATCGTGAAAACAAGGTATCCGAAGATAGCCTGGAAGAAAATCATCCCAGGGACGAAGACACCCCAAATATCGATTGGGGATTTGAAGTGGCGAGCGTTGATGTAGGATAGACATAACGAGTAGGTCATATGACACCAACCCATAAGGATACTAAGTTTCATCTTGTAACTGTTGGAGAAGAGAAGATCGTTCTCAGTTCCATGCCACATCCAATCGAGGCCAAAAGGATATCTGTAATCGCTCTTCAAGGAACCAGTAACAACGGCTCCTTCCTTCCATCCCTCAGGCACATCCCATTGCCAGGCACTGGGGAAGATGGAGAGGGATTTCGAGAAGACATCGTTGTAGATCAGACCAGTGTACATGGAGAAGATACCCATCATCAACATGATATATCGTCCATAGTACGCCATAGAGAACAGTTCATCGCGGACCTTCTTGAGAGGTTTCTCCCAGTAGATCATAGCCGACGCAGCAGCAAACATGATGAATCCGTGACCGAAATCACCAAACATGACCGCGAACAGGAATGGGAAGGTAACAACCGTAGGCAGACCTGGGTTGACTTCCTGGTACTTCGCTGTTCCGTAGGCATTGATAATGGTCTGGAAACCTTCCGTAAACCTGTTTGTTTTCTGGTAGGTAGGAGGAGTCTTGTTTGTCCTGATCTCGTTGATGATTGAAGGAACCGAAAGTCCAGCCCGGTTATTGACATCGTGAAGAGTCGACTTGATCAAAGGCAAAGAATTTGTCGGACACCACGCCTCAGCAATCAACGTCTTCCTGGCATGATCGTACGAAAACAGATTCAGCGTCTGATAAACAGCCTTCTCCTTCTTGATAATGACCATCCAAGCAGCCAAGCTCTGCGCAATCTGGGTAAGCTCCGCATCGAGCGTGGTCTTCGTATTGCCCAGAACATTTCCCAAATCTCCCAGACGAGTATTGACCTCATGGATCTGATCCCTCCTCAAATCACTATTCTCATCAACACTGTACAGATCCGCACCCAACGATTCCGAGATCTTCCTAATCTTGGCAATGAGCTCCTTTCCGTGCGCGAAGATAACAAAGACATTCTTGTTGACAGGCTCGTTGTTCGTGGGGTCGACAAGAGGCTCAGGGATCTCGGATTGGTTCATGTAGAGGTTACCTCTCAGCGTTCTCCACAAGATGCGCTCAAAAGCAGCGACTCTATCTCTGGGGATAACACCCGCCACAAATCCAATGTTCATGACCGAGAACGACCGTTCCGCGTCGCCGTTCTGAGCAGGCTGCTCAACATCCTGCAGAAGCGGCGCATCGTCGTCATCGTTTGAAGCCCGAATCGCCTCCGTATTCCCATGTGCACGATCGAAGAATCCTCCCGCCTCCCTCAACACCCATCTCCACTCCGTCAATTCGACCTCTCTCTTCTTCAAGGTCTCATAACTGTCGTTCAGCGAAGCAACACGCTGTTCGAGGCTCTGGCTGCGGTCGGCCAGCTCGTCAATCTCCGAGGCGGATGGCGCTGCGAGGGTGTCGACATCGAGATCAATCTTGCGGAGGGGAATGCCAGCCTTTTCCATCTGCGTGTAGAAGAATCCTAATCTGCCATCAGTACCCATTGCTCTAACATGCTGACCACCACCTACGGAGCTGTCTCTCCACATTATCCAATCTCCTTATCTCCTGTGTAAAGGTTCGCTGGAAAGCCGTAACATCGGAATTGAGCTGTGCAAATCATCAGCCGGAAGCTCCAACACTCTTTTCTCTTCAAAGATACCTACATCGCGGAATTGGATCTGTCCGAGCTCGCCCAGGGCGTTGACTATCTCGCGGCCGATTTCGTTGGCGATGTAGAGCTGCACCATGCTCATGTCCGCGGAACGGAACATGGTATCCTCGTGGTACACCATGGCGAGGAAGATCTGGGGAGTGCCCTGCTCTTCTTGCGATGGTTGATGATAGCTTGGATAGCTTCTTGTAGGGTGGTGGATGGTTGTCGTCGTCGAAGGCAACGAGCTTTCCTTAGGTCGTCATCCACATAGCTTCAAGTCACGGGAGGCGCTAAGGACTTGGCACTCTTGAGCCTCGTTGATGTCAACACAGCGGTTACGGGCTAAACATATGGGGTATTTCCTTCACTATGTGATGCAGATAGATACGATAACTTGATAAATGCCATAGATATTGGTTCCACAAATAAATAATTGATGTGCAAATACCGGTGGACGTCAGGATAACATCAACAATCTCGAATCGATAAGTTTTCATTCACGCTATGGCATCTATCCTACACAGGACAGTCGACCTAATCCTCTGATCTGCCTTCCCTCTCTGGCTTCTCCTTGCCTTTCCCAACCCTCCTACTCATCTTGATACCACAAAAGAAAGGGCTGTGTTATGCTGAAGCAGTCCAATCGGCCACCTATCAAAAAGATGCTGCTGCTGCTGATTGATTTGCTCACTAATAGAACACAATTTTCAACTGCCTGTAACAAGAAGTATGACAGCATATATCGATCGTCGCCTAAACGCCTCCAATGAGCAGTGATTTTCCTCATCCACATCCACTTTCTTCCCTCATGCTACAGCTCCTCCAGTAGGCGGTCCCTTCTCAGCTGGCTTCTCAGGCTGGCTCCCCGGAATGGGAGGGATACTTGGAAGATCGCCCCCTGATATCGGTGTTCCGACCTCTGGGACTTTCATAGGGCCAGCTGGCATGATGAGCTTTCCTTCTAGCTTCTCCCCCTTGATGACCTTAAACGCCTCCTCCTTGTCAAGCGTTTCGTACTGGACAAGAGCTTTGGCGAGTAGATCGAGTTCCTTCCGCTTGCTGAGAAGTAGCTTCATGGCACGACTCCGTCCCTCGTCGATAAGATGGCGGACTTCTGATTCGATCAATTCCCGAGTACCAGCCGATAGTTGACCGTGGTTGGATGCAAGGTCTACATTGCCTAGTTTGTCCGACATGCCAAATTGGGTGACCATTGCATAGGCGACCTGTGTTGCCTTTTGAAGGTCCTATAAAATACGTTAGTACTGAAATCGGATAAGAAGTAAGATTACTCACACTGTAGGCACCACTGGTCACTTTCTCGGGGCCATATCTGATCTCCTCTGCAACTTTACCTCCCATGCAAACATCCAACTGAGCCAATAACTCATCACGACCCTCAGAATACTTATCCATCTTAGGCAGATGCATAGTCACGCCCAATGTCTGACCACGAGGCATGATCGTAATCTTATGAAGAGGAGCGAAACCAGGTGTGAACATGACAACCAGAGCATGGCCAGCTTCGTGATATGCAGTAGCTTCCTTTTCTGCCTGTGTGATGAACATGCCCTTCTTCTCTGCACCCCACATGACCTTATCTCTGGCCCACTCAAAGTCAAACATGGACACGGCTTGGGCCTTTGCCTTACTGGCATGGACTGCTGCTTGGTTGATGATGTTCTCCAACTCGGCTCCGGAGCAGCCGGGCGTTCCAGCAGCCAAAATCTCAAGGCTAACATCCTTGGAAGTGATAATGTTCTTCATGTGATGTTGAAGAATCGCCATTCTACCACGAACGTCAGGTAGGCCAACAACGACATTTCTGTCAAATCGACCAGGACGAGTCAGAGCCTTATCCAAAAGTTCCGGAAAGTTGGTTGCTGCAAGAATGATGACCCCGCTGTTCTGCTCAAATCCGTCAAGTTCAGTGAGCAACTGGTTGAGGGTTTGCTTAACATAAGCAGCATCACGAGAATTCCGCTTGCCTCCTATGGCGTCGAGTTCATCGATGAAGACGATAGCAGGTGATTTCCCTTTGGCAGCGGCGAAAAGCTCACGAACTCTCTTGGCTCCAACACCAACATACACCTCATCGAATTCAGAACCAGACATGAAGAAGAACGGTACGCCAGCTTCACCGGCAACAGCTCGCGCGAGGAGAGTCTTTCCAGTACCAGGAGGGCCAACGAGCAAGACACCCTTAGGAAGCTTGCCACCGAGAGTAGAGAACTTGTCAGGGTTCTTCAAGAAGTCAACTAATTCCTGGAGTTCTTCCTTTGCCTCGTCACAGCCGTGGACATCGGAAAATCGGACATTTTGGTGTTCCGCCTTAGCCTCGTTGTCATTCTTTCCCACTTTCTTGAAAGTTTGGAAAGTCTCGATGACCATTGCGACAATGATCAAGCTGAGATAAGTGAAGAGACCGAAATAGAGAATGAATTTGACCCATTTGAAGATAGTGCCGCCGATAGTTTCCTCAACCACAACATGGAGAGGCCCCTGGTTGGAACCATTGGCCACGTTCGAACCACGGGAAACAGCAACGTTGCCACCTCGAGAGTTTGCCGCGACTGCCTGTCCGATAGCCTGAAGTTGGGAGTTGTTGAGGCCAGCATTTTGTCCTCCAAAGTGATTCATATTTGCAGCATTTCCACCCTTGCCCATCATCCCCACAGCCCGATGGTACAAGTTCTCAGAAGCAGTATTAGATGCGAATTGGTTCGTCTCGTATCTCTCGACAACAATAGCTGGCATATCGGCACGTATCAAGGCTTGGTAGAAGGCATATTGCGAAGTGGCGCTATTCGGGTTCTTGTTGGCCGTCTCCTCCAAATGCGCAAGTGTACTTCGGGAGGAGTTGCTACCAAATATAGTCCTCTTTTGCAGGCTAGCAAATCGCATATCCGGTTTCTGAAAGTGACGTTGGAGCAGTCCGGTCGACATTTGGCGTGTCTGAGATGCAAAAAATACTCGGCGGGTAATGGGATTCGCAGCGGCGAACGGGCCTTTCGGCATCGCCGCAAGAGTGTGACGAATATTGAAGGACGTTTGCGAAGGTATTTGCGGAATCATTTTCGAAGAGAAGTTTGTTGGAAGATCTCGCAGACATTCTGGAAGTTCGATTCTGGATGTCTAGTTGAAGGTGGCGTCAGTAGGAAGACTTGAAATATGTAGTGGGGAACATACCAACGGCACCGCAGGCACATCCACAGCCTTCACTACAGACTCTCTTTGTTCACTTCGTCTTGATATCGGTGTACTTTGCTTCTGCTGACCAAAGACCCTCCATGGCGCGCCCATCGCATTCGACATCGCAGGCCACATCTCCGTAGTCGCCGCCGCCAGACCCTATAAACCTCATCAGCACAGTCCATCACTCCATCCATCATACCTCTCCCAAACCCCTTGCTCCCCCAGAATACCAAGAACCCTTACCGGCAAAGCAGACGATTGGAAAGCCATGACTGCAGCTGTTGATCCGAGGCAACTCAACACTTCCACCGCCTTCCACGACCTCTATTCGACCGTCCAAGACACACGCGCGTACGACTATAATCGGAAAAAATGCCAGATACAATGTAAAGAATAGCGGGGGAGTGATTGAAGAAAAAGGAGATGGCACGGCGTCGTGGCGATACCAGATGCTGAGGCCAGGCAAATGGATGATGCGGTCGCTGGCCTCGAGGCTGCGATAAAGTTGAGGTGATAGAGCGCTAGTACGCAAGCGCTTTAGCGCAGCCGACTTCGCCGACCCGGTACTTTGCCGGTCCCGTTGTTTGGTTCTCAATAACAGGAGACGAGATCACAGCAGATGGAGTAGAGTACGTTTTGTGGTACACTTGTGGTTAAGGTTATTCATACTTCGTTCCCATCATTTGGGTCGGCTTGATGGTGAGATATAGAGTACCGAGGTACATGTGGGGATTTCTTGAGGATGTGTGGGGGGAGTCGAAGCGCCTCCTGCTCCAGATGAGCGCGAATGGTCACGTTTCATTTGCATATCTCATTCTCAATGGGAAGTCGGACTCACGAGGACCTTCACGTTTTCAATTGGCACTCAGGAGATAAATTTTTACTGCTTTTTTATTTGGTGCTACAGATACATATCCAAGACCCTTATTTGCCAAAGAATTAACAAGCCGTTTTGCGCGACTAATAGTACATGGTGTGCATGAATTCCTATCCTCGTCTCCTCTTCTCTTCATCCACTGCTAGTCAAATAAACATTCATCGTTCCATTCCCCCCTTCTTCACGCCACGGCCCACCGTTTTGTTTCCCAATGCAAAAGCCGTAAATACACAAGATCCAGAAAAAAAAAAGATATAAGGAGAACGGGGCAAGTGACCACAAGTAAAAAAAAAGGGAATAACAATATTTGATAGGTAAATAGTTTTCTCGTCTTTCTCATTCATAAGCCCTCGTTAAAGGAAGCCCTTTCCTCATTACGCGTGCGTGGTTGTATGCTCAGTAAAAGTAGCATGAATTACATGGATGGGCAAGGGGGAAACGCAATCAATATCTGCAGCAAGAGAGAACCAAATTAAGCACAGAATGGACGAAAAATAGACAAAGCAAAAGCGAGACGCGAGCCAACCGACCAAAACACCCGAGAACGAATGACAGGATGAAGGAAATAAAGATTGTACGGAAGTAAATAGCGACGATGAACTGAAGGGATTTTTTTCGGTCAAGAAGGAGCAAAAGCCAGAACGCCCCAGTTGGGAATCAGTTTGAAGACAGAAAGCCGCCCCATTGGTACCCGTGAGGGATATGCGGCTCTGGAAGGAAAGAACAACAGAGGGCGTGATGTTAAGGAGTATGTGTGTCGTCGTCGAAGTCGTTTCGGTGTTTAATATAATAATTGCGTGCGTGTGCGTGTCGGGTATTTAGTAGTTATGTAGTGGGTATGTGATAGTATGTGCGATCGTGGCTCGTGATAGAATTACAAGGAATTCGAAACTTGCTCTGCGGAACGGTAACGGAATGGAAGGAAGCAACGCTTTTTGGACGTATTTGTTTTTGTTTGATGATGGTGATAATGGTTTGTTGTTGTTGTTAAAAGGATGCGCGGAAGGTGAGATAATGATGGTTCTGTGTAACCCGCTCTCTCTACGGGGTATAAGCTGGGCCGGTATAATGATACAGTCGCCAAAGGCGAGACAAATGAAAGGCTGCTGCTGATCCGATTAAACGGATGGTAATGTTGAATTATTCATGTGAAGAGAGACCGTTATAGGTTCTCAATTCGAGCACTGGGCATCTGCAACGATGGGTCGTCAAAGGTCTCGACCTTCCAAGGATCGTGGAAGACGTGGACTTGTGGGTAAGCTGGAATGTGGCTGACGACTTCGATGGGAGGTTGGTAGGCGCCTGGGTTCTCGTACCATTGTCCTTCTTGAGGTTGAGCTTGAGGGTATTGCTCGTGGCTCTGAGGTTGTTGGCTGATGGGTTGCGGCACGCCGTGGTGTTGCGTCAGATGTTGAGGCATTTGTTGCTGATACTGGATCATTGGCTGCTGCTCAACAGGAGACGAGTTCTGGAGTGCGTACGTAGCAGCCTGGGCGGCCGGGTGATGTGTATAGTATGGCTCTTGCGACACTGGGCTCGCCCTCGAGGCCGATGAGTAGCTGCTGGGGCTGCTTTGGAGGACCTCTTGTCTTTCCAACTGGCGAGGAATCTGGTATGTCTGGATTGGCGCAGGGTTGGTGTTCAGAGTTGCAACGCCTGGGTTGTTCTGTTCCGGCACGTAGTAAGAAGCGTGGGCTGGAAGACTTGGTGCTCGGTGCATGATCGGTTGTTGGTGGTGGTGAGGAGGCTGTTCCTGGATCGGGCCATTGTAGTGTTGTTGAGCTCCTCCAGACAAGCTGTGTCGGTGCCCTCCGTAGTTCTGAGCCATGGGATATCCATCAACCTGGTGGTGACCGAAGTCGGCAAACGAGTGTGCCCGGTGCATGTGGTGTCCATGAGGAAGTGCCTGCTGTGGAACGTGGATAGCTTGAGGCCATTGCATTGGGCCAGAATGTTGTGGGGTGGAAGGGGACTCTCCAGAATCAGAGTCGGAAGTGTCACCATCTTCAAGTTCTGAGGAGTGGATTCCTCTTTGGTGTGACCGTCTCTGGTGCTTCACCATGGTCGTCTTCCTGCAGAAGCTACGAGATGTAAGCATCAATTCAGCCTGTACACTCGGTGGTACAAACCTCTTTAGGCATCCGTCATGAGCACACTTGTAGGGACGCTTTCCCGTGTGGATACGTCGATGACGAGCGAGACTCGAAGACTAAATCATCTGTATCAGCAACCAGACGAATCCTTTCGAGCAAGAACATCTTACGTCGGAGAACCGCTTTCCACAGCCGATGTGTTGGCATTGGTGAGGCTTCTCGCCAGTATGGGTTCTGATGTGAACTGTCAAAGCACTTCTCTGGATGAAGCTCTTCCCACAATCAGGCTGCATGCAAGAGTATGGACGCTCATTGGTGTGGATTCGGTAATGTCTCTGGAGATCAGATTTTCTGTTGAAGCTCTGGGAGGATGTTAGTTGTCTGGTCCAATATGTCCTGCCACTTGTTGAGCCTTACTTTGCTGCATGTTTGCCAATCGCACTGGAAAGGTCGGGCATTCGGCTCGTTCTCTACCAACTCCATGACGTCCATTCTGATATCCTTTGCGGTATCTCTTGGGTAGGTTGGAAGACTGAGTCTTGGAAGACAAGTAAGGTTCCTTGGGGAATTAGGAATTAGGTCGACGATATAGAAGCTATGGATGCTTCAGGTAGCGAGTCGTGTTCCGGATAATCAATGTGATTATATAGATGCACAAAGACCGATGCTCTACTCGAGTGGAATGGACTCAAGCGGAGATATGTCGAGAGAAGTAGAGGCGTCCAGCGCAGTGCTGTTGGATGAAAGCTGGGAGTGAACAGGTACTGGACTGATGTTGAAGCTTGAGACAGTTGTATGAACAAGTCTTCAAGAAGTTGTCGAGCTTTGAACGTAACAAGATCTGAGGATGTCAGGAACCTGGTCTGATGGGGGCCATGTGTGAGGGGGGAAGCAGTCGTTTACATACTCTTGAGATGCCTGGGTATAATTGGAGTGAGCAGGGGTGCTACTCGAACAGGGTTTGGCGGGGCGCACGAGCAGTTCAGAAAAAGTTCCACTCAGGACAGCTCTTGAACTGTCTCTGACTAAGGGTACTTGGCCTAGGCTTTCAAGCTAAGGATGATGTTGCGAGTGGCTGAAGAAGCGTGGTGGTGGTGTTCGTTGAAGAAAAGAAAGGAAGACTTTCGGCAACAGTAACCGTGAGAGACTAAACGGTCAATCGCAAGCCAGACAGACCAGGTGGAGACCAGGAGAAGCCTAGCAGGTCTGCTTGTTTCGACGTCCAAGTGGCAACTGCAAGTGATCTTGGGCGATGGCGAACCAGTCCGGTACTGAGCGTGGTGGGTGTTAGGTTTCCGAAACAGGGACCATTCTTGGAGGCAGTTGAGTTCGTAGGAGAAAAGGCCAGTAGCTGGCGGGATCGTCGAGCGAGCGCAAGGACGTTGAGTGCTCGGATTTTGGGCTGGATGATGGGCCAATGGTGCTGATATGGAGCTTTTGGAAATAGACCAGATGCCAGATGCTAGTTTGCTGCAAGAGAGAGATTCTGGAATCGGACTTGTGATGGTGCGGCTGTTGAGGCTGTAACGACGATGGCTCCTGCTAGCGAGCAATGTGTACTACGCCTTGACTGACTGACAGACAGACAGACGGACGATGACAGTAGTACGGTAGTGGATGAAGAGAGAAGACGAAGGGGATTGGTCTGGGTCCGGTGCGGCCTGTTCGGTATATATGTTGAAGCTCGAGCGCGGCCGGAGATCAATCAAGTCTCAGAGGAATTAGATCAGCAAGAACTGAAGTGTGTGAACGATCCTGACTCGCAGAATATCGAATTAGAGCTTGAGGATGGAAGCTTGGAGCTTGTTGGAGTCTACGGAAGAGAAAGTGGGAGAGAGGAGCAGCTCCGGTAAGGTTTCTGATGGAGCCTATATGCGAGTGTAGTGTTCCTGAGAGGAGAGCAAGCCAGCAAGCAGGACAGGACAGGATGGATGGTGGATGGATGGATGGACGGATGGACAGATGGGGATTTTGGATTGGGATTGGGATTCCGGAGGCGTAGTGGAGTCCCGGTCTGAGGGTCTTTTTTTGTAAATAACGAGTGGAGAGGTTAGGATCGAAGAAAGGACAGCCCCACACTAGGTACTAACTCAGAATTGACCAGACCTGACCTGACCTGACTTGACTTGAGTTGAGTAGGTAGTAGTTGTCTGACTGACTGAGAGACTGAGAGAGCAAGGAGAAGAAGAGGAGCTTGAGCTGCAGCGGGCGTGCGTGCAGAGTGCATGGCAGAGGGTTGATGTTAGGTTAGGGTATGGCAGGGGGAGTAGACGTGGGAGGTAAATTTACTTCCTCTGTAGTAGTCAAGGGATGTCGTAGCAGTGAAGCTGGGAAGCTAGGGACCTAGGAAGCTAGGAACGGTAGTGCAGTTCTCGTCAATCAGGTACGGTTGAGAGGCTCCTGCAGTGCAGTGCAGTGCAGCGAGAGAGCAGCTGGAGTGCTGTTTCTGGCTATCGTGAAAGCGATACAGGCCTAGTGGGGACATGCAGCAGCCTTCTAGGGGGTGAGGACTAGGGGCACGAGCTAGGTAAGAGAACTAGAACGGCTAGAGACACAGCTACGGCTTAGTCCCGATCGAGGTCCTATCCCCAGATATCTGTGTTTAGCCGGGCCCAGCGAGGTAAGGTCGGGAGCAGCTAACTATGCCATTGGGCTGGTCCGGGATAGTCGGCTGGGATGATAATGCTGGGAGCTTACAGGGACATGGGCAGGGGACGGTAGTGTGCGGCAGGGGGAACAGGGATGCCAGTGAGGGATGCCAGGATACCAGGATGCCAGGAGGGGGGGCAGGGGCAGGGGAGGCTAGCCAGGGTGCAGGGGGCCCACACAGACAGGGACCAGCAAGCTAGCCCAGGAGCCAGCAGCCAGGAGCCAGGAGCCCAGCAACGGCAGACGGCAACAGGCACTAACCGTTGCTGAGCTAGTGTGCCGTAGGGGAGTGAGCAGTGAGCGATGAGCGACGACCGATGAGTGATGAGCGACGCTGGCCCTGGTATCGTGGGCTGTGGTGTGGTGTGGTGGTGCTGGTGCTGGTGCTGGTGCTGGTGTTGGTGCTGGTGCTGGTGTCTCTGGTGTGTGTCTGAATAGCGTAGCGTCTGGAGGCTTGCTGAGCGGGGGAATCCTGAGCGACAGCGGGTCGCTTGAGGTCTAGTGAGGGGCTTCAGGGCTTCAGGGCTTCAGGGTCGTGGGGTGTTGGCTCACAGCGCCTCTCAGCCCAGAAACATCCTGTTCTAGGCGTGCTCTAGGCCATCCTCCAGCGTCTGAAGTACACCCATCAAATACCGTGCTCTCAATCGTACTTACTCAGTCCTCGAGTGACTTCTGGTCATCAGCGGTGTCAATCCCGCCCACCAAGGAAGTACATCTGCAAATCCAATTATTCCATGTACGCTTCTGGCAGTACGAGTAAGTGATAGCTGCAGGCGAGTCCGTGTGTTGCGGCCAATTATTGTGAAGTAAAATTGTTCTTGCCGTACAGTGAGAAAGTGGCCTCGGTACGATGCTGTCTGTCTGTATTGAATCATGATCGCTGCGCCGACAAGGGACTGATGCAGCTATTTCCTTTGCTTTACTTTCTTTTGAGTGTGCGATTGATGCAATACAATGAGAGGGGAGCATTCAGCGAGTGATCAAAGAAGTGCTTTTGGCTATCCTACCCAATGGCACGCCCGAATTGAAAATGATGATGTATCCAGCCACTCAGAGCGCGCTATCTGCTCACCCTCAACACTGAAATCCAACAGCCAGACCAGAAGAGAAAGTGAGCAGGGACCCCTCCCAATATCGCCTATATCCTCTTGGTGTTGGAGAGACCTCGTCGTCCTCGTCCTCGTCCTCGTCTTCGTGATCCTCACATCCTGGTAGCCGGCAGGCCTCGTCCGTTACTTCCTCTCAGCACCCTTGCAATGTCTTTGTTTGGAGAGCTTCAACTTTGACTTCAAGCCTGTCAACAGCTTCAAAGTGGGATGGTCACGCTTCGATTGGTACCATCTGGCAAGGGGTAGCCCATGTCGCCACGGATCTCGCAACGGCACGCTGGTGAGGAGGTGACATGGTGGTATTGACAAGAGCAGAACAGAACAGAACCCCTCCACTCACAATATTCAGTCTCCGAGAATCTCCATACATGTCTCTCCGTGCTTGGAACATACAGCACATACAGCCTGGACTACCGTACGGATGTAACATCACAGAGACTTCGGCTGGACTCCGAGAACTGACAAAAAAATGCCGTGAAGCGAGAAAAAGTTGACGACACCCTCATCTTCTCTCACTCTTTGACCTCTTAAAACCCCCACCATAGGTCTCCGCCGCTACATTCGCCGAGGCCGATTTCGTGCCATGTCCCGTCCAGTATTCTCATGCCTGCACATCCTTATTCAACATCATCCAACCAGTTTCTTGCCCTGGCAGGTCTGGATCTGGATCTCAATATTTACCCCAACATTTTCAAGATCAGATGTTCCTGAGATTCGATGTTCCTGCCCTGGCACAGTCATTGGATATTTCGGACGGCAGCAACAGTGCGGACGGGTGCGGTGCGGTGCGTACGAGCCACCGTGCCTGAATCAGATCAGTGCAGTATTTTGCGCAAAGATACGCTCGTCCAAAGATGCGTGAATTAGAAATAGATCAGATAGATTCTCCCGAAAGTCTGAGCTGAAATGAAGCGCACAACCACTTGGCCCGGTCCAGGGCTGTACACGGCAGCCTCTGCGTCCCGATATCAAGATCAAGATAGGTACGGAGATAGAGGCATAGACCAGCGGCCGAGTCACGATACATTGCGAATACCGCGAGTGTGGTGGTAACGAGAATTGGCCGACAGGGGAACACCAGAGACGATCTTCCGTCTGTACTCGGCTGGCTTCTCCTTATTCGTAAACAGTCAACAGGACAAGACCTCAAGAAAATCCGTGCAAGCCCAGATAGAAGTTTATGTCATCAAGAAATGGCGTTGTTTTGGTCGGAAAGGGCAATGCTTAAAGACAACTCATTTCGCAGCCGGCTGGTTGGCCCGAAAGGTTTCGTTTCAACTATGCGACTTGTCGCCAAGTCGAAAGATTTGTGATGATTTGAGGGTCCGGAGCTGGATGGTGGTGCGAAAATAAACGGAACTCTACTAAGCCCTGCCCTGACTTTCGCTGCAGGTCACTTTGAAGTGTGATTAAAGTTATGCGATCCAGGATTGTTTGGACCAACAAGCTACGAATTGAAGCATGTCATTGGCTGCTTTTCGACGACCATGATCTCAGTGGTGATGATGTTTTAATGCGCACAACATGCTTGCGTGGGCGTAAAGTATCATTGCCACCTCGTGCCAATGCCTGCTGGTTGATTATCGTGATGCCGACCCCTCATTTCCCATCATGGGTTGGACCCCTATCTCACGATAACGTACGAAATTCCATCGTGGTCGCCACTTGGGCCATGACCAAATGCGAATCGATGTGATGTGCCCAGTCTGGCTTCACAGTTGATTCTCTCACCCGCTGTCACATCAATGGCTTCCAATAACCAAAAAAAGATGGTAAGTATGTAGTGGTGAAACAGCTGCAACCTCATTACCACAAGTTCGGGAAGCAGTTCTATTCTCGAGTACATGCGGGTTCTCAACGGCCAAACCAGCATTTGTTTTTATGGCTGGCTTTGGCTGTCTAGGACATCTGCAAGCCATGGCTGTCTCGTCTCGTCTTTCATTTCGGAATTCCCTACTATGAGTCACTACGAGGCACCGTTGTCTTGCACTCTCACGTATGGCAATCGATCAAACATCTTGATCACCGGTATTTCAAATAGTAACAAGGGCATGGTCGCCGCGGAAGCAGCAGGTAATATACAAACCCAGACGGTGCAGTAGCAGCAACAGTTCGTCGAGGCGAATGCCCTCAATTTTCTGGATCCAAACTCTTGAAGCTGATCCTAATCTGAGAGCTCAATGCAGACAGACAGACCAGATTCAGTCAACGCTTCATCTCATGATGCAGACTCGGGAGAAAGTGACGAGTGAAGTGACGAAGCGGGCACGATATCCAGGAAACTAGCTTTTTCGGAAGCCTCCCCCAAGCGAGCGAGTTAGGTCGAGCCCTGATGCCCTTGCTGCTCCACCCAACTGCACTCAGTCGGCTGCCCTGGCATGAGAGGCCCACCGAAACCAGACAGGCAGGGCAGGGCAGGACCAGGACAGGGCAGGCTCGCAGGGTAATACAGGGCAGGGCAGCCCAACACGGCACACAACCCATGCCCTGCTCTGCTCACAAATAATCCCAGCGGCCTCGAGACGGCCAGGATCATGTTCAGGATCAGCTTCGTCCAGGACGGATGAGAACTTGAGAAGAGAAAGAAAAGAGGAGCACAGCAGCCCAATACGGCCTAGAGCGGGTGGCGTCCAGCACGCTTTGGTAGCAAGCCGTTGTCATGTTCGGAACTGGATTGCCAGAAGCGTGCTGTTGCGATTTCCACCTCCTCCACCACGGCAGACAGACTCCTCTTTTTCTGTTCCCGTACGAGAAAGGTAAATTTACTGTTATGTATCAGGTATTCCGAGACTGAACTAGACTACGGCCAGGAGCAAAGCCACAACGGTGCGCGTGTGCCGAGGCAGGCTGGAAGCTGCCTGGGGATAGGCCAATTGTTTACCTTCATCACTTGCGGAGGATGTAACCGGACGCCACACTCTCGCTAAAGGCTTGAAGTCTTGGGTGGAAATACACATCCCTGACTTGAACTTGAGTATCTCTTCCCCGAACTTTGCCCCTCCAACAGCAGCCACTCCAGTACCTGAAGCCGATGAGCGCGGCGGCCCTCAACCACTCTATTGTGGAGTCAACCATGAAAAGAGAACCGAGTTGTCGGCGACGGTGGTGGGCTTCTCCCTTGTCTGTACTCTATTTTGCTGCGGGCACTACTCATTGGCTTCATCAACCTCAGATATTGCCAATTGACCTCTCACTCTATCTTGACGCAAAAGGAAGACTTAACAGGAAACTGTAGGAGAGAGAATTGATTAATTTCTCGCTGCACCGCCTCTGATTCTGGCCCTCGTTCATGACGGGCGACATCGTACGATAGCAAGCAGGTATGTACCTTGTACCCTTCCGTCTGTCTGTCTTGCTCTTCAACTGTGCGTGCGTGCCTCTGTTCGTCTGTGCTGCCATGGCCAGCATGCAGCTCATCATCGCCCGCACGCACGCACACACACTCGCACGCACATCTTCGCCATCTCTCTTCTCCTCGTCCTTCCCATCGCAGAAGAACGACAGGTCTCATGATCGGAAAAGTCGGAGAGATTGGGGATGTTGAGTCCGAGATCACGGCGTCGATATGCACTGTGACAGGCACCATCTGCAGCTTTCTGTCTCTTTATCTACGATGTGGGTGTGGGTGTGGGTGGTGCGGAAGACGGATGAGATGCGATGCGATACGATGCTGCAGGCTCGCCATTTCTCTCCTAGCGAGATGCAGCGAGGTCCGCAGGCACATCACATCCGCTGTCGGGCAATTCTCAGCACACAGGAGCAGCAGCAGCAGCAGTTCCTGCAGAAGAGAGGGCCCATTCTAACCATGCTCAGCGCAGTCTCCGGTGAAGGTGAGCTCAGCGTGCAGGAGGGTCGGGATGGGATTGTGCAGAACACCGGAAAGAAAGCCACTATCCCCCACGATGCTTACTCCTATTACCCAGGATAATGACATATTTGTTGTGCGGACCACTGGTTTGTGGCACATCCTATCATCTATCATCTATCACGCGCGCGCGCGCGCAGACGCAGCGTTCGTCGTTGCGATGATCCGAAGCGAGAATCGACGACAGACATGTTGCGGTGTTTGCGATGAGATGGGGCCGATGCGACGATGTTTGGGACGAGGTCATCACGATGAAACAAATGCTGGAAGCGAGATCAGATAGGGGGGTCACATCACCTCACATCACTGGGGCCGAACCGGATTGACAGCCAGCCCAGGCAACGTGGTTTCTATTCTTAGGGCACCGAAGCTTCCCAGATGGCGACTCTTCTTCGAGTCGTCGTGCTACGCCGTACCAGAAAAGAGCCAGGCCATGCCGTCCTCGTCTTGTCGAGCCGGTCGGTGGTGCAACTCTGAACCCTGGAGAAGTCCTCTTCGATGGTGAAACAGAATCGAAACGTCAAATTCTGCGCCCAAGCTCCTGATCTCCAGCAGGCCCTGTGTGGTCTTTTTCATCCGGAGCGGATGTTTATCCTGTTTCGGCTAGGTCACGCGAACCCAGTCCTCACATCACTCGGCCGTTCGAAAGCCTCACCGCACAGCCGTTGTTGGTAGCTCGAACGAGTTAAACGAGGCGAACGGCTTTGCAAAGAACTGCGACTTTTGTCACTGTCGTCCGAACATCGTACCTGAGATGAAATGTTGAAATGTTCCGCAGATGCTGCGCTGACGGACAGGCCAAGCCTGAAACGACCCGCTGAAGAAACAAGTGCTATGCTCGAGCGCTGAGACATTGAAGCTCGCGATTCTGCATTCAAACAGTAATCCTTTTCGGTCACCTCGAGTGATTCCGGCTCGAATGATTACTCTCTCGCTTACCTTTCAGTTCATTGGGAACTTGTATTGGTCATCTCACCGACTGTTGAGAAATTTCTTCCTCATCTCTTACCTAGCGATTACCAAGTGCAATGCATCTCACGAGGCGCAACTGGTTCTTGATCATGCAGACACTGGAACGCTGACAATTCTCCAATTATTCTCGAATATCTGCAACACAGAATTCCTGCATACTACATAACTCCACATGTTCCAAGTATCACTTCTCCACAGGGCACACTGCAATACCTTCTCACGGACCAAGAGTTCGCAGGATGGAAAATAAAGAAGACTGCAGCAACCCAATCCATCAAACGTCTGCCAGTGGGAACGACAGATTGTCAAACATAGATCAAACGTCAAGCATCGTCAACCGCGGGACCTACTTCTATGGTTGAAGTCTAAGTGGCTTGAATCTATCCTATCCGCGCCTTCAACACCACACCATGTCACGCCATGGCTGATTATCCCACTTCTCCTCACCATGCATCGTGTGCCCATGGTCAGTGTTGACCTGCATAGCCTGATTGCGGATCATTGCAATACCTCGTGGCTCCTGCGATCCTACCGTGCTTTATGGAACTCTGGGTTGAATGATCTGCTGCGACATGTCTTCCCAAACTCTGGACAGCTTGAGGCTCTACAGTAAGTTAAACTTCCGTCGGTACTTTCCACAAACAAGAAGCAGCGAGTCATAAGTGAAGTCTGATTATCAGAAATTGGTGACAGTCTTGAAATGCCTCAACCAAGTCCCGCAGCTGCTAAACGTACTAATTCATGCCGTTGAGCTGTCGACTAAATTGGCTTCTCTTCAACGGCCATCGAGGATCTTAAGTCCAATCAAACTTAAAGAGTAGCACAAAAACACTTCCAGAATATCAAACCCCCCACGTCTTCGTCCTCAAACACTTAGAAAATGAAATTCGAAATCGAAATGCGAAAAGACAAGCCTCATGCGGGGTGCTGCCATGTTCAATTTCGAGACAGGGAATAAATTCAACGGGAGCTGGACAGACAGATGAAGAGCTTGGGAAGAATTGACTTTTTTTCTCCGCTGAAGAAGATCTTCTGATGATCGATGCAAGCCTGCCTTGATCCCATGCCTTCTTCCCTCTTCCACCTCCACCAACATTCTCATGAGAAGAGCTGAGCAGGTACCTTAGTGACAGATATGTGAAGGAGCGGTGACGAAGGTCGTTCCCCTCCAAACGTCCGAGCGCAAACTCAAGAAATCGAGCGCTCGGACCTCTCCCTGCCACTGCCGACGCGGGGCACACACATACATACTCACACTCACAGTCTCACACTCACATCTCAGAGTAAATAAGCTAAGCGACGCATCAGCGCTGACTGATCTTTGCCAGATCTGGCCCGCCTATCTACCTAACAGGCAATAAAGGAGGAGCATCAAGTGCAGATAGATCACCGCTTCTTGCTCTACATAGTAATTCTTGCAGATTAAGATACTGTAGCTGTGTAGATAGATAAATGCCAGGCTAAGCAGAGCAAGGTATCTCCAATAAGCTTCATACCTCCGTTCGTTCCAAAAGGGAATCATCAACATGACGAAAGTACACCCCAGAGAAAATTAAAATACACAATAATGTCGCAAGAAATCGCAATTTCAAACGAATACAGTTTGAATAATAGGGATCTTTCAAATCTGTCTATTATGCTTTTCCTTGGGAGGGGCTTTTTTTACATTTTTTCCTCAGCGAGATCCCGAAAAGTAACGGGGAGGGGCGCGATGCGATTCAGACAAGAAAGAACCAAGCCCACGCCGTACACATCTACAACGGGAATCTGACAACCCACGTTTTGTGTCTTGCCTTGTCTGCTTTGGCTTTGGTTGCTTGCGCAACCCCGCCTCCCCTCCCGTCATCAGTCAATAATCAACCCCCATGAATTCAATTCAACTCAATTCAGATTAAAAAATCACAGTTACGTACCTCCATGTCCATGTCCAAGTCCAGGTCCAGGTCCAGGTCCAGGTAATTACAAGTCCATGTCCAAAACTCCCATCACAAAGAGACGAAATAAATACTTACCTATCTACATCCCAAGCCTGAGCATCCAGGCAGTCCGTCAGGACAGGCTTTCAAAGTGTGGTAACGAGTAAGGATGCCTGCCGCAGGAGGATAGAAAGCAAGCAAATAGTGAGGGCGAGGGAGCGAGGGTGAGGATGAAGTGGGGAACAGGAACCTTTTCCAGCCCTTTCCTTCCATTCGTCACTCCCACATACAGTAGTACTGGTACATATGCCGGAAGCGACCGACTGGCACCCGTCGCGTTTCCAGAGCCAGGATGCATGCATAACATCCCAGACCCTGTGCGAGCGAGCGAGCGAGCGAGCTTATGCAGCGGATGTATTTTGTGAAATAATCTGCTGCACTTCTGCACTAATTGCACTCTGCATGAACTGTTGCAGAGGCAAGTGCAAGTGCAAGGGGATGGGAGGGGAGGGGCATCATTAAGGTTAGGTTTAGGTAGTGGAGCGCAGCAACCGCAGCGTACTGTACTGTCTGTACCGCAGCGAAGACCTACCTACCTGATCATCATGCCTGAGGAAGGAGTCAGGTTTGGTTAGATATTGGAGACTGATTGGACTGGTTGCATGGGTTTGAGAGGAACCAGGCCAGGGAGGAGGAGACGGAGATGGAGACGGAGTCGGGTGGTGGCTGATCTACGGCTATTCCGAGCTTATCGGGGATTTTGAAGTCAAGTGAAGCTTCATGAATGAGTAATGATCAATAAATCCAGTTTCTTAATGTAGGGTTACATTTGGACTCTGATCCCAAGGACCAGAACGGCACGTAGAGAAGAGCCGAATGCGGTAAGGGGATTGGTGGGGTTTTGCGGGATGACTGAGAATTATATCTTCTGTTTGCGAGGAAGGTTGGTTGCACGATACTGTAACTCGCGTTCTAGAGAAAGGAGGTGTTCTGTTGTCTGTCAGTGAAGGAACGAAAGTGATGCATGAGTTCACGAGTCTCTAGAATTTTCTGGAGTGCGAAAGGGCAAAACTTTGCTGTTCCTTGCCTTGCTTGGTAATAATTAATCAGGCATGGGATTCATTTCGCTGTTCGGTTGTTCCATGTTCCAGAAGATAAGGTTGAGGGGGGAGAGTTGTCCGGCAAATGCTTATCGGTGTGCACCTTCTCGGGATTTACTGTCACACAATCCTTTGATTCGTTCCATACTCATGGATAGGGATTGATTGATGTGCCCTTCCAACAAGGATTGAGATTGTACCGTACCATGAAGTGATTGTGTAACCAACTGTACAGCATTGGTCGGTATCAATACTCTCACCTGATAACACGATTCACGTCGGCAGCCATCCAGCCAGCCAGCCAGCCCCGCCATCAACATCAACGTGGACCCTGAAAGGGCTGATAGGGGACGGGAAGCCAGATGCGGGGGCTTCTAGACCAACTTTGCCAGAGGTCCCCCCCCCCCCCCCCCCCCAGCCCAGCCTCCTCAACGAACTACCGAGTCGCTCAAAAACAAGTATCTCGAGGTCACTCGACTCACTAAAAAACGCAACTAAGTGAACCTCAAACACAGGAAGGATCTTGATCCTGGCCATGGCGCGCTGAAAAGAAACAGCCACAAGCAGGTTGATGTGTGAAATCTGATGCCGATAATCATTACTCACGTCAAATCATATCTCGTCACATCACATCAGATCACATCACAGGATCTCGGCAGATGAAGGTTCGTCGTAGATTTACCTTCTGTCACTTTTCGCACCCGGAACTCTACTTCGGTACTTTCTTTTGGCAAATAATAATGGCGTGCGGGGATTGGAGGGGTGGTCACGGAAAGGTTGTCAGAGTCAGGACAAGACATGTAACTATTCCCAACATCGACAATTCCTCCGGCTCTAGAAGTCAGGTACCGATGCTTGGTTGAAGTGTGCACTTCTTATCTTCGCTTTGTGGCTGCCTGCCTAGTCCCTGGACTACGTACATATGATTCAGGGATATACAACAGCGTTGTCAAAAACATGTTTTCGTGACTCGGGTGGCGTTCTGGCTTGTACCTATGTTCCCAGTCGATGATACAAGGACGCTGCTCCGGAAGTACATGACGGTTAGCTGCATTGTATCAATGTACCTAAGTAC